AAGATTGACTGGTTTGATCTCCTTGCTGTCTAAGGGACTCTCAGGAGTCTTCTCCAGCAGCAGTTCAAAAGCATCAATTCTTTGGCATTCTGCTTTCCGAGAAAATGTCCTAAAATAGTTAATTCCTGGAGACCATCAACACAGACTTTTAGTCTCTGCTTTTTTGTTTTGTTTTCTAGAAGGTTAAAATTGTAAAAGGTAGAGGAAGAACCTGAGTTGAAATAATCACTAGATTAAAGATAGGACAGAAGAGATTAGACCACAATGCCCTCCACCCCCAAGGAGATTATGCTATAAGTCATAGGATTCCTCTCTCTGCCCCTCCCTGCCTTCCCCACCAACCATCCTTAGCCTAGAAGACACCATATTACACTCACTGGTGACTGGGTTAGGGGGTAGGATGTTAACATTACTAGTAATTTGCTTCTAACTCAGTTCAGTTCACTTGCTCAGTTGTGTCCGACTGTTTGCGACTCCATGGACTGCAGCATGCCAGGCTTCTCTGTCCATTACCAACTCCCGGAGCTTGCTCAAATTCATGTCCATCCAGTCAGCGGTACCATCCAATCATCTCATCCTCTATCGCCCCCTTCTCCTCCTGCCTTCAATCTTTCCCAGCATCAGGGTCTTTTCCAATGACTAAGTTCTTCACATCAGGTGACCAAAATATTGGAGTTTCAGCTTCAGCATCAGTCCTTCCAACTGGGGAAGGCCAAAGTCCTGAGGCATGGATCCATTGTGAAAGCCCGATTAGAGATGGACCAGCAGTTGGATCTCAAGGGGTCTCACTGAATCTACTGCAAAACGTCTACATTTCCATGTGCCAGAGTAGCTATTCCTAGCCCTCTCAGAGGAGCTGGGGCAGCTGGGACCACTCAGCCCTGGTGAGACTGGGATACACATGATGGAAGAAGCAGGCAGTAGCTGGTGCGCTTTTCGATCTGGGTGGGGATGTCTGCTGAGACGTGTTTGTCACAGTGAACCGGCTGAGGTTCCAGCTGACTTTTGTGCCTACCTTGGATGTCCCTGGAGCCTAGCGGCCCTTTCTGTGTCTGCCGGGCCTGGGCTAGTCTGGGTAGGACCTGCAAAAACTTTCCAAGGACAGAGGCCCAATCTCTTCACCAGACTGAGGGCCCCGCCTCTCTTAGGATTAGGTGGCTCTCCTACTTCCTTCTCCACCCCTTCATTATCATGTTTGCATGCAGTGGGTCCCTCATCCCTCACACACTGGCTCTGGCATAAGACTGGCTCCATTCTACTCCGGCTCTAGCATTTACTAGCTGAGTTACTTTCGGTAAGTTAACGTCTACAATGGACATAATTATAGTACTCCAGTTATCTAAGATTATGTACAATAAAAGAGACAAAATGCACATAAAACATTTAGCACAGTCCTTGGCAACTGTCAGGTCTTAATAAATGTGAACTGAGATCACAGTTGTCCCTTCCTTCTCCCCATTTTCCTTGTTTTGCATCAGTGATCTTCCTCTTTGGATTTACAAGTCCCAGGAATAAGAATTCTTATCCTTTCCCTGTCTCTCTGTAGAAACAGAATGCATTATTGGGATGAAAGTAGGTAGATGCTGTCTATTCACAATCCCCATGCCCCGACCTCACCCAGGTGAGTTACAGGATCCAGGTGTACGGCACAAACAACTGGCAATTTTTGTGGCCTTTCTGGTTTGGTCCAGCCTGGTGTTGCGACTGCCAGTATCCACATTTCCACCACAGCCTCTTTTCTGCGGGTGGATCCAGTGACTCACGAAATAAGTGGGCCTGCTTTGGACTCCTGGGACCCCTTGACATCAGCCCAGGGTGCACAGCTGGGAGGCAGCTGCTTCAGACTCCCAGAGCCCGTGGGATCTGAAGGGCCCCTAGCTCGCGAAGGTCCTGCTTTCGTTTCCATTTGAGCTCCAGCTCCGGTTCCAACTCCTGGGACGGGCACGTCTGCCACCTGCTGGCCATGGGCAGCGCAGCACCCAGCTGTTCCTCAGGCTCCAGTTTGCAGTTAAAATGTGGGGCTCTGGCCTGGCGGAAGTCCTGCAGGTCTGGATGAAAGCCTGTATAGAGGGACAGCCTTGGCCTCCAGAATGCTTCGTGGAGAGATGGAGAGACAGACAAAGGACTGAACCAAGCCTGAGCTGACTGGCTGTGACAAGGATAAGATTGAAGGAGGGGGTAACATTGGTTCTCAGGGTCCCCTCATTCCTCTTCTCTGGCACCTACTTGGCACCCAAGCCCAGAGGTATATCAACGTCAGACACTCCCCAGGCCCAGAAACACCCTGAGACCTGAACCTGCCCTTCCTCTGCCAACTTGCCCTCACCTCTCTGAAACAGGCACACTACAGGCAGCAAATGACCTCTCTCTTTCTCTGTATCCTTTCTCCTCCCCAGCTTTTTATTTTATAATTTGTCAAACCTCTAGAAAAGTGGAAAGAATAATACAGTGAATACTGTTCACCCAGACAGATGCAGCACCGATCATTTGCCATAGTTGCTTTCTGCCCTGATCTTATGTACATACATTTGATTTGGTTGGTTGGTTGGTTTGTTGGTTGGTTTGCTGAATCTTTTGCAACTAAATTACAGCCATCCCACTCCCTGCTTCAGGACCTTCTTAGAACAAAGACATTTTCCTATAAAACCACACTTCCATTATCACACTCAAGAAATTCAACATTGACACAGTAATACTGTCTAACCTAGGTCTATATTCAAATTTCCCAAGAGTCCCAGTGATATCCTTCAGGGCTTTTTTTTTAAAAAAAATCTAGGATCCAATCAAGGATCCTTCACTGCATTTAGTTGTCAGGTCTCTCTAGTCTCATTTAATAAGGAACAATCTTCCCAGCTGTTTCCTCTTTTATGACATTGGCAGACTTGCAGAGTTGAGGCTAGCTGTTTTGCAGAAAGCCCACGGTTTGTGTCTGTCGTGTTCTTCATGAGCAGATTCAGGATAAGCATTTTTGTCTAGACGGTTGTGCCCTTCGTACACCATGTCGGAATGCATTCTTTCTTCTTACCATTTTACCTAAAAATGACTGAAGGGGCTACAGTGAAACAGAAAACTAAAGCTTCGGCTGGGGGTAGGGGAAGCAAATACACCAAACTGCCTAGACTGGGTACCAGGAAAATGCATCACGCTGACAGCAGCTTCCTGGCTACTGAGAACCAAACGGAAGCCTGTCAGAAGATGGAACTTCTGTTTTCTAAGTCAGAGGTCAGCAAACCTTGCCTGCAAAGTTCCAGACAGGAAATATTTGGCACTATACTGTCTCTGTCACAACTGTCCTACTGTCCTACCATTATAGCATCGAAGCAGTTAGAGTCAGTATATAAGCAGGTGGGCGTGGCCATGTTCCAATAAAACTTTATTGGCACAAACACAATCTGGCTTCAGCCTAAGGGCTGTTTTTTGTTTGTTGTTTTTTTTTTTTGGCTGATCTCTGATTTAACTGGAAGAAAATATTCCACCTATTAAATAAATAACACTTTCTCTTTTTTTTCTGATGTACTGAATTTTAAAAACAAAGGGGATAACAGAGGATGAGATGGTTGGATGGCATCACAGACTCAACGGACATGAGTTTGATCAAGCTTCAGGAGTTGGTGATGGACAGGGAAGCCTGGCATGTTGCAGTTCATGGGGTCACAAAGAGTTGGATATGACTGAGTGACTGAACTGACTGACTGCGTTTTAAAAACAAAGTAAACACTGTTCCTCCCATTATCTATTTTTTCAGCAAAACTATGTTGAGGCATGCCATAAATGCCAAACCCTGTGCTGGATAATGGCTAAATACATCAGCGGTGAAACAGAAAGAGCCTTGATTTTCTAGAGAATCAGAGTTTGATGTGAGCAACAGATAACATGCAAATAAATACATATAAAATTATAAGCTGTAATGGGGACCGTGGAGGAAATGAATGGGTGCAGAGACAAAACTCTGGGGGTGTGTCATACTGATGGGGGAGGTGGGGAAGATGCAGAGAAGATGACATTGCAGAGAAGATGACATTAAGGCTGACACGGTGGCAAGGGAGGAATGGTGGGGCAAGCTATCTAGGCGGAAGGATCAACAAGTGCAAAAGCCCCAGGGAGGGAAGAGCTTGGCTGGTGCCATTTTGAACCCAGGTCTGGTTGGAGCATCAGGAGAGAAACAACATTTGGAGAAAAGGGTCTGGGATGAGGTTCATAGATCATGGCAGGTGTTTCTATTTTGTTCCAAGAACAATGAGGAGCAACTGGGGAGTTTAAGCATCTGTCCATCTCCAACCTTAAAGAGCTGTTGTGTGATAGTCGCTCAGTTGTGTCCAACTCTTTACAACCCCATGGCCTGTAGCTCACCAGGCTCCTCTGTCCTTGGGATTACCCAGGCAGGAATACTGGAGTGGGTTGCCATCCCCTTCTCCAGGGGATCTTCCCGACCCAGGCATTGAATCTAGGTCTCCTGCATTGCAGGCAGACTCTTTACCCTCTGAGCCACCAGAGAAGTCTAAGGCAATCACCTAGACATGGGCCTGAATGTGAATCCTCTCACAGCTGTGTGACCTCTGAAACTCAGTTTTCTCATCTATGAACAGGTTAATAAAAGCCTCTTCATAGGGTTGTTGTAAGAGTTAAATGCAGCAATGGATAGTCAGGTAGAGGAGACATGCAATACATGGTGATCACGGTAACCGAGAAGATGGTCAGTACCTGGGCAGCCAGGTTCCAACACGGGAACAGGTAAGTGCAAGCGCTCTGCATCTATACTGGGGAGAAGGAGTGATGTTTCGGATGCTCAGCCAGCACAGGAAGAGTAGGGAACATGGTCAAATAGGCCCTACCACTCTCCAATCCACACCCCCACGCCCCCAGCCATCAGAAAGGATCTAGTGCTGCTATGCCCTGGCTATGACCCCAAAACAGCCCTTGGGCTCACAGGAGCTCGGGAGAGAGCCCAGCCAGCTCAGAGAACTCACCCTTGCTCCCCTCTGTGTGATTTTCTTTTTCAGTTCTCCCTGCTGTCTTTTCTCACAGACCCGGACCCAGGTGAGTGTGCAGACTACCCTGGGGCTGCCTGCCCCACAGGCTGGTTCTGGGATGCATAAAGGGGGCCCTTCGTGTGAGTGTGGGTGTGATCTCAGGGTTCCAATGTTTCGGAAGTGGCTTGGACCCCTTTGAGGATTTCCCCAAAGAAATATACTTCTGGGCGTTTATGTGTCCACACACAGCATTTCACACAATTTTGAGTTGACTGATGTTCAGTCTCAGGACTCCAAGAGAAAAACTGCTGAAGTAGTTAAACCCCTTCACTTCACAGAGAAGGAAACAGGCTCAGAGAGGGGAAGCAACCTGCCCCAGTTCACACAGCCTATTAGTAGCTGAGATGAGACACTTTGCCTTGGCGAAGGGAGGATGTCTTGAGCAAGGGCTCCAGGCAGGCCAGCCCTGTTCTACCCCGCTCCCTCCACTCCTTCAGTGGGAGGCCAGCAACTCTCTGTGGAGAGGATGGTGTCATGTAAGCAGGCTCCAGGCTGGCCCATCCCTGCAGATGGCCTCCCACCAGCAGCCCCGTGGGATGCTTCTCCCCCGAGTTTGTTTCCTCAATGTCCTTTCAGAGAAGCTCTCCTCTCACAGACACACCTGCCACCTCTCACCTTCTCCCCATCCTGTCTCCCCTGCCTGGTACCCTGGGCTGAGCAGAGCGGCTCCTTCCTGCCATCTGGTCCCCTCTGGATCTCTGTCACCAGGTCTGAGTCTCTTTTTGCTGCTCTGAGACCGAAGGGAGATAACTCCACTCACTACTTCACTGGGCGGGGGCGGGGGGAAGAACGCATCCCCCACTGGTATTGCCCCCATGTTGGTCACCTGCAGAGGACACGAGCCAGGCACAAGGAGACTACAGTCACGTCTCAGCTTTGGATCAAGGGTGTCTTTGGAGCAAAGATGGCGCTAACCAGATCAAATTCAGCTTGACAATATTCTCTGGCAGCAAAGCCCTACATGGGCAGACAGACTTGTGTTGGCTCAAGGCAGGTGACCTTCTCCCACCCCATGTGCTTGGGGAATGTTTGTGAAATCGGTACGAAATACACATGAGTGTGGCATGCGGGGGTTTGAAAGGATCGGGGTCTTTCCTCAAAGCACAAGAGAGTGTTGAATTCAGCAACATGTAATTCCTTGGAAGGATCCTATTTCAGGGAGGACTCCCTCAGATGGCCAGACCAGCAGTGTCCACACGTGGAATCCAGGGAAGATCCAAAGTCAAGAGATGGGATGAGCTGCCCCCACCCCAGCCTTCTGCACAAAACTGCTCAGGCACCACTGAATGGGCTGCTGTAGTCTGGGTGCCCAAGAAACGGAGCTGCAGAACTGTGGGTTCGCACAGAGGAAGAAAACAGGACGCTGAAGACTCGAGGGGCCTCACTCTCTTCACGTATTTGAAAAGCTGCCCCGTGCTTAGTCCATGAGGTAGCCTTTGTGGGAGTTAAGAGGGGTATTTACCTCAACACACTTTACTGCCACCTGCCAGAAAGTTGCAGAAGACTGGATTGTGCCATGAACAGTGTAAAGAACATGGACTATATGCATGGTTTTGCTGAACAGACATCACAGAAAAGGGACTGGGGACATTCTATGCATCCACAAAGCTCTCAGTTTTAATTAAACAGATTGGAAACTATAGTGTCAGATTTGATCTGCGAATAGGAGATCATCAGAGTTCTCAAAAAAAATCTCAATGGGTTTTGGGGCTCTTGGAAAATAGGGCGTTCTCCATCCCTGGTGGTATTCAAGCACAGGCTGCAAAACCACTTAATGGACATGAATTTGAGCAAACTCCAGGAGACAGGGAAGGACAGGGAAGCCTGGCGTGCTGCAGTCCACGGGGTCTCAAAGAGTCGGCCACGACTCAGCGACTGAACAACAACAAAAATAGGGAGTGGAAAGAGTGGGGCTTAACACGCTGAGTTTCTGGGCTTTATAAGAACTCTGCCAATGGCTTCTGAGAGTTCAGTGAGTGGAAGAAGGGACCTTGGAGCAGGCCACCCACAGGTTCCTGAGTCCCTCTCAAGGCGTTCGGTCAGCCTGTGGCTGTGGGATGGGGTGAGATGTCGTGACTGGGTCTGTCTGCAAAGAACAGGTTAGGTTCTAAAGACTCCTCTGTTTGTGTCTGATTTAATTTCATCTGAGGGTTGTCCTTTGATGGAATTTTGTCAGATTCCCCGCCGGCCTTAGACAATGGTGGGGCCAGAGATACACTGTGCTCGTGTCCACGGGCAAGCTGCTGCTGTGGTTGATCCTGCTGGACACAGTGCGTGGTGAGGGCCTGGCTGGCACAGAAGGAGCCAGGACACAGTCCCCAACGGGTGGCAAAGGAGGTGGTCATCAAACCACACAGACTCTACCCATCTCCCCAACGCAGGTGACGCGACAGCCCACAAGCCTATGGAAATGCCTCTTCAAAGCCAGCTAGACTGGGCCCAGCAACACAGGCTGAGCGCATCCATCAGCTGTCCTGCTGCCTGCCAGCAAGGGTCTCTGCTGGGCTTGCCCTGTCAGCCGGATTGGAAGCGTCAAACGCAGGCCGACAGGGCTGGGGTTTGGGGGCGGCCCTCAGAGGAACGGTTTGTGCCACAGTGATGGATGGTGCCAACAGGGACGGCATTCCAGGGATTTCTACTCCGTTCCACACATCTGGTGAGCTCTTTAACCCAAACAGCTGCAGAGCCCCACCCCAGGCACTCTGGAGTTTTTCTGTAGGGACCACGATAATCCCGGTCCAGGGACCTGGAGCACACGCCAAAGAAGATTTCCCAATGCGTGTTACTTCCTGGAAGCTAAAACCCATGGACTTTCAGGAAACACAAACCCACAAGAGGCTCCCGGGCTCATAAAAAGCACACTAGACTTGGAGTCAGGTAGACCGGGGTTCTGACATCATCTCTGCCCTAACTTTTCCTTTCCTGTAAAATAGAAATAAGAAGACCTATGCCATAGGGTTTTGTTTAGTTTTTTTAAGGTTAAACAGATTGTGTGAAACCACATTTACTTAGTATAGTCAGCAATACATAGAAAACAGTGAGTGTATAATAACCTCTTATTTGGATTTTTGGAGTTAAGATACTCTTACCATTCTTCCTGATAAATTCTAAAAGCAGACTCTGATAATTAGACAAATCCACAAGGGGTTCTTTTTATACCTGATATGAAATGCTTCTGACAGCTGCCCTATTCTTCCCCCAAAGCTTTCTCCTTATTCTATAGACTAGAGAACGTTTCTGATAATCTGTATTTGAACCTGGAGTGATTTTTTTCAAAATCTACCAATGGAACCAAATTTCATGTCAGGCTGCATGCAATCCCTCTCTCCCCAGGTAAGCCCTTGGACAAATTTCTATACTCCTGTCAAGCTCATCAGGCACTGTCTTCACCAAATATCGATCACCCAAATCTCACAGTTTCTCTCCTGAATTTTCTGTTTACTCTAAACCAGACAGACACCATCTTTGCTGGCAGAGCTGTGTGCCCACTGTGTGTGGCTGATCAGAAGGAAGGGAGGCTTGGGCACTGAGGGAAAGCTTGATCTATCAAATACATATGTCAGGGGCTCATAGGGCTCTGTGCTGGGCACTGTGGAGTAAAAAAGAGGAATGGGCATGGCTCTTATTCTTAAGAAGCCAACTATGTAGCTGGAGGAAACAAATCAGATAGACTATGTTAAATACGAAATGCAAGAGATATGCCCTCTGAGACTGAGCCATGCAACCTAAAGTCCTGCAACCAGCTGAGCCATTGAGGAGTTCTAGTGTCTAAAAGTTGTATCCCACCAGCAACTGAATATTAATCAAGCTATGTGGGTCTGTTTGTTATTACTACATGATGTAGTCGACCCTTGAATGATTTGAGAGTCAGGGATGCTGACCCCAATATAGTCAAAAATCTACTTTGAGTCCCCCTCACCCCCAGCTTAACTTCCCCGGTCGCTCAGCAGTAAAGAATCTGCCTGCAATACTGGAGACGTGGGTTTGATCCCTGGGTCATAAAGACCCCCGGAGAAGGAAATGGTAACCCACTCCAGTATTCTTGCTTGGGAAATCCCATGGACAGAGGAGCCTACAGTCCCTGGGGTCGCAAAGAGTTGGATATGAGTGAGAGCGCGCGCACACACATACACACACACACTGCCTTGCTTAGCAGGACTATAATTCAACATCTATGTGTTTTACTCCCTCCTTAGCTTCACTGAGGGGTGAGCAGGCCTTGTAAATAGAGCTGGATTCAAGTCAAAACCCTCCAACAGACATTTCATCCATCCCTCGTCATCTGGAAAAATCATTCCATTCCATCTATCTATAAAAACCTCCCCTCATTTCCAAATATCTGCAATGGTCTAAGCAAGATCAGCCAGTCTGACCCTCAACTGCGGGAGTGATGGGAGAAATTACAGGAGCAATTCAACGGCACTTATCTATAAACACCTGTTGGAAAAACAAAAATCAATTCTCCAAAGAAAAAAGGAAGAAAGAAATGGGGCCATCAACTCATTACCAAACCCATTGTCTCTGCAAAATGTCAGTTTGAAATCTTTCATGTCAAATTCAGAAAAACATTTTTCCCCCTCACTCTGTCCCTCTCTTTCTCTATTTTATCAAGCTAGCTGGAAAGAAACTTGATTTGCTCCAGGAAGACAATGGCTTTATCTTCAACCTAGATCCTCATGCCTGGGAAGGTGGCCTCCTCTGGGAGCATTTTCATAGTGGGGAAAAGCGGCTCAAGCGAAATAATGAGGAAGCAAAGGGAGTCTTGACTTGACACTGTGATAAATGAGGTGAAACTTTGGCAAGGAACCAGAGTTGGCGTATTCAAAAAGGAAATAAAAAGATAGTTCCATTTTAATGGGAAATATAAAACAGCCATTGTGCAAAAGTCGATTTTTCAAAGGCCAGAGAGATAAAGACTATCAGGGAATGACTGAGAGACCAGTAAGATAATGTGATTGATAATCAGGCTTAGGTAAAGTGGCATCCTCCGAGCCATCAGCTGGCTCTGTGGGAGTGCCTTTTCAAGTCCGCTATCTGCCTTTGTCCCTACGTCATTATCATATGCATCTCCGGAGGGCTTTCTTGCAGCTTCAGCTTGCCAACTTGCCATACTCCTGCCAGCTGGAGAGAGCAAACTCAACCCTACTTCTCTTAAATCCCAAACTTCTCTCTGTCAGCCACAGAGCTACCAACATCTTCCAAAGCCCCAAACAACAAACAGCTTGGGTCCAGCCTTACACACACCTGCTTTTCCCAATGGTCTGGTCTAGCGTGAGGTTTACCGCCATGGACAAGGCCGTACACTGCCCTTTCTCTCAGTGGGCAAGATCTGTGGACCTTCCCAAGGTTGTTCTTGGGTGATTCCTAATTAACAGGCTGGATATGCAGTGGGAATGACTGGACCCCTTTGCCAAGGGCAAGTGTGAATTCTCTGAAGCATTGTGAGTGGCCCGCTGAAGAAGTTGAGAGTGTGCAATTTAGGGGTTATGTGGAGGTAAGCTGCTTAGTTCATAAGTTACCATCTGTGTGTGACCCTGGACAAGTTACTGAACCTCTTTTAGACTCGGGTTTCTAAGTTTCAAGTAGAGATAATAATACACTTCCTAGATTTTCAGGAGAATGAAATGGGATGGTTCATGTAAAATGCTTAGTACAGAGCCTGGTACATAGTAAAGACTCAGTAAATATTAGCGGTTATGATGACTCTATAGAAATAACTTGGGAGCAGTTTGATGCTGTGACCGAAAGGGAGGTGACAAATTTCTTTGACTTGATTGAGCTGAAGTGACTGGTAAAGTCCCACTGAGAAATTTCATTCACAGAACCACACAACAAGGCACCCAAGTGCCCCTGGATCTGACCCTGGGCAGATCTCGTATAGCAACTTGGAGGATTCCTAGACCCCAGTCATCTTCCTGTTGTTACAGGTGAGGAAACTGAGGCCCCGAGAACACAGTTGGCTTGTGTCCCAGGTCATGGTCAGCGAAAAGCCAGAACTTGACATCTTCTGCCCATTTCCGGTCACATGCTCTTGACCTTGCCAAATGCCAGTACTGGCTCACGGGGTCATAACCCCCCAAATGAAAATTCACAATGCCTGACCCCTTCTATATACCCTATCAGTGTCAGGAGCTGAAAAGACAAAAGAAGCCTCTTTTAGGACCTAGAAATCTTTGGGAAACGGGGCTGTCAGTGAAATAAAATGGTGGCTTTTTAAATCTAATGATTAGGGTTTCTTCTGTCCTGTTCCCACATCTGTAGATTGGACTCCTGACCAGTATGAGTACAGCCAAGAGGATTATAACCAGCAAGAGAACGCCAGCACTATCCCTGACTATCCTGACAACCCTGACTGGTACTACGAAGGGGATGGTGGGTACCAAAGCTGTTTGGGGGCCCTCCCGAAAGGAGAGCAGCATACCCAGCGGGGAGTTTACCTAAGACCACATGCAGCGGCTCTCCCCCTCCTCTCTGAATGGCATCATAAAATAGGTTTTGGAAAAAGTTATTTAGAGTGGCTTTTTTTTTTTTTTCTGGTTAGAATCATATACTGTGAAAACTGGGGAGGTTGTTAGAGACCATCTCTTCCACCCTCAAATGACGGGGGAAGCAAGTGAGGCCAAGAGAGGAGCTGACTTAGCCAAGATCACACGGCAAGTTAGTGCATCGTCATCCAGGTCTCCCGACCCTGTGGGTTAGAGTCATGTTCAAAATCATTCCCAGAGCTTTCATGACATGCGGGTCCTAATTATGCAGAAGAAGTTCAGTTAGCATCAGGCATCAGACTGTAGCTAACGCACAGCTGGCATCAGGACTTCCCTTTCACCTGCGCTGGGTTTTCCTTTCTCTTTTCACTCTTCGGAAGCTTTGCACGGTTGTTAAGTTGTGTGTGTGTGCATGTGTGTATTCACACGTGTGCTTCGGCCACATTTGTTTTTGTTTCTGTGGCTTCTTAACCCACGCAAAGGGACAGAAAGGAAAATGAGAAGCTGGGCCTAAGCACAGGCACGTGACTAAACCAGGAGAAGGAATGGGAAGCACTTAGCAGCTGGAATAAAAGCTGTGTAACTGCGAAGTGGCCTGGAAGGCAGGGCCAAGATCCGGGGCATCAGGGGAACATCAGAAGGGACCATCAAAACAAGAGCCAGGCCCAGGGATCCTAGTTCCTGAACCAAAGAACAATGTGTGTGAACAGAAGGATAAAGAATTCCCCAAGGGAAGATCCATTCAGACAACCATGAAAAGCCAAAGGCACAGATGAAATATGACAAAATCTAACTGAACAAGTAGTTGAAGAAAGATGAAGGCCACTGGGTCATTTCCTCCTCGCCGTCAATTCTTCTGTCCCCCTCTTGCCTTTGGTCTTCTTTCCTGATGTTCAGAAGGCTGGTGTTTCATTAGGGGTGGGTTTTCGTTCCCCACTCCTGACCTCCACCCCTGGGCACTGGGAGTAGGGGAGGTCTTCAGGCTTGTGAAATGCCTTCAGCATCAGAGACAGACCCCGTGGCACTCCCAGCGAGACTGGGAGGAGAGAGACAGTGATGACGGGAAAGGGGAGTTACTCCAGGAGAAAGGCCCCATCCAAAGCCAGGCCGAGGGAGACAGGCACGATTCCTTCTCGCCTCTCCTCTTACTAACTCGAATCCCTCCCTCTGCCCTTGTGATGGCAGTGTTCCTGGCTCTTTAAGGGCAAAGCATGTTTCCCCCTTTCCCTGATCACTGGCTCTGTAGTTCCTCTCTTACTGGGGGCAGGAGGCAGAAATCCAGTGAGCGAAGGGGGGCGTCTCACCTGCTTTTCGTTGCAAACCTTGACTTCTGCCCATGTGCTTTAGACCCATGCCTGTCCAACCCCTGCACACGTGGTGGGGACTGCCTCATCCATGGGACCACCTTCACCTGCCGCTGTCGGGACCCTTTCTCTGGAAACAGGTGTCAGAATGGTGAGTGTACCTTCACCAGATCCATTCTTTCCTCCAAGTTGAATAACAGGCATTTGTTCCTGCAGTTCTAGGGCGGTCATGAAGGCTCTCAGAGATCCCATGGAAAGGCTGAAAACCACACATATTATATTATGAATAAAGGATTCCTCAGCCTGGTCAAGGCAACATCTCCCTGAGTCCTCATCCCCACGTGTTAGATTGGACTAATATGTCCATTCCACAGATGAGAACACTGAGGAGATAAGAACTGGATCCTGACCAGGGCTCATTAGTATTGTTGTTTGGAGCGTTTAGACCAACTTCAACAGAAAAGTGTTCTCAAATAAGGGAGCAGGAAGGTGCTCAGGGCACATGAGGCCCAATCCTGTTCGAGAAGGGAGAGCAGAGTATACAGGGGACTTGTGCATGGTCACACATCTAGTTAGGAGAAGAGCAGGAATTAGAGATCTGGAGCCTGATTCCAGCTGGAGGCTCTCTCTTCCTGCCATCCCTCACTCATGGAGACTCTGATAAAAGCTGTGTCTGCCTTTAGTGACCTCTTGTGGGCATAGCATGAGGTGATAACGTATTGGGAATAGAATTCTTATGGGCCAATTATAATTCTCTTAGAGAGAACCTGGATTCTGTCCTATCTAGTGACCATATAACTGGGGTGGGGGAGGCAGTGAGGGTTTTAAGGTTGACATCTTTTCTCTGTGCCCTTTTCAATTATTCCTACCAGTTTCTTTTTTTGTTTGTTTTGTTTTTTTTTTCTACCATTTTCTTAAAAAAGAAAATTCATGTATTTATTTGGTTGTGCTGGGTCTTAGATTGGGCATGTGCAATCTTTAGTTGTGGCATTTGAACTCTTAGTTGTAGCATGTGGGATCTAGTTCCCCACCCAGGAATTGAACCTAGGCCCTCTGCACTGGAAGCATGGAGTCTTAGCCCCAGGCCACCAGGGAAGTCCCTCTTATCATTTTCAACCCTACAAAGTCTAAATAAATGCTTCAGGATGGTTTGGGACATCAGGCACAAACACAGCATTTGAGTTTATCCCTCCACTTCTTGGAAGAGTGACAAATGGTAAATGGAACATAAAATCAGCTATAAAGTGGAGAAACTCAAATTGCAGATCCATTTGGATTTTTTGAAGGTTTAAAATTATCAAAGTGCTTATAAAGATAGAATAATAAAGGCTATGAGCACTAGGAACTCATAAGGAACTGGGAAGTAATCATCCATGACCCAAGGATAAGGGAAGTTTTCTGGGGAGGTGGGGGGGTGGGGTGAGGGATGGGAGATGGGTAGCATGGCGTTTCAGAACCATGGACAAGGGCACATGCTCTACCAATCACCATCACTACCTCTCCCAGGACCACCTCCTAAATATTGTACTGTGCAGGTACCTCTCAATGTAAAATGTGCCCCAAATAACAGCCTGTACTTTGATAAAACTTCTCTATTGATCTCCCACAGTGCAAAACAAGTGCAAAAACAACCCATGTGGCCGGGGAGACTGTCTCATTACTCAGAGTCCTCCTTACCACCGCTGTGCCTGCAAACACCCTTACAGGGGTTCAGACTGCTCCAGAGGTAAGTACTGGAAGCCTCTTCAATGCTAAGCTCTCTCTACCCAGACTTATGCCTGGGATGTCAGTATCCTACTGTGTGAAGTCCAGATACCAATCCAAAGTTTGGTGGCATTCAAGATGGCCCTTTTAACTAAGACTTTTTAATATTCATTATCCCTGGAGAGTCCAGGGGGAATTGACTGGTCTGTGTGCCTTCCCGGAAAAAATCATCTTGAAACGCACTTCTAGGAAGTAAGCCCTGGGCCATTCCTAGAATGAGTCGTGTATATTTATTCACTGCTGTGAGTCAGACATTGTCCCAGGAGATTTACATTCTCCCACAGACACTACAAGAAAGAGTTTTACAGATGAAGAAATTGAAGTTCAGTGAGGTTAGCTAACTTGTTCATGGTTATACAGCTATCAAGGGGCAGAGCTAAGTTTCAACCTCTCTCAGACTGGCCCCAAATTCCTGTTCAGTCCATGCATCTTGTTATTCCTTACTGAACAACCCATCTACTTATATATTCATTTTTGCTGGCCTCCATCATATTGCTTCACCCATGTTTGTTTATGTTCTGAAGGTGTGTGTGTATGTTTACTAGCATGTCAGTGGGTCTCTCTTTCGCCTTTGGTGACCCATCTTCTGTGAAAGGATGGACACCAGAAAAGTGCCACCAGCATCTCCTCATCAGCTCAGATGTAGCTGCAACTCCTCCTAAAGAGTCTTCCTGGACCCACTCCCTGTGTTCACAGTGGTTCCTGTGTGCAAGCCAAATCCATGCCAAAACGGTGGCACCTGCTCCCGGCAGAGGCGGAGGTCCAAGTTCACCTGTGCCTGTCCTGACCAGTTCAAGGGAAAACTCTGTGAAATAGGTATGGGTCTCTACCACCACTTCTCCAGAATCTCAGAACCACACAGGAGGCCTCTGGAATCCTTTATCTGTTGGGGACTTGGCAGAACAGGATTCAAGTCAAGATTCCCAAGTGCTGCTATTGCTTTAGCCTTCCAACCAAAGGGCATAGGGTGTGTCCTGCTCCGTGTAAAGGATGTAATAAATGGGGATATATGTAGGCAAGTCAAATACACCTGGGCATCCTTGGTCCTCAATGCACCTACCTCAATGCACCTCAGTGCACCAGTTCTTGTTTGAGCCAAAATTAAAGAATTCAGTTCCCACCCCCCCATCCCTATGATATTCTATGTTTTTAAGCTGGGTTGAAAGTGGAACATTCTCAAACCACCTTATTTCTGGGACCTGTGGTGAAATCTCTGGGTGATCAATATTTAGGCCCAGTCCTCTCACCACCTGATATACCTGGCAAGTCCTTTCCGGGTGAGGCACGCCAGTTGGCCTCAGCCCTCACATCCCTGCCTGCTCTCTCCGAGGTCCTGATGACTGCTATGTTGGTGACGGCTACTCTTACCGAGGGAAAGTGAGTAAGACAGTCAACCAGCACTCCTGCCTTTACTGGAACTCCCACCTTCTCCTGCAGGAGAATTACAACATGTTTATGGAGGATGCTGAGGCCCATGGGATTGGGGAACACAACTTCTGCAGGTAAAACTTACTTTCCTCTCTCTGCTCAGTCTTGGCTACTTGTCAGGGTGAGGATTTGTTTGTCCTTTCCCCTTGCTCCTAGTTTTCCTGAACCAGCTTAGAGATTTTGGAATGAACACTGAAACTCATCAGCTTACTATCAATAGGAAGATTTTCCAACTCAGTATAGGTTATGTTATGCTGCTGTAACAAACAACCCCAAACCCCAGATGCTTGAAAACATCACTGTTTATTTCTCACATTGTGTGTTTCATGTAGGTTGGGGTGGGGGTATTCTTAACCCAACAAAGTTACTCAAATATCCAGGGAGGGCAAGGAGAGGCTGGAACATGGAGCATGAGATTTTTACTACCTCAAGCTAGAAGTGACACATCATTTTGGCACACCTATTTCATTGGCCAGAAATAGTCACATGGTCCCATATAAACTTCAAGGGAGAAATGGAACATCAAAAGAGAAAATGAAAGGTTTGGTGAGCCTTACAGTCTCTGCCACAAGGATGTGCAGGTTTTCCCAGATAAGAATAATGCTATTTCCATCCCTGGTGATGACTAGTTACCTTCATCCCCATCTGCTGCCTCCAGACCATTCTGTTGCCTTCCTCCCTCTGCTCATTGTCTAACCAAGGCCAAGGACATTCTATACGGTCTCCATATAGAAACAGGGATTTTGTGTATGGCTTTCAACTGGTTCCATTAAGCAGAAGGATTTCCCTTGCACAACACACAAGTGCCCTTCCACTTTCGTTGACCTTGAGCTGTTCCTTCCATGGGATTGTCTTCAGGGTAGCCTCTCTCAGAGAATTCTCAAGCTCCGAATTTGAAACTTTGGTCAAAGAAACCCTTCTCTCACCCTGTTTCTATAGTTATTTCATGTTCCTAACAAAGAAGGATCTTCAATAGGGATCTCATTTATTTTCCTGCAAAAAAATTTGTGTCTTGTGGATCTGGCATAAAGCTTGTGAACTACTTCCTGGTTATTGAGATTCCCCTCCAGAAGTTAAGACTTGGTCCCAGAGCTATAACAACCCTTATATGCCAAGCTTTGCTAACCTGTTGGAGGAATGGAATAGAAGGTAGCCCTGGGTGCTGGGGGCAGAGGGTGCAAGAACTTGATATTCTTTTACCCAAAGGTCCTTTAATGAAGTCCAGTGGGTTCACCAAGCCCTGACTCCGGCTTACTTTGTTCATTTGTTTTTTTAGAAACCCAGATGGAGACAAAAAGCCCTGGTGTTTCTTTAAAGTAGACAATGCAAAGGTGAAATGGGAGTACTGTGATGTCCCTGCCTGCTCTGCCCTAGGTAAGACCGTGGCTGTCTGGAGGTCCGGTAGTGGGGAGGTTGTAGATCTACAGACAGATATTCCTAGAACTCGCTCTCTCTCATACTCCTACCCTCCCTCCAGACCTGCTTCATCATTTGCCATCCTAGTGGCAACCCAACTCCCCGACACTCTGCTCGCAGGTCGAGCAGACCTGGGCAGCTTTGTAAACTCAGGCCCCCTGGCTCCCAGTTAGTGCATTCAGCAAATACTGATTGCATGCTTGCCACATGCCAGGCGCTGTGCCAGTGGTTTTCAAACATTGGCTGGGCCTTTACAGCCTCTCAGAATGCAGCATGGACTGAGTTCCAGCTTCACGGTCTTTCTGAAAGGCTGCCTTGGTCCACTTCTCTACCCACATCTGAAGCTATGCACCCTCCTGCCCTGATCAGTGGAATTACTTCCATGAACAGTTTCATTTTGGGGCCTTTGCTCTGTCCCATATATGCTCTTGTCCATATCTAACCATTCTTTGAGAATCACCCCAAGTAATCACTCCTCCTGACTCAAATGGTAAAGAATCCACCTGGAATGCAGGAGATCTGGGTTCAATCCCTGGGTCAGGAAGAGCCCCTGGAGAAGGGAATGGCTACCCACTCTAGAATTCTTGCCTGGAGAATTCCATGGACAGAGGATCTTGGTTGGCTATAGTCTGTGGGTCACAAAGAGTCTGACAAACGGGGCAACTATCACTTTCAATCACTCCTCCAGAAAATCCTCCATGATCTACCAAGTGAAGTGTTATCTCTCACTCCTTTCAAACCTCATGAAATAGATTGGGCACCACCCATACAAGTCTCATTGCTCTTTCCTTTGGTTGACAATTATCTGTGCAAATGTCTCATCTACCCAACTCATCCCCTGGAGGAGGAAATGGCAACCCACTCTAGTGTACTTGCCTGGAAAATCCCATGGACAGAGGAACTTGGTGGGCTACAGTCCATGGAGTTGGACACAACTTAGCAACTAAACCACCAGAGATGGATTTCTATAATGATACTTATTTGCACATGTTTTTTTAAAATACTATTGCTATACAGTGTTATGTAAGTTACAGGTGTGTACTAGAAGGATTCACAATTTTTAAATGTTGTACTAAATTTATAGCTATTATAAAATATGGACTATATTCCTCCTGTTGTACAACAAAATAAATGCCCTGTAGTTTATTTTATACCTAATAGTTTGTGCCTTTTAATCCCTTACCCCTGTCTTGCCTCTCCTCCCTCTGTCTCCCCACTGTTAAGCACTAGTTCATACTCTAATAGAGTCTGCTTCTTTTTTGTTACAGTCTCTATTTGTTATATTTTTTAGATTCCATATATAAATCATATACATTTTTATGTGTTTGTATACATATCAAAATAAGAAGGAAAAAGCAATGTCTTCATCATTAATTCTATAGACTTGCTTTGTGTTAATCAATGTGCTCAACAATTTTTTAAGGGTATGTATAAGCATGCAGACTTTTTTTTCCCACTATACCGAGTGGACTTGTAGGATCTTCCGTCCTCCACCAGGGATTGAATCTGGGCCTTTAGCAGTGAGAGCACAGAGTCTTAACCACTGGACCATCAGGGAATTCTGCCGACAAATGTTAATGCACATGCACCCATCCTGTATGCACCAGTACAGTCTCTTAGCTCTGGACACTAGCTCAGCTTCTAAGGAAGAGCCATACCTCTGATAAGGTCCTCCTGAGGACCTAGAGGGAGGGTGGAAGTGTGGTTTATTTCTCTTGTGTTTCACAGACGTTGCCAACCCAGAGGGAAGACCCACGGAGTCCTTGACCAAGTTTCCTGAGTTTGGGTCCTGTGGGAGGACTGAGATAGCAGAGAGGAAGGTCAAGAGGATCTTTGGAGGCTTTAAGAGCACAGCGGGCAAGCACCCGTGGCAGGCGTCCCTGCAGACCTCGCTACGACTGACCGTCTCCACGCCCCAGGGCCACTACTGTGGGGGGGCGCTGATCCACCCGTGCTGGGTGTTGACTGCCGCCCACTGCACTGAGTAAGCGCCTGCTGGGAGCAGAGGCCAGGGTGGCCAGAATCCGCAGGGGGTGCTGTCCCCTTCCCATCTGATCAGCATCTTGACAACTCTGGCAGGTCTAGGGAGTCTGATCTAGCTCCAAGGGCAAAAGCGTGTCTCCTTAAAACCAGACAACAGAAGAAAGCTCCTGTGTGTAGAATGCTTACCACATGCATTATATGTGTTATAACAGTCAAGCCTCAAAACTGACGGCTGAATGACCAGCAGGAGAGCTCTGTGAGCCAGACCATGATTACAGATGAGGATGCCACGGGGCGAGAAGTCAGGTCATCTGTCAAAGGTCACACAGCTCATGGGTGTGGCTCCAGCCTCTCAAATTCCAAGACTAGTTCCTGATCATCATACTTTCCCCTTACAGGATAAAAACCAAATATCTAAAAGTGGTGCTTGGAGACCAGGACCTGAAGAAGACGGAATTCCATGAGCAGAGTTTTGGGGTACAGAAGATATTCAAGTACAGCCACTATATTGAAATAGATGACATTCCCTACAATGATATTGGCAAGTCTCTTCTATCATGGCTTTCCTGTTTCTCTTGTCCTGGGATGGATTTCTCTACTGACAGAAAGTTGAGGCTTGGTTCTGGAAGGTGATCTAAGCAGGTCTTTCATAGACCCTGTAAGGTAAAGCATTTCTTCCAGGGCGTTTTAGTTTTGAAAGGTCTGTGTTAGTGTTGCAGATAAATGTGCACAAACTTTTAAACTGAGGGCTGGAACATCTGATGCAAAGAACGGTGTGCTGCGCAGAGCTCAGTCTTGAATCCCTACTCCCCCACTTACTAACCGGTTTCACCCTTCTAAGTCTCAATTCCCTCTTCTGTGAAACGGGACACTGGTGTCCAACTCTTCACTTCCTGTATGCTAAGTGACATGATGTACATGTGTCCCAGGTACATCTGGCACCTGGTAGGCAATGATGTACTTAAGCTTCTTGCTCCTTAGTTCTGTATCTTATTTCTTCCTTCACATACTTCTCACTCTCCCTCTTCAACACTGTGCACACGTGCTAAGTCGCTTCAGTCATGTCCGACTCTGTGCGACCCTTTGGATGGTAGCCTACTAGGCTCTTCTGTCCCCAACGTCTTTTCCCCCCTTAAAGCCTGTTTTTCTAAAATGGTATTCGAAATTATTTCAAACTCAGTTATTATTTCTTAGTATTACTCTCAGCCTGAAGTGTAATGACTCCTCCCCAGGTGAAGGTTAAAAGCATGAAATGATAACCGAAGAATCTGGGGTATCGGGAGTGGGGTTTTCCTATGACCGCCTTCCAATCAAACTAAAGCTGATGCTTCTTTGACAGAGAGGGTTTCATCACCCATTTCCCCTCTCTCTCCCTAGCCTTGCTCAAGCTGAAGCCAGTGGATGGTCATTGTGCCCTAGAATCCAAATATGTGAAAACTGTCTGTTTGCCCGATGGTCCCTTTCCCTCTGGGACTGAGTGCCACATCTCTGGCTGGGGTGTCACAGAAACAGGTGAGTCTGGCCATGCATTCTTCTGAGACTCAGGTGACTTACATCCACCAAGCAAGAAAGGGTCACATTCAACTGCCCTCCTGGACTAGAAATCAGAGTTATATTCAAAACGACTTATCAAAAGAAAAAGATTGCCCCAGCTTTCTGTGTATGTACTCAGTCATGTTTGACTCTTTGCAACCCCATGGACTGTAGCCTGCCAGGCTTCTCTGTCTGTGGGATTTTCCAGGCAAGAACATTGGAGTGGGTTGCCATTTCCTACTCCAGGGGATCTTCCTGGCCATCTCTCTAGCTCTAGTTAAATTTCATCACCTTCACAGTCTCCTCTGATCTCCACATCTGTCCTTGGCCCTAGCCCCTAGCTCCTTGACTTTCACCAAGCATTGATCTTGTATCCATGGAGAATTTCCTCCTTTCCTAGGTAGATAAAGTACTGACAAGATTATGTTGTTATTGTTCAGGCCCTAAGTCGTGTCCAACTCTTTGTGACCCCATGGACTGCAGCATGCCAGGCTTCCCTGTCCGTCACTATATCCCAGAGTTTGTTCACGTTCATGTCCGTTGAGTAGGTGATGCTATCTAATCATCTCATCCTCTGCTGCCCTCTTTTCCTTTTGCCTTCCTTCTTTCCCAGCATCAGAGTCTTTTCCAATGAGTTGGCTATTCCCATCAGGTGGCCAAAGTACTGGAACTTCAGCTTCGGCATCAGTCCTTCCAATGTATGTGCCCTGTAATACGGAAATTCAGAAGTAGTATCTTAAGTGTTTCTCAAATTCTCAAAATAGATTTCTCTCCCTTCCAATCTTGTTCTTAATAACGGAAAGCAAGGATCATTTCAAGTAGGCTTCTCTCCCCATCTCCTGGAAACACCCCCACAGCCTGAACTTGGGGCTGGGGGCCCTCTTCTGACCACTGCTGACTTCTGGTGGGGCAGGTTCCACCCTGGTCTCTGCAGTGGCAATGTCTTTTCTCTGCCCATCAGGAGAAGGGTCCCGCCAGCTCCTGGATGCCAAGGTCAAGCTGATCAGCAACACGATGTGCAACTCCCGCCACCTCTATGACCACTCGATCGATGACAACATGATTTGTGCAGGAAACCTCCAGAAGCCTGGACAAGATTCCTGCCAGGTCAGAGATTCCACGTGGCATTTGGAGAAAGCAGGGCCTTACACGGGGGAAGAGAGGACCCTTAGAGCCCCGGGCAGGGAAGAGGGGCAGAGACCCACTTGCCATTCAGTCAAGGTGGGCACATCTGTCCTCTGGCAAACCTGAATCCACACCAGACCAGGAGGGCTCAGCATCAATACCATAGCAGTCACTTTGCTCACTGTTGTTGAATTTGATTCTGACCAGTCTGGTGAAGGATGTCACTATCACCATTGTACAGATGCTTAGAGAAATTATCTGGTCCACAGCTCCTGGGTGGAAAGTGCAGAGCAAGAATTTGTTCCTCTGTGTTAAAATGTGAAGAGGGTGTTTCTTCCCTCAGCGCTGGGCAGCTTGTCTGAAAATCCCAATAACCAGGGGACATTTGCAAAGACCAGTGGTTAGAAAGAGAAAGATGAGGGGCCAGAGAATTCACAATATTGAGTCACCATTAGGATTTAAATGTGTGTGTGTGAAGGGGGAAGGAAATTTAACCCTAATACACTAATTGGCTGAGTGGCTCCTCTGTGGCCAGAGCCAATTTAGATCCTGCCTGACACCCACCACGACAGGACTTTGGGGGACAAGATGGGCACATTCAAACCTGAGTTCCTCCCTATAAAGGAACTCAACAATGATCTGCAACCTTGAGCCTGCTTTGGGATGGGAAATCATGGTCACTCTCAGGGTCTGTGGCTTTCTTGTGACCCTCTGCCCTTTCCCAAGGAGCCACAGGTATCTACCTACTTAAAGGAAGGGTGTGGGCAGATGGGAGGGATTTTCCCTGAGTCCCTAGAAGATGGATAAGGAGAAACAGATTGCAGGATTTTAAAAAGACAGCCAAAGGTTTGAAACCTTCTTCTGTCCTTTATTTTGTGAACTTTATCAGTTACTGAATGGCTTAGTCAGCTTGGGCTTCTATATAAGTGACTGCAGAATGGGTGGCTAAACAGCAGACATTTATTTCTCACAGTCCTGGAGGCTGGAAGACTGAGATCAGGGTGTCGGCATGGTTCCAGTGAGGACCCTCTCTGACTGCCAACTTCTCATCGTGTCCTCATGTGGCAGAGGGGAGAGAGAGAGAGAGAGAGCGAGAGAGAGAGAGCTCTCTAGGTCCCTTCTGCATTTGTGCTTAGTCGCTCTGTTGTCTGACTCTTTGCGACCCCAAGGACTGTAGCCCACCAGGCTCTTCTGTCCATGGGATTTCTCCATCAAGAATACTGGAGTGGGTTACCATTTCCTTCTCCAGGGGATCTTCCTGACCCAAGGGTCAAATCTGGGTTTCCTGCATTGCAAGTAAACTCTGTACCAACTGAGCCACAAGGTTTCAACAAGGGCACTAATCCTGTACATGGTCCCCACCCTCCCAACCTAATTACCTCCCCAAAGCCCCACCTTCTAATAAAACATTAGGCTTTAACACAGGATTTTGAGCAGGGCAGGGAGGACACAAATGTTCAATCTGCTGCCCTCAAATACTTAGCCAACCTCAGGTGTCTAATCTATAAAATGGAACTAGGGTATCCATAAAACTTGGAGATTGTGGCTAAGAGTGAAAGAAATAATTCATTAAATATCCTACCAGGTGTGTAAGCAGGAGCAGATATGTGTGCGTGTGTGTGTGTGTGAGCTATCGTTCTCATTCCTGCCTCCCCACCATCCTCCCCCTCTCCACTCTAACTGGGGGTTTAATGTGAACCACGCACTGTCCCATAAGCCTTACAAGCCTTAGTCCTCACAAGAAACCTCGGGTGGGTTCTGTTGCCACCTGTGGTTTACAGTGTGAGAAATGGAGGCCCCAGAGGCCAGCAGATGGACAGCCCCACAGCCCACGCTGAACATCATGGCCATGATGCCTCTGAACCCCATCCTTCCTGACCAGTGTGTGCCCTGTGGGCCCTGGAAGGTGCTCTGTCCAAACAGGGCATCCCTCCAGCCCCTGTTAGATCCCAGGATGGAATGAGAAGTTGAGAGCCCCTTAGTAATACCTGTATGATGGAGCCATGGTGGGTTAGGAAGTCAGGGTGTGACCTGGGCCCAGCCCGGTGGCTTCCCTGCCAAGGCCTCTCTGACTTAGGACGCAGGTTGGTATCTGCTTCTCTCCCTTCAGAGCACTGCATCGTATGAGGCACAGGAAGAACCTTGTTGCCACTTTCCCCAGGGTTGGCCAATGGTCCCACCCCCAACCCCTAGCATCCCCTCATGGAAGGCAGGGCTGTCTCTGAGTGTATACTGAGCCACAAAGTGGACTCCTGCATCTTTTCCCATAGGGCGACTCTGGAGGCCCTCTGACCTGTGAGAAGGACGGCACCTCCTACATCTACGGGATCGTGAGCTGGGGCCTGGAGTGTGGGAAGAAGCCAGGGGTCTACACCCAGGTGACCAAATTCCTAACGTGGATCAAAGCCACCATGGAGAAGGAGGCTAGCTTCTGAGGTATCTTCTGAGGCTCACAGCCCGTGCTGTGAACGCCCAGATGAGGCGAGGCCCCGTGGGCAGCAATGGATGCCCCCTGGAGCCTCTGAGCATCCAAGCTCTAAGCAGAGACCACTGCTGCCCAGCCCAGGGCACCCGGGACCAGCATGGCCCCCACTTCCTCAGGCTCCCTCCTGGGAAACCCAGAAATGACAGAATCAACCTGAAGTGCAGGACGTTTGCTTCCCTTCCAACAATCGTAGCTTCTAGAAAATCAGTGTTCACAGCCTGCCTTCACCTGGGACATTGGCAAGTGTGAGCTTCCAGACGGCTCAGCGTCGGTGGGGGTCACCTCTACGTCTTTATTCCTCAGACACTCAAGGTGCACAACAGGGCCAGCCACCCACTGCTAGGTGTTAGACGAGGACCAGAACACAACTTTCTCCACCCTTTTTCAGGGAGTTGTTATTTTAATAAAGGAGGACTAGGGCAGGGGCGCCATTTTCACAGTTGGCTCCAACTGAAGCCATGTCTCCGGCGTGCAGATTTCCTCTCCAGCTTCTCTCCCAAGAGCCAAGGGTGGATGCCGCCCGCTCAGAACGGGGGGGCCTTCCTCCTTTTGACGTGCAGAATCTCGGTGGCATCTGGGTTTACAACCCCCCTCTGATCATCTCCGGTCTCCACAGCCTCCGGCACCCCCTGCAGAAACCAAACACATCTCCCTGAGTGAAGCGGAAGCTCCCACAAGACAAGCTGTCTAAAAAGCTCGCCTTCTCCTTCCTTTCCCCCTCCTCCATCCTCCCCAAGAAAAAGGAACCTCAAGGCAAGACAGAGAAAGAAGCAGAGCCCATCTCTCATTTAGACGGCGCACCTTTCTTCTGAACAAAGTAGGGTTCAAAACCCAGACTGTGGTAGATAGCGTGGCTCTGACCCCTTCCGCGCCTGTAACGAGCAAGCAGTCGGCACAGCCTGGCCCGCGTGGCCAGGATTGATGTAGCCCCGGCACGCTCGCCTCCAAAGAGCTAATGGCTGTGACTTCAGAGAAAACCCCGCAGGAAGTTTAACCCAGGTGTCATCCGCCTGGTCATCTCAGACCCATGAAATTAGGGGCCTTGCCTGAGCTGCATCGCACGCGTCTTTAGAGCCAGCTAACCTTTGGCCAAAAATAAAGTTTGAAAAGAAACAATTGAGTTCGCCTTTCCCCCTGCCGTGGCCTTGCCTGCCAGCCCGCTACTTACATAAGCCCCTCGGAGACCCAGGCCCCTCGCGTTGGCCAGTTCTGCAGCCCGCCGAGCCATTTCCACTTTGTAGGAGCCAGGAGGTGTCCAGCCAATACCTCTGGTCAGGTTCAAGTCAGATTTGTACTTGACCTTGGGAGAACGAGGGAGGCAAGGGGAATAGGTCAGCAGGGCATAGAGTGGAGAGGCTTAGAAAGGCTGCCCTGGGGACTATGTTGTTAGTGAAACCAGGATGTGGGAGCCAAGCTGTCTTACGCAGGAGATCCTTGGCACTGAGGATGTACTGTGCTGGGAGTCAGGCCAGCATAGCACTGTCCCCTGCATCTCTCTACTCAAGGGGGCTGCAGTGGGGGTGGAGGCTCAGAGATCTGGTTCAAGGCCGAGCTCCTATCTAGACCCGCTCTGTAACCTTAAGGAAGTCATTTCCCATTCAGGGGCTTCAGTTGCCTCTCAGAGATAAAGGGCCCAGGCTGCTGACTACTAAGATCCCTTGGAAAGAGTGTGTATGTGCTAAGTCACTTCAGTCGTGTCTGACTCTTTGCCGGACTCTAGCCCATCAGGCTTCTCTGTCCATGGGATTTCCCAGGCAAGAATACTAGAGTGGGTTGCCACGCCCTCCTCCAGGGAAGCTTCCTGACCCAGGGGTCGAACCCGTGTCTCTCACATCTCCTGCACAGGCAAGCGGGTTCTTTACCCCTCGTGCCACCTGGAAAGCCCTGGAAAGAGTAAGGCACAGCAGTCAAGACCTTGGGCTCTCACATTAAGCCATATGGGGTTCAGATCCCAGCCCTGCTACTGAGCCATGGGATCCTGAGTCAGTGACTTCACCGCTCGAAGCCTCCGGTTCCCCATCTGTAAACCGGCTGGTTGTGAGAGCCTCGAGGCACAACATGGAAAGCATTTGGCACAGAGCCTGGCCCACAGGAAGGGCTCGCTACACTGGGATTCTTGTCCTTTCTTCTGGCTCTATCATGTTAGGTCTCCTAGGTTCTATCTCAGCCCAGCTCCTCCCTGAGGGTAACATGGGATGTGGGATTATGCACACCTCTGATGAAGGGAACCAGAGGCAAGGCCTAGGCCTGGGGGGCGGGGGGGAGAGCAGCTCACATCGCTCTGCAGCCGGTGAGCCTTCTGCGCGTGTTTCAGGCCCAGCTGCTCCGGGTCGCAGGTGGGCTGGGGCAGGGGCTGCCTGTAGTGCACGTCGCTGGCCAGCTGCTGGCTCCTCTTGGCCTGGAGGAAGCCGGGCTGGTCTGGGCGGCTGTGGAACTGGGACCGACTCTTGGCGAAGTCCTTCTTGTACTCGTTGTCACTCTGGAGTCTGCCGACGCTGAGGAAATGCTTCATCCTTGGGTCGTCGTGGATGCTGCGGTACCCAATCTGCAGGCCCCGGTCCCGCAGGAAGGCCTCTTTGTACCGGAACTGCAGGGAAGAGGAGCAGTGGGGGGTGGGGGTGGTCACCGGTGCCCCCCTTCCCTCCAGAGCCAGCCCTCGGGATTCTCAGTAGGATGTGCAACAGTGGGTCAAGGGTACCACTTTGGATTCAAGTAGGCCTGGGATCCGGGTTTCCCTCTGTTTCCTTTAGCTGCGTGGCCTTGGGTCTCTCTGAGCTTTGGTTTCACCACTTGATAAAATGGGTGCATGAACCTCCACCCCACAGGATCTTGAGAGGATTCAGCGAGACGGGGCTGAGCTTCATGTCCGGCACAGGCTCACGTCCACCCAGTGGTAGGTGCCGGTATTGCTTTGGTAACAATCCAACAGCCAAGAAGTGCACCCATTCTATCAGCAGCCACTCATCCTTTGATTCTTTCCAGCTTTCAGGGACCCAACCCAGAGCTTCTCAAACCATGTATAGTGAAAAACGTGATTGATTCACTTTGTTTTGCTTTTTAAAATTTCCAATCCATCAAAGTCCGGTATGTGGTCCTTCTGCCTGTGACTGCATGTGCGCTCGGTCGCTCAGTCGTGTCTGACTCTGTGTGACCCCATGGAGCTCCTCTGTCCGTGGGGTTCCCCAGGCAAAAATACTGGAGTGGGTTGTCATGCCCGCCTCCAGGGGATCTTCCCCACTCAGGGATCAATCCACATCTCATGTCTCCTGCATTGGCACTTGGGTTCTTTGCCACTAGCACCACCTGGGAAGCCTGTGATTAGTATGTAAAAAGTACCAGGTGCATTTGATAAACCCAAACTGGCCTCTATTCTGCTCAGCCAGAGGAGTCCACCCATCTCAGGCTTGGAGATCAGAATATCTAATTGCTAAAAGTGTTGCTGAATGCTTGGTTTCTATACTTGTTTCACTTTGAACCAATGACAAGTTGTTCATGAAGGACCACGTATCCAGTTAGTAATGTCTTCCTATCAAGTTAGTGATGTCTTCCTCTTTGATAATATCAGCTACCATGTTTTGTCCCCCTCCTCTGTACATGACACTGTGAACCATTTTGGTTACATTCCTACATCAATCCTGAGCTTCCCCGGTAGCTCAGCTGGTAGAGAATCCACCTGCAATGCATGAGACCCCGGTTCTATCCCTGGGTTGGGAAGATCCCCTGGAAAAGGGATAGGCTACCCACTCCAGTATTCTGGCCTGGACAATTCCATGGACTGTATAGTTCATGGGGTGGCAAACTGTTGGACAGACCGAGTGACTTTCACTTTCTCTACATCAATCCTGTCATCAGTAGAGTCAAGTACTAGATCTCTATTTCATAGAAGCAGAAATTTTAGTTCAGAGGATTTAAACAACTTGCTCATGACCACAGAGCCAACTCCTAACCAACTGAGGCAGGATCTGAACTCAAGTCAATCTAGGAGGGAAACCCAATCTCTTTCTGTCCCGTTGTGCACTTCAGCTTTCAAAAAAAGTCCCTTTATTGAAGGTCAACAAATCAGTCCTCTGCTAACTGATTTCTAGCTTCTGTCTAAATGCATCAACATTTAAGAATGGCTCTCTTGAAGGAGGGGAAGTAGGAATAAAACCTTTCCCAATTCCAAATTTCTGACTGAGATGCTAGAAAACAAGGCCAACTTTTATTCCTTTCACTTGAAATAGTTTTTCAGCTTTGGTTCCCAGTGTTTTGCCTTTCAACAGAACTGGGAAAACCAGAGTGCAGCCTATCAGTGACAGAGGCAGGGAGAGAACGTGAGGTCTTACGTCACTGGCAATCTCCCTCGATGCCCGTGCCGTCTGGAATGGGATGGCATCCAGCCTGAAGTCGTAGCCGCCAGCCCGGGTCTGCTCCCAGGAGTGTCTGTAGACTTTCTAGTTGGGGAAACAAAGAAATGAGTGAGGGACGAGCGGGCAGCTCCATGCCTCCATGCCTGCTAGTTCTCAGAGGGAGTAATTCCTATACAGGTACCCTCTGTCTTGCTGGCGCCCAAATGGCTGAGCCCATAGCCCCACAGCCACCCTGAGGACCTCCCCAGCTCCGGCCATGAAGGGCTTTGGCTCTAAACCCCCAGCCTGAGCATCGGGCCCTGCTCTTGTGGGTAGCAGGGGTCTGGCTTTTTTGTTACATCCTGTGGGTACCAGATGCCCCTGTCCCCCTTCTTCCTGTCTTTGCTTTCACTCCAGCACCTCAAGTTTGCAGCTTCCAGCTGCCAGAATGCAAAGTTAAAGAACCCTGTTTCTCCCCACACGCTACCAGTTTTATTCCTTGGGTCCTGGCACCCTCAGGTTCATGGGCTCCACTCACTTCCTGGGGGACCCTGGGCCACCTTTGATGCCACGTCACAGCATCCCTGTGAAGCATGCTGCAGCCCCCACGCCCTCCTGGTGTCTGCACTGAGAGGAGAGCCTTCACCTGAATTAAATTGATCGTCAGGAACCTGACCGAGTTCCTGACCCCTGCATTTCACATCGTCCTCTTTTATTTCTCCCCCTTTCAAGTTGTTCTTGCACACCCTCCGGGAGTCTGTAATCACATCCTCTTAGTCCTCAGGTAGACCCACATCACCTATGGAGGCATCAAAACCGCCCGTGCCTTCATGTAGCTCATATTTTTTTTTTCAAGATAAGGGAATGGCTCCATGAAAGGAGTCATCTGGAGATCCCAGTGGAAGGCTGTCCTTTATTCTGTCACAGAGAAGGGAGACAGCAGGCGAGGCGCATCGCCAGCAGATGACAAAGTGACAGCCCCAGACCGTTTCGGTCGCTCACGCATCTCAGAGCCACGGCAGGTCAGGGGGCCCTTAAGAACCTTACTTTTGTCACTTGGAAATAGAGGTCAAGGCTGAGACTCTGTTCTACAGGGGATTGGGGGGATTAAGCGGAGGAAGAGTGGCAGAGAAAAAAGCAGAGTGCCCTCATGCCTCCCCACAACCGAGCCTGGGACTAGAGCGGACCACGGAAAGCTTGAGCCAAGCGTGGTGGAGCTCATTGTTAAATCCTGCTGCTCATCATCACCTTTACCTTCATCACTTCTTCCAGTCCCAACATCACAAACCAGAAGCCAAATGCCTACTCTGTTGATGCACCTAGAAACACAGAACTAATCATCGCTAAGGTCATTGCCTCATTGGCAGATCACAAACAGTGCCCAAAGGATTAGATTTCCTGGGTCGTTGTTGAGTTTAGCGGGCAGGACTGAGAGGTGATGTAGAAGGGGAGGCGGAATTCAGATCATGACAGACAACCAGCCCCTCTAGCATTGCGTTTCCTTGTTTTGAGAGTCCTACAAATATTAGACCAGGAAGGAGAGTCAAAACCCTTATCGTCCCCTGGAAAGGGGTCTGTCAGCGCCTTCCTAAGAAGATTCCCCACCAGATCTGGGCCAGGAAATGACACCAATCTTTTCACAGCATCAAACTCCAAGGTCACCCTGCTTTGGCGTCAAGGCACCCCAGCCTCAGAGTCTCTGTAACTGGGGGTCAACTCAAGTCTAAGTATGTGCATGTGCTCCGTCCTGTCTGCCTCTTTGCAACCCCATGGACTGGAGCCCACCAGGCTCCTCTGTCCATGAGATTCTCCAGGCAAGAATACTAGAGCGGGTTGCCATGTCCTCCTCCAGGGGATCGTCCCAACCCAGGGATTGAACCCGCCCCCATCTCTTACGTCTTATGCATTGGCAGGCAGATTCTTTCCCACTGCACCACATGGGAGTCAGCTCAAGGGCAGGCCCAAACTGGGGTTCTGCCCGAGGCGCCGGCTCCCCATCTCCCCACCCCACCTCTCCCTGTAAACTATTTGCTTGATTGTCATCGCTTCCTCCCTGAGGTTTTTTTTTTTTTTTATTCTGTTGAGGTTTTTGCCTTGCCACTGGGAGTCTTTAGATTCCGCAGGCTCTTTGATTTGGAACCCTGGGCGTTCCTCTTCTTTATCACAGTGGGCACAGCTTTGCCCTCATCCTCACACATTAGAGTCATTTGATTTTTAGTTATTTCGGCTGCCTTACACATCTCAATGGCTTTCTTTACCCAGGAAGGTCACTTTCCCTCCACATCTTCCTCACAGAGCACTTGATCCAATTGTGCGTATCCTACACGCCCCCGAAGAAGTGCTCTTTCAAAAGAGGTTCATGAGTCCTCCATACCCGCGTGCCCTGGCAGCTAATTTCAGCTCTGGGACTCTGCAGACTGGCTCCCCTTGTGGAAGGAAGGATGCCTCTGCCACCAGCCCGGGGTGGCTGTCCTTAAGTCGGGTCCCCGCAGGATGGGCACTTTATCCCAGCGTCCAGGGTGATGGGCCTCCAGGAGTCCCTCACGTGGAGGCCTGGCCTTTCCCCATCCTTGAAGCATTAATGAGATGGATGTTTTGTCCGAGCTCTGCTGAGGGGGAGGTCCCGCTTCCCCAGATGGAGGTCAGCCCACCAGAGCTGCTGTTCTAAAATTATCGCCCGCGCATCCCTCAAAAGCATCAAATGGTCATAATAAGTCATATTTACAAAGCACCAGCACATTCACCGCGTGGGACCCCACAGGGCTTTACAAATGCAACAAACTAATACACACGCTAACTAGAAGGCGCCTCTCGCCGACCCCTGCGAGGCGGCTACCTCTGGGGTGAGCAGCAGCAGCTGTTGATCTGCACGGAGCCCCAGGACACAATGGCAGGGCCAGGGCAGGAAGAATGGCCGGACTCTAGGAGGCCCCGCGCGGCCCCAGGCCGACACACTCAGCCTGTGTTATTCTGATCTGACAGCGTCTTTTGATTCTGCCGCCTCGGTACCTGTTATCCCAGGATCACAGCTTTGCCGGCAGAGCGGCCGCCTATTCTATTACGACCAGGGGCCTCCGACCCCTGCCAACAACAAGCCCGGGCTGAGGAAACAGCATCTTGGAGATGCATGCAAAGGGCACACATCCAAGGGAATAGACGTGTCGGGGGCCACAGCCTCAGGCACAAAGGAGCAGATTGTGTTGGGATCCCATGGACTACAATTGCAGCGTCTTTCTATCTGGCAGAAAGCAGAGAAAGCGCCACTCGGGCTCCAAACTTACAAGGCTCTGAATGGCTAAGGACAGGAGTCCGGGGAACAAGCAGAGCAGGTGTCTACACCCGCGGGGCCAGGGCACCGCTCCTCTAGCTGGAGCCCAGCACCTGACTGAGGTCTTTGGAGCCACGCCCAGCACTGGGATGCTAGCGCTGGCAGGACCACAGGAGTCGGCTAGCGCAGCTCCATCCCCATTTTGCAGCTGGGGAGACTGAGGCCCAGCGAGAAAAGTGGCTCAAAGTTATACATGCCATTTATCCTACTCTCAGTCTAGAGTGCTTTCTGTTTGCAGCTCCTTTCCTAGGAATTCTTTTTCTTAAAAAAAAAAAATCCCATTTGGGCACAGATCATATTACAGAAATGGGCAAACACCACATGAATGGCCAGTTCACTTACGTCACTCAGATGCAGGGCGTTGAGGCGGGCTCTGGTGAAATCGGGGTGGTCGGGCACCAGGGTGTACCTGTGTCGGGATTCAGCATCCCCCAACCTGTACAGGCGCTGCAGGGAGAAGGCTCATGGTAAATGGGAAACCGCACTTGCTGCAGTCAAAAGTGAAGAGGAGGCTGATGCCCTTTCCTGGCCCTCCCACCCCAGGGTACAGAAGCCATCATGCACTTGGAAGGCATCCCTCCAGACGCCACCCGGGAAAGGAGGTGCCCGAGTGGCCAGGGTCAGGTGGTGGGGAGCTGGTTTTGAGTATTTAAAATATTCATCAAGTTTTGCTCCAAAAGCGTCACAAACCATCACCCTGGGTCGCTGTACCTGTGTTTCACAAAGAGTAAAAATGGGTGGATACTTCAGGGGATCTTGGCAATCAGGCATTTGCTCAAGCTTTTTACTAGTAACAAAATGCCTCAATGCCTTTGTTACTAAACATTAATAGTAATAATAAAAAGACATAGCAGCTAAAAAACCTTAAACGCCTTCATATCTCTTAAGAAATTTAAAGTTTTCATAGTCCACCCTGTGTCCCAAGAAGACACAATTTTAGAACTCAAGCTTTCTCTTAATGGCTATTTTTAGGGCAGCGATCTAAGGACTGCAAATAATTTTAGGAGGTTGCTTGAGTCTCATCCAGTTTTAAAGAGGAAACAGAATATTTAACATCCCAACCCTTTCCCAAATTCAGTTTGTGTTTTGCAAACACGAACTGGTCAGTACCGCACATGGACTTGTGAGCATGGGGCAGCTTTGTCAGTGTGCAAAAATCCAATCCCTGGATGATTCCAGAGAAGAAAATATGTAATTTCCTATTCTTCAAAATTAATACAGGAGAGAGGAAATGGGGCTAAACTATACAGAGAGTAAAAGTAGAAAGACGTTCTTTATATAGCTACTTTTTCTTTTTTCTAATTGGCTTATGTTAAGATTTAATTCCATTATCATCTATGGACAATTATGATGTATGTGACCTAGTGTTTGGTAATGTCCATCAATAATATTTAGTATTACTATTGTGATGATTAAGAGTCTAACTAGGGACATTTACTGAGGACTTACTATATTCTAAATAATTGCTAAAAGCTTCATGAAGTTTTATTTACTTCATCCTCATTTAATTCACTCCTTCTTATGAAATGGTTGCTATCTTTATCTTTCTTTCAAACAAGGGAACCATGACTAGAAGACATTAGAAAACTGACCCAAGATCACCCAGGTAAGGGACAGAAGGTTTGTCCTTACATCTTAAGCACTGACCACTGTGAAGCACTACCCACTATTAAGCCTGGGATGAGTGAGCAGAAAACACCCACCTCATTGCAATGCATGTAGCTGTTCTTGGCATGAACTAGGTCCGGGGAGTCAACCACTGTGGTAAACTTGATGGTGTCTGGTTTTTTACGGTATTTGGTCTGTAAGAGAAAGGCCAAGATTCTCAAGAAACAGTCAAACACCATGCATTTTTCTGGGTGCAGCATCACCCTACCTACTCAGTACCAAAAGAACCAATGACATGCATGGGAAAGAAATCTCTCTTCTTTGTGGCCACCTCACCAGCACACAGAAGAGATTCAAGCTGCCTCTGTGATAAGGACTATTTTACAGGTATTTACATTCTTGAAAAGAGAGGCTGCAAAATGCCAAAGCTCATCACAAGATAAGGAATTCACTCGATGGAAGGATTGAGCCTTAAGTCGGCCCTGCCCAGACCCTATTCAAGTAGGTTCTGGTATTAAGGAACTAAAGAAGGCAGCACCATGCTCTCAAGGAGTTCCCAGGGCAAGAATCTCTGGGTCATCAACATGGTGGGGAGTTCAGTTAAGGTAACCATCTCTGGGCAACTTTTAACACCCTCTGAAGTCAGGTAACCCTAGGACATTGAACTGAGTAAACTCAGGAGACGGGTGGCAAACCCTCTCCTCACCTCCATGAAGATAATGGGTCAGGTTAGATCATAATTGTACATTATACATTTGTTGGTCATCGTCTAATGCATCACCCCTCTTTCACTGCCTGACTGGAACAGCCTTTAACTCCCCAGCAAGTGAATTCACTGGGAGCCAAATCTTGTTCCATCTTGGGATTTGGTTGCAAATAGCCCCAGAAAGATATTGGGATTCCAGTGCCATGGGGCCCTCCCAGGCTCTCCAGTCCATCTGCAGGTTCCCTTGTCAGGAGGAGATAAACGCCAGGTTGCATTTGTGGTAGACTCAGGTTAATGATACCTCACTGATGAGCTCTCCGGCTTTCTTTGCACTTTCTATCTGTGGGGAACTCAGCGCCAGCCATCCTATACCCTTCATGCCCATCAGGTCCGACTTGTAGCGCAACTGTGGGAAGAAGAAAACACTGGCTTTTATCAGGAAACGGTTGCAAATCATTGGGGCATCCGTAAAAATGCTTCATCACAACATTTCAATATTTCATTTGGGTGCGTTCTGCATGTCATCAAGGCAAACTATTTGAGTTTGTGCATTCCGCCCAGAATTAAGTAACAGATCATGTGTAAGACACAAGAAGGTCCCACTTGTAAACTGGCTGGATTCCAAGCAGAAGGTTGTGACCTATGGGAATGATCCCTTAAGAAAGATCTGAGATATACACCCCAGCCCACACGTCAGCCTTGATTATTTGGTTTCATTCTGGCAGGCGATTGACCGCCTGCCTAAACAGAAACGTTTTACACACTTTCAGTGGATCAAAGGGCTTTGAGCTCTGGATCAAACCTGCTGTGACTCAGGGCAAATCACTGTACCAAAATGTGACTCAGTTTCTCTCTATGATACCCGAAGGTCATGACAATCCCTCTGTTCTCATGAAAACACCTGAGAGTCCTGAGGGGTAAAAGACACTCTCGTGTGTTAGATTTGTTTTTTTCTTTGCGGTGGTGGGGGAGGGGGAGTTCTTTGCAGGACTCAAAACTGCAACAAACCTGGCTACAACTGGGGAATGGTGTGTAAACTGCCTTAATATTTCCATGCCTCAGTTTACCCCTCCTCCTACGGTTACTCAGGATTTGCCTACATTGCACAGTGGGCTTAAACTTTATCCATTTTCCTCCTCTTAAGGACTCGGAAGATCAAAACTACAGCGTCAATTCCAGGAAGAAAATAGTAAGTGGGGTTTTAAGACAATGGGCCTGATCAGGAATCTCCTGAAATGTTTAACCTTATTACCATTCCTTGATCTGCCCACCATTACCTACATCGAGACAGTCTCTGAAAAAGCTTTTCTTCCTCTCCATATAGAAATTACGCATTTTTAAAGGAAGAAAAAGGACTGTCTAAGGAAATGTGAAATTTGGACCTAAACGAAGTTGCTGGCATTTCTCTAATTTAGATACAAGCTCTGCGGTAACGCAAAATACCCACTCCTGAAATCAGCCTTTCAGCCTTTTTAGTTTTCTTTCATTTCAGGAATCACAGTGCTCCTCACAGCGGGCCTCAAAGAGCGTCCGTTTCTGATCTACTGTCTGCTGGTTAAGGCCCCTGTGCAAATTCCACTCTGCTTTCCAACTGGTGAAGGGGGACATCACTCAGGTTTGGGAGCACGTTTCAAAACCCCATGTCAGTGAAATTGCTTTTTATACCGCGATCTTTCAGTCTACACCAGCAAAGCTTTTGCCTTCCACTCTGATAAAGAACAGAGAAAATTGGATAAATTTCTAAGTTAGAGAGAATAATCCTACAGGGCCTCTTCACAGCCGGGCCTTGCTCCTTTCATAAGTGAGATGAAGTGGGGGCGCACGCTTTCAACTTGCCTTTTGTTGAGCTGAACAGTGCGAGCGCAGGTGAGTCAGAAGGCAAGACGCAGGTTCCCCAAAGATCTGACTGCGCCTCCGACTCTCTTATAAATGGATTGTCTATTGATATTTCTGCTCCCAGCCCCGCTTTGACTATTCACGCAGACCCTAAAAACAACACGCCTGCCACAGACCTCACCATAAAAGGGGAGGGGGGGGCAGGGAGCAAGGAGGGTATCGAGGAGAATTGGCCCAAAGATGGTTTCCAAGAAGGATTCTAAGATAAGAGATCTTCTTGGGCTGCTCAGCTATATCTCGCTTCCCCAAGTGGCCACCTCACTATTTGCCCTTGTACATATGAAGGCCTGGATGCCACCTTCAGAGTCACACGTGGGGTTCCTGGCACCCCCATTCTGGAGACACACAAGCTGTAGTTTTCACCCCTTGAGCTCTAAAAGGAATTACATGACCAGGAGGTACACCCAGGAGGTGGCCAGGGGAAGGGGTATATTTGTCATATCAATAATAAGAATCACTATAACAACTATCTTGCAAAGGGTGTGGTTTGCTTCAGGCTCATTTGGGGCTCCGTAGTGGCTCAGAGGGTAAAGCATCTGCCCACAATGTGGGAGACCCGGGTTCGATCCCTGGGTCGGGAAGATCCCCTGGAGAAGGAAATGGCAATCCACTCCAGTACTCTTGCCTGGAAAATTCCATGGACGGAGGAGCCTGGTAGGCTACAGTCCATGGGGTCGCAAAGAGTCGGACTCGACTGAGTGACTTTGCTTTAACTTCCATTACCTCATTCAGTCCTCATGCCATTCTCAAAGGACTAGCTCTTATTCCCAACTATAGAACAGTCTGGGGGGGGGTTTAAATGCTTGCTCAGATTCTCAGAAGAGTCACCAGCTGCTGTCCTCTGGGATCCTGTGCAGGTGGTCCTTAAGAGAACCCCCAAGAGCCAGAACGCCTGGGTTCCTACTGTAGCCACCAGGGGGAGCCAGAGAGCGCTAACCGCAGAGTCAGGAGCCCAGACATGGGCTTTGCCTCTTAGTAAGCTGTACGGTCTTGAGCAAGTCATTTCCCTGGCAGCTTATGACCTTGAGCAAGTTCCTGAAGATTTATAGGTGTGTTAGTTACTGCATCTGTAAAAAATGGGAGTACTTACAGTACCTACCTAGATACGACATGAGATCGTTTGTGCAAAATATTTAAATAAATGCCTAGCCCGGGATAAGCATCCCGTGCTGCTTAGGTGCTGTTACTGTCGTTGCTGTTGTTTCTGATGGGGAAGCGGAAGCCGGGGACGCTTAAGGAGTCTCCTGAAGCCGTGCAGCCATAAAGGCTGGTGCTAAGACTGTCCCCTTGACTGTCCCTTCAGGTGCTTTGCAGGATGCCCACAGCCCGTGAGATCACGGAGGGGAGCGTGGAGTGGCAGGTTTGGAAAGGACTAAGAGGTGACTGGAGAGGGAAATGGCAACCCACTCCAGTGTTCTTGCCTGGAGAATCCCAGGGACGGGGGAGCCTGGTGGGCTGCCAACTATGGGGTCGCACAGAGTCGGACACGACTGAAGCGACTTAGCAGCAGCAGCAGCAGCAGCAGCGAGAGGTGACTGAACTAGCACCCCTGGTGGTGGAGCACAGCCTGGGCGGAGCACGTGTCTCAGATGCATCCCTGAGGTAAGTGTGACTTTCCCAAGACGTCAGCAGTCCCAGCCTTGAGGACCCTTCCGCCAAGGGTGAGCACTGAGACCCACAGCTTGCTTTCTGGCCTGGATGGGAGAGGTCAGGATGGCTATGGGAGGTCAGGACTGATGGCTATGGGAGCTACTGTTCCCGCCCCAAACTCTGCTGAACTGCAGTGAGCTCATAGGAGTCTTTGTTTCCTTTTTGCTAGAATGTAACAACATGGAATTGTATTTTCAGTGATGACTGCAAGAAAAAAAGCCTCCAAACCAGATGGACATTCTGGGGGTCTGCTGTTCACAGGATCTTGGGGTCCAAGACCACCCAGTTTAACAAACCTGAAGTTTCAAAACAACGCATGAGGCCCAACATGGTCATTCTTAAATCAGGCAATAATTTCTCAGCACAAAACATATTTCATTTGATAAAGTGTAAGTCTATGATTGCCAACAAGCATTTCTCGGGAAGGACTACCTTTTTTGTTGTTGTTGTTGTTCTTATTTGTGTGTGTGTGTGTGTGTTAAAATATCCTTTCTTTTCAGAAGTAACCGTGATATAAATGGTAGTTTGAGGTAAGAGTTGGTTTTTGGTCTTTTTCCTTATTGAGTAAACTAGTATGATACTATGATTATGTCAGCATTTAAAAAAACATTTATCTATGAATCCTGAAATCTGAGATCACCAATAAATCAAACATCTTTGCTCTTCCAGTAGAAGCATGAAGGCCTAGAAAGCCAAGTGGCTGCTGAAGGATGAAGCTGGGCTTCTAACTGGGCCCGCAACCTCCCCACAGTGGCCAGTCCCATCCCAGGAGGTTTATCTTCTCCCTCGAAGAGGCCACCAACAGGAGGGTCCTGGACTGGACACTGAGTCACACTAAGAGCCTCTTCTTAGGGACCTCAGGGTGGCCTGCTAGTAAATAGAAGGCTTTTTAAGTGGGTCCTGGGCTGTGCTTCAGCAAACGCATGCCCTGCTCCACGCTCCCCTGACTGGTGACCACTCGGTACTACAGTCCCAGAAAATCTTGATTCATAATCAGACCATCATGGCATTCATTAAACCATTACATCATTGTTGTCATAATTAATCATCAACTGGGTATTTTCAACACTCTGCCTGTGCCATCTAACTAAGCTAGGAGCAGTCACTGCCCTGAAGGCCTCCAGAATCAGAAGGCTTGGTGGAAAACATAATCCTCACAGCTCACCCCCTCTGGCATGTTCCTATGGACCATGCACTGTCTGTGCTCGGCGCGGTGCATCATACAGACAGTCCTCAACTGGGAACAGACTTCTCAGTCAGGTACAGTTTTGTCCCCCCAGGTGCATTTGGCAATATATGGAGACGTTTTTGATTATCACATTGAGGGGGGTGCTAATGGCATCTCGAGGGTAGAGGCCAGGGATGCAGCAATGCACAAGACAGGCCCACACAACAAAGCATCCAGCCCCAAGTGTCAAAGGTGCCCAAGTCTGGAAACCCCGATATGGATGATAAGGGTTCATGGGACTATAGTCTCATGAGATCTGCTCTAAAATCTCACGAGAGAACCTTTTTCCCAGGGGAGCTGTGGGGCTGGGGGAGATGATACACATAAGCAAACATGGTTCAGAGCCTGCCATGGGCATGTGGCCTGGAAGTGCTGACCCTGACCATATTTTCATCACTATGCTGGCCCTTCTGAGGGAGCCGAGACGTGGAGTGACCTGGGACTGACTTCAGAGGCACTGAGTCCGGAGACTTCCACTAAGGGTGGGACTTAATGCCTCCGCATGGGCCAGGACGTGCCTTCTGTGGGGCCTAAGCATCCACACCTGCATCATAGAAGTATGACTCCCTTGCTCCAGGAGGGTGGCATGGTTGAAAGTGTGGCTTCTGGAGCCAGGCCTGCCTCAGCCCCTCCCACGTGACCTCATCTGTGCAACAGGAGGAGCAAGGCCCTCACCCCCAAGTGCTGGAGCGAGGGTGCCATACTGGTGAGCAGTCAGGGAACGACAGCTCTGGGCACAACTCTCCACCTTGCCTCACGGACACCCCCAGCACACAGTCGGGCCCTGGGTCTCTTTCTCGGACCCGTCCCATCCCCTGGGACATCCTCCTCACTCACGCACTCAGGCACTCGCTTCAGTTCAGTCCCAGACATGCTGAGGCTGCTGCCGCCCAGGGTCTTTACTCAAATGTCACCTCTGCAAAGAGAGTGGCCGTTTTTGTTGTTGTTCAGTCGCTAAGTTGTGTCCGACTCTTTGTCGTCCCATGGACGGCAGCACGCCAGTGCTATCCTTGTCCCTGTCTCTGTACTCCACTATCTCCTAGAGTTTGGTCAAAATTCATTTCCATTAAATCGGCAATGCCATTAACCATCTCATCCTCCTTGGACTGCAAGGAGATCAAGTCAGTCCATCCTAAAGGAAAACAACCCTGAATATTCACTGAAAGGACTGATGCTAAAGGAGAAGCTCCAATACTTAGGCCACCTGATGGGAAGAGCTGACTCATTGGAAAAGACCCTGATGCTGGGAAAGATCGAAGGCAGGAGGAGAAGGGGGTGACAGAGGATGAGAATGATCCTGTCCCCCAATTTTTTACATTGCACACATATGCTTACCTGGCCTTCCCTGCTGGCTCAGATGGTAAAGAATCTGCCTGCAACAGGGGAGACCCAAGAGTGATCCCTGAGTTAGGAAGATGCCCTGGAGAAGGGCATGGCAACCTACTCCAGTATTCTTGCCTGGAGAATTCCCATGGACAGAGGAGCCTGGTGGGCCACAGTCTATGGAATCGCGAAGAGTCAGACGTGACTGAGCTAACACTTTCACACTTTGACACACACCCCGCTTCCCTGCTCTGTCTGTCTCCCTCTGACATACCACACAGCTCACTCCTGCCGTATCTCCCTCCCACAGACTGGAAGCTCCCTGACACCAGGAACTTTGGGACTCTTGTGCTGACTGCTATATTCCCAGGGCTTTGAGGGATGCCTGTGACATAGTAGGTGCTCAATAAATATCAGTTAACTGAATAATTCCAACCTAGATGATGCAGACCAAGCAAGTCATTGGTGAGGGGCGGGGGCTGGTGAAGGGATCTGAAAGGCTAAGCAAGAGGCCGAGGTTACCCCCAGGCCTGGTGGGAGGAAGACGATCCGGGAGATGTGTGATCCGCAGACCCCCTACCTCACTCTGCAGCGCATGAGCCTTCTTAGCCCAGGCCATCTTCAGGTCCTCGGGCAGCGCCGTGAACGCGTGGCAGCGCGTCCTGTAGTCGAGGTCACTGGCCAGGGCCTGGGCCTTCCTGGCGTGGACCAGCGGCAGCATGTCCATGGGCAGGTGGCACCGGGCGCTGCTACCCGCCGCCTGCCTCCTGTACTGAAGCTCGCTCTGCAGCTGGCCCATCCGCTGGCAGTGCTGGAGCCGGGGGTCGTCACTCACGCTCTGGGCCCCGATCAGCCGTCCTCGCTCCTTCACAAAGTCATGTCTGTAGAGAAACTGGAAGGGGAACCAGGCGGTCAGGGGTCGGCGTGTGGCCCCCTGATGTTCTATCTGTGCCTGTTCCTCGCGGTCACTAAGAAGATCACCTGTTCTTACACGAGACGGGGATGAGGATAAGAAATGGCACAGCGAGGCTGGCCTGAGAGCCTGCCTCCCCCACCCCGGGGGAGGGACAATTAAAACACTGCTCCCTTCCTCCCATCTAATTAAAACCAGATCCTTAGAACCAGAGCGAGGGCCCGCTCCCCTTACGAGTTCTATGGCCAAAAGGAATTTATCAAAAAGGGTGGAAGAGAAACTTGTGCTTTATCCCCTCACACTTGGCAAAACATCAAACCCAAAAGACAGGATCCATTTATTTGAAGTCTACATTTTCTGTGATTTGTTTGTGGGAAAGAGAAAGTCACCTTCATGTCCCAAAGCTATGGACGCTATGAGGATAGTGGCTGAAACACAGCTGCAAACCCTACCGCCAATGCAGGAAGCTACAGAGAGTCAAGAGGGGACTGTGCTATGGCCACATTACAATTTCTACTGCAAATTCTTTCTAATTCTGGGTGGAGTTAGAAAACAGACAGTTCACACATTACGGAGAGATGGTTGCCTAGATGCTACAATTAGAAATAAATTGTAATCTCCTTTCTGCTGGAGATCTTTGCCTGCATTTAGCTTCTGATTACCAGGGCCTTTCTTTCCCTCTCTCATCAAAGAATCTCATTCATAACTAATATATTCCACGGATGACATGCTGTCTCACATGGCAAAAGATCTGCTTTAATTCAGGGAAATCAGCCGTAGACATTGTTTTACATGAAGTTAACAGAAATTAGGCAGAATGGAAGGTCATATCATTCAACTCACATCACTGGCTATGTCTCCAGAGACTCGAGCTGCCTGGAAGGGCAGAGCATCTATTGTCAGCTTGTAGCCTTGAGCATGGAGATTCCTCCAAGACTCCTTGTATTTTGCCTATGGTAGGAACACATGTATATCTTCTTAAGAAAAAAAATTACATGACCCCATGAACAAAGGCTACCCACTTCATTTGTAGTGTGGTGTTGCAGAACGGATTTCTGACAATCAAAAGCTTTCGATTTGGCAAAGAAAATCTTATTAGCACCCTCCCAGAAGTGGGCTCTGACACACATATATCAACACATCTGGGAAAAGGTATGTTTAACATGCACATCGAGAAGATACATGGTTGAAAGTTTCTGCAAATGCCAGCAGGGTCACTGCTACGTCCCATCACAGACATAGACTTGGCCTTGGAGAACATCTCAGCCTCAGCGATGGGAAAGGCTTACGTCACTCAGATTGGCCGCGTTTGTTTTCGCTCGGACAAACTCAGGCAGATCCAGGGTCATGGTGTACTGGTGTCTCACATCTTCTCCTGCTGCTTTATAGAGGCGCTGGGCAGGAGGGGAAAAAAACAAGAAGGTAAGCGCTGTGCATTTCTGCAGGACTGGAAGTCCCTCCTTTGCAACTGGGAAATACGTTTGTAAAAGGCCGTTCACTGTGTCATGGACACGCCCTCAGCCTGGGGAAGATATTTCTTTCAATAAAGGTAATCTTTCACGGGATTTCCCTGGAGGTCCAGTGTTTAAGACTTCACCTTCCAATGCAGAGGGTGTGGGTTCAATCCCTGGTTGGGGAGCTAGGATCCCGTGCGCCTCACGGCCAAAAAACCAAAAACATAATTTTTTTAAAAAGCAAGCAATATTATAAGAAATCCAAGAAAGATTTAAAATAGTCCACATCAAAATTTAAAAAAAAAACTTGAAGGAAAGATAGTCCTTCATGAGTCAAATTGAGTGCTATGAAAGGAATACGTAAAAAAATTGCAAGTTGGTTGTGACGGGGTTCAGGACATGTTACCCCCAAATAGGGTACCTGAGTGTAGTGCATATTTTAAGCAGAAGGAATCTGGAAGTAGCAGAAAATGGAAGACCTCTCTCTGACCTTCCCCCCCTAAAGCAGGTCACATGCCTCCTGGGGGAGCTGCCCTCCCTCTGGTGGAGGGGGAAAGGGGCATCTGATCTCTGAACCCTGAGGAACCCGAGAGGCATCTGAACAAACTCAGTGTCCCCTAGTTTCCTACTCTCAGCTCATCCCCTTTTGTTCTATGACACCTGCCCACGATCTTACATTCTTCATCAAACCTGGAATAAAAATGCTCAGGTTTAACGGTTCTTCCTGATCTCCATTTCCTTACGAAGACTCCTGCATCCCCTAAAGTTCATATTAAATAAATGTATATGCTTTTCCCTTGTTCATCTGTCTTTTGTTACAGAGCCCCAGCCGAGAACTCAAGGTGAGTCAAAGAAAACATATTTTTCCCTGCCCTCTACTTTGCTCAATAATGGGGACGGGCGGGGCGCGGGGAAACACCTTTAGGAATATCATTACAGATCTTTCCATTGTAGATTTTTTTTTTTTTTTTTTTGGCTGAGGACACGGTGTAAAGACAATATTAATATCTGGGAAATTTAGGAGCCGTTCTGCTGGTTGGAAAGAAGGTTCCCAAACCCCGGTCTGCATCCTTCACTAAAGTCCCAGGATCCTCCCACGGGCAAACACACCAGTGCTCCCGTGCAGGGCCTCAGCCGGTATGAAAACACATGTTCTTGTAATTAGAAATGGCCTGCTGTTGCCGAGTTCTCCGAGGCCAGAGGCCACTGAAGGAGGCATTACTATCCCACAATACCCCGATCACAAAGCAGGCAAGATCGGTTCGGTGGGACTCTTAAATCAATAACATCGCTACACAGCCCTTTGGGTCTTCTTAGCTCAATCTTGGGGTAAGTGTGGAAACTAATATATAAATACCCAAATCTCAACTGACTTTTAAAAGCTAGGGTCGGAAGGAGAATCTGAAAAACTCATTTCATTCTCTGCCAAGCTCACTTGCTATTTCAAACATGTCAGAGAGCCACTCCGAAGAGGTAGAGCTGGAACAATGATTTGACGGAGTTAAGAGTCTCTCCCCTGGGCCCCCTCTGCTCGAATATTACAGTGAGAATTGGGCAAGTGGTGAGCGAGAAGATGGGAAGTCAGAGAACCAAGAAGCCTGGCAGACTTCACACTGTATCAATCACCGTCCCCGGACAACTACAAATCCTCCCCATCACCATGGTCGGAATGACAATGGAAGAAGCGTTAGCCAATATCTGCCCAGCTAGAACAGACAAATGACAGACCAGCACTTCTCAAACTTTCATGTGCAAAGCAAAGCCGTGAGGGTCTTAAATGACCTTGTGGATTCAATGGCTCTCTGGTGGGGCCTGAGGTTCGGCATTTCTAACAAGCTCCCAGGGGATGCTGAGGCTGTCAATCTGTAAATGCATTTGGGGTTGGGGTGGCAGGGCGGGGCAAGACCACAGACTAAACCAGATTTTCAACTGGGCCTTCTTTCCTTCTGGAAACCATTTAGGCTTCATCTAATGATATTCCTTTCTTTCCATGCAAACACTCATGCTTTCCCCTGCTCCCCACCTCCCCCATCCCACAAATATTCATATTCTTTTTTAAAAAAAAACAAACAGTCCAGCAGTTTTTTAAAAAGCCCATCCTGAAGTCATCCAAAGGTTTTACCTCGTTTGTAATCTGGCTGCTGAGCTTTGCATGAGTGAGGCTGGGTGTGTCTGTCACGGCTGTGTACTTGAGCGACTGGGGATGCTGACGATATTTACTCTGAAGTTACACACAGGAGGGAATAGGAGGACAAGGTGAGATGCAAAACCAGAGGAAGAATCAGCTCTTTAAGCACTAGTTATAAAACCTCATTTTGCAAAGGTTGCCAGTCTGTGACCCAGAATCCAGTCCATCACCTGCTCTTGTGACCTCAGAACTCAGGGAGATGAAGAAACGGAGAAGAGGAGAGGACAGACGGAATCGGAGGCTTATTAACAAGAAAGGGAGAGCTAGTCCTTTGCCACGAATATGAACATGACTATTGAAATTCATGTTTTGGCCCCAAATTTCCTCTGCTCACTGAAGACCCTGGGTTCCTCAGCTTTGGGGTACACGGGAAACAATCATTCAGCTTAAAATAACCCACATGCCTGCACACCACCCCAGGAAATGGGATTCAATAAATCGGCAGTAGCCTCAGGCCTCTGTAAATTTTTTAAGTTTCCAAAGGGGATCCTGATGCGCCATGAAGTTTAGAAACCACTTGCTTTAGAGATTTCATTGGAAAAGCAAAGCACAAAGTTAAATCTCGACTCCCACAGTGAGGCCCTTTCTGCTTGCTCAGAGCTTCTAATCAATCAATGCATAAGCCAGTCTGAGGCACCCAGGCTGGACGCTGACCACCTTTCACTTCCAATGCCTTCCACTATGCCAGTCTACTGGGAACAGAAGTCCCAGAGTCCTCCCAGGGGTGGGCAAGATTCCTCAGGAGTTCAAAAAGCTTAGAATTCCAGACTTCTATATTTTTACCAAGAAATTATCACCAGGCTCACAGCAACGATTTCATATAAGCCAACAGAGAAGCACAGTGCTTAGATGACTGTTGATCCTCTCAAAAACTAAATGAGACAGGTCTGAGTATTCCCATTTGACTGATTAAGATATTGAGGCTCAGAGAGGGCAGGTGACTGGCTTGAGGTCACACAGCAAATGAATCACCATCTGTGTCTCCAAAGCCTGCTCTCTTTTCACAAGCCACTCTTCAAAGGGATTGTGGGAAAGTACATCTTGCGAGCCAGTGAATAATTCTTGTATGGTATTAATACAGGACCTGACCTGGAATCTGGAAAGTTGTCTTATGTGGCACCCTTTCTGAATGGAGAAGGGAGTAAGGTGAGACGCCGGGCGAATCACTATGGCTAACAAATGTACCATCTAATTGGCTTTAGTAAGACGCAACTGATTGGTGTTTAATCTCTACTGTGGAATATACTCGACACCCCCACCCCGTCCTGGGCCCCCGGTTACCTCACTGATGAGTTCAGATGCTCTCTTTCTCCCTTCAATCTCTAATGTGCCTGGAATGACACAGGCAACACCTCGCATAAAGTTCAGGTCCGACCGGTACAAATTCTACAAGGAATCAGAAAAACCAATCACGTGGAACAAGGAAGGACCCACCACAGACAGCATCATAATTAGAACTCAAGGCCAAACCAGCCTCTCCAGACACATAATACTCAGCGAACGCACACAAGCTTCTGAGTAAATGCTCATTAGGGAAACAAAAATGTAGGTCAGAAGAAAATAATTCTGCTGTCACTTGTCTCTGTAGCTGTTAGAGGGGTGCTCAGTGGATTTTTATTTTCATGTGGGCTATCAAAGAATAATCGCTGGAGCGGATTGTGGTTAGAAAGTCAGCTGTCTTGGGGCAAATGTGGAAATGATTTAATAGGTCTTCAAAACAAACCCCAGCAGCAGGGGGCAGCATGAATTAATCATGGGTTAAGAAAGAACTAATAAATGAATCCAGAATAATCTGACAAAGCCCCGAGTCTGTGGGGATGGGGGCGGGGGCAGGGGGGTGTACCTGAAGGGTCTGGGCTGACAGTTTAAAGAGGGCCTCAAATTCACTCCCCTTCAGCCACCGAGGCACCTCCTGGGCGTGCCTCCTTCCAATTGCTAAGGCAATGAGAGGCAGGGACAGCCAGGGCTCTGCTCAAGTGACAAACGGGTCCCTGAGCTGAGCGTGGCGGCTCGCTAGTTCCTCCAGCTGCTCCTGGGTTCCCGACAGTTAATGTCACTCAGTAAACGCCGCACACGGGCAGAAAATTCCAACAGACGACAGCTACCCAGATCTGAGCGCCACTCAGCTCTCAGGCTCTGCCAAACCAGAAAGCAGGTTTTTTTTTTTCGGGGGGGGGGGTGGGTGTGGCAGGGAGAGCTTGTCTTATTTCCAACTCAGGCCCATTACTTGCAAATCTCCCGGCAATGGAAATGTAGCAAGCTGGGGGATAAGATGAGCACCAAAAAGGATGCTGCTGCCTGTTGGGAAGGTTCATCGGTAAGTGAGGAAATTCTTCAACACTTCCCAATGCTCCCAGGCCTGGCTGCTTAAGAAAATGGGCAGCATGAGCTAGAAACGCACTTGGGGGGACTGTGAAGGCCTCGGGAGATTCCTTGGGAGGGCCCAGGGATGGTCTCTGGGGCCCTGATTTCCCTGCACTCTGTCTCACTGGCTCAATGGACATGAGTCTGAACAAACTCCGGGAGATGGTGAAGGACAGGGAAGCCTGGCGTGCTGCAGTCCATCGGTCACAGAGTCGGACATGACTGAGCGACTGAACAAGAACCGCCCGACACTCTCCTCTGCCTGAATTGGGTTAGTTCCAAAGGGGCTCTGAGCACCTCTCTGGGCAGACCTCAGGCCTCTTCAGAAGACGGATGACCCAGGAACATATGAGGCTCCTAGAGGAACCCCCAGCCCAAACTGGGCCAGAGACAACACCACTGAACATGCTAAACTGTGAGCCTCAAAGGCATCTTCCTTGAACTCCCTCCAAATCTCAGCACCCCCTTTTCTCATTTATAGTTTTGTGATCTCGCATGAGCTATTTAACATCTTTGAGACTCACTATAGTTTCTCTGCAAATTGGGGATTAAAAACTATCGGGTTATTTTGAGTATTAAAAGAGACAATGCTTATAAACGCAACGCCTAGAATTCAGCAGAAATACTCAATAAATTGGAGAAGGAAATGGCAACCCACTCCAGTATTCTTGCCTGGAGAATTCCATGGATAGAGGAGACTGGCGGTCTCCACAGGGGAAAGTTAAGTTCATGGGGCGACAAAGTCAGACACAACTGAGCGACTAAACACACACTTAACACACTCAATAAATTGTTGCTATTATTAATAGATTTATGTGACTGGGCTTATGAAGAGCAAGGCAGGAACAACGCGGGCAGTGCTTCAAAAGAAATCCCAGGTATAGGATTCTCCATCTCTGGAGCCCACACTGAGCCAACAGGAGCTTGTGGGTCACTGCCTCATGGTCAAATTTAAGAGGAAAAGAGCCGAAGAGAGAGGCAGGTCCCCTCACCTCACTCTGCAACTTGTGAGCTCTCTTGGCACAGCTGAGCCTCAGGTCCTCGGCCAAGGACGTGTGCTGGGGGAGCGGGTGTCTGTAGTCCTGGTGGCTGGCCAGGGTCTGAGCCTTCCTGGCATGCACCAGGGTTACCATGTCCAGCGGCAGATGGAACTGTGCCTTTGAGTGTTCAAAGTCTTTCTTGTAATTCACCTAGATGGGCAGACAGATCAACAGTTATTTCAAAGCCGCCGTTTACATCAGGGCCACGAGGGAGAACAACGTGCTGCGACTGTCCCAGGTGAACCCCGAGGGGTGTTCTTGGCAGGCCCAGTCCTCCTTTCTTATGGGGACTGGCTTAATAAGCAGGACTCATCTCTAGGTCCTGCCACTCGCCACTCTCAGCTCTTTGCGGTCATTGATGGGGACCCAGGCTCAGGGCTCCCCTACTTGGGGAAAATACAGAAGTTCAAGGGGCAGGTAAAATCTCAGTGGTTCCCTAGTTCAAGTCGAGATCGTCTTGCTTTCGAAAAGCAAGAGGAGGCATGGCTGAGCTGCCTCCTGCTCCCCAGCACTTCTTATCACCCTCACAAGTTCAGACTGAGACACCAGGGTTTCTCCCCGTATGCTAACTAATGGACAGCGTCTTCAAACTTAGACAACGACATCCTAATACATCTGGGAACTGGGAGCAGCAGGCAGATGCTTGAAAAGCCAGTTCTGAGGGATGAGTTCCCAAGAGCCCAACATGCATCCTGCAGCAGGAAGGGGTTGGCCCATTTGCAGACCTCAAGCTCCACCCCAGTCCTCGGAGGAGCTGTTTGAAGGTCCTCGAAGCTCACTCTGGGCTTTCTGAGGAGTCAGATGCATAATCACCATCTCTTCTTCCTCCAGTCTTCTCACTGCCCTCCAAGCTCCGCCCACACTCCTTCCTAACCACACACCCCGACTCCTGCTCATCCTCCCCCAACCGCTAGTAAAAAGCCACGGACAATTCATGTCCAATCCCACCCTGGTACGGAAAGTGGAAAGAAGTGTTAGAAACAGGGAAACTGAGGCAGAGAAGCTGTGGAGAGAGCACGTGATGGAGAGCTGGCTCCATGTGCAGCTCTGCCCCTTTCCAGCCGACCTTGGGCAAGGGACTGAGACACTCAGGGCCTAGGTTTCCTTATCAGTAACCAGGATGAACAAACAATGTTCCTAGAAATAAGCTGATGATTAAACGAGGCACTGCGTGTTCAAGTGTGTAGCCCTCTGCTACATGTCGGACACATATTAGACTTCATCCCAGCCATGAGCCAACTCACATATGTACCAGGAGATACCACACACGCATGTACCAGCACCCAGAGGATCAAAGTCAAGGGGTGCAAACCCAGATGTCACCAGGAGCCAGACAGGTAGCATAATTGAGTGAAGGAGGCAGTGGGTGAGCAGGGCTTGGCTGCTTGACCAGGAGGGCACAGATCCCTTCTAAATGGGGCTCTCAGTAATCAACTTCAACGGTAGCCTTGAGGAATCCAGGCCTGGCTTCGGCACAGAACTTTAAAACTTTCATGGAAAGTTTCCCATTTTGCAAAGTCTGCAATTCATTTTCTCTGCAGACCCAACAAAATACCTCTGCAGTCCAAAAATCCAACCCACAGGCCTCCACTTGTGGCCGCTGGTCAAAATCATAGAATGAGAGAATCAAAGAATGCTCAATCTCTCACTTGACCGAGGAAGAAGCTGAAGCCCAGAGGGGCCAAGGGTCCTGACCATGCCACCCAGCTAGCCGGGACAGAGCCAAAATCCACAACCAGAAGGACACAGGACATCTGTGGGCTGTGCGTCATCATTAGGTTTGGGGGTCCAGGCTCCACTGAGTTCTCTCCCACTTACTTGGCTCTGCAGAGAGCTCGCGTACACTGAATGTGCAAGGCTGATATCATCTTCCAAGCTCCGGGAGCCGAGCATCTGCCCTTTCATTTTCTCAAATGCCTCTTTGTATTTGTACTAAAGGGAAAGAGAGCGGGAGAGAGTAACAGCTCAGGGACAAGGGACACGGAATGGAAGAGGTGGGTACTGGGCAAAAAATGTTTTGTTCTTTTGACAGTAACTGGGTGAGTTGAAAGAAAAGGCGCGGGAGTCGTCAAAAGGCCTATTCTTTCATATGCAAGCCTCCCAATGACTAAAGGGCTGGGATATGAAATGGCAGGACACAAGAGCGCTTGGGCGGCCCAGGCTGGGAGGAAGGTGGGTGCGTTGTTAACAGTCTCTTCACATGGACTGGCTTTAGGAAAGCGCTTGGTGGAGGGTGCGTTTCATCTGCCCGGGGTCCATATTTACAGTCCAGCATCAGCTTTGTACCCCGGCTAGGGGATTTTTGCTGTTGTTGTAAGGCATGTTCTTTCTCACCGGTCGTTATCTGATGGCTCTGACAGTCAGTTGGGGATAGGAGAGGATATTAGCCACAGGCAAAAGAAGGCAGGGGTTAGGGGCAAAAGGAATACAAATGGGTGAGGATTAAACATTGTCACAGGAACGCGGGTGTGAAGCTCACATCACTTATGATTTCGCCAGAAGCCTTTGCTGCCTGGAACGGAATGGCATCCAGTCTCAGTTTATAGCCACCGTCTCGAAGTTTGCTCCAGGATTCCTTATAACGTGTCTGTTGAGAAGATGGGCACCAATAAAGACCTTTCCTAAATTCCCACGATTAAAACAAGAGTCTGGTTTCTTGTGAAGTGCTCCCCCCCAATTAAGAGATCACTGTGGCCCAGCAAAAACCAACTGAGAGTTGGAACCTGCCTCGTGTCCAGCCTTGGAGGGGAGTGCCATGGGGCTGGGGCTGGGGTTTAAAAGGCAAGAGCTCTGGGGTCAGAACCAGACTGTTCTGAGCAGCAAGTTGATTGGAAGAAGGAGGCATGAGGCTGCAGGAGCACAGCTCTTGACGGAGAATCAAGAGGATTCGACTGTCTCCGCTGAAGAAGAGGCAAGCGGGGTGCTGACAGGGAAGAGGGAAGGAAAGAGCTCAGTCTCCCAAGTCTCTCTTTGGCTGGATGTCTTCACCTATATTACGAGGCTATAGAATATAGCTTCAATATAGAAAATAGGGCTTCACCTAGATTCCAGCCCCTCAGTATAAATGCCCTTTGTATGAAGGAAGTTCTCCTAGTCTCATCCTTATCAATGAGCTTGGCTCTTCCGCACGACCAGCCACAGCGTGCAGGGTCCATCGCAAAGGAAAACATGGGGCCCCTTGTCAGAAACCTGGCACATTTCGGTAACAGCAGAGCATTAAACCGAAAGCAGGAGTGCAGGATGCTTCCGAGCACAGGTGCGGTGCCACCGGGCAGGTCTAGGATCTCCCGCAACTAAAACCAGCCACCCCTCCATCAGGGCTTCCCTGGTGGCTCACGTGGTAAAGAAGCTGCCTGTAATGCAGGAGACCCAAGTTCGATCTCTGGGTCGGAAAGATCTCCTGCAGAAGGGAATGGCTACCCACTCTGGTATTCTTGCCCGGAGAATTCCATGCACAGAGGAGCCTCGTGGGCTAGTCCGTGGGGTCACAAAGAGTCGAACGTGATTGACAGACTAATACTTTCCCTTTCCCCTCCATCAGCCTCACCTCGCTGATATTCATGGCATTCAGCTTGGCCAGCAGGACTTCAGGGAGGTCGGCGGTCTGCGTGTAATGATGCTTTAGGTTTTCTCCTTGTTCCCGGTATAACCTCTGTGGATGCAGAGAGGTTTTGCATTAAACCCAGAAGCCTCCCCCACGCAGCCATCAGCCAGGTTATCCTCCAGGAGACAAAGGTACTGCCGCCGTTCCCTCCCCCGTGGAGACAGGATCTTGGGTGTCCTGCCTCCTCCAGGACTGCACGGTGATCCTCTCCCCGGTGACATACACTTCACTCCCTCCCGAGTTCTACTTCTTAGCCCAGAACATGACAGGCTGAAACTGCCCTCTCAGTGAACACTCCCCTTGGAGCACACTGCTGAGATGGGTGTCCAATGAGAGAATGAGGTCTGGTTAATCTCTAGGAATTTTGTTATTAACTGTGAGCTAGGAGAGGACATGCGGCTGGGGATGAGATGGTTGGATGGCATCACAGACTCAATGGACATGAATTTGAGCAAACTCCAGGAGATAGGGCAAGACAGGGAAGCCTGGTGTGCGGCAGACCATGGGGTGGCAAAGAGCTGACACGACTGAGTGGCTGAACAAACAAGGACAGGACCTCAAAATACAGCAGGCACAAGAGAGAATGGTTCTTCCACAGCTGAGATTTTCCCTGGACCTACCTCCATCGTCCCCTCATCCCTGCCACCTCAAGGATTCTTATGCTAACTAATAAACCTCTTCCCGGTGGGTTGGGTGGGTCTGGGGCTCTGTCCATCCAGATCTCTGATCTGGGCTTATGATAATTCTAGCAGTTAGCAGAGACACATGGAGTTGGCATCCACCACCAGAGAAAATTTCTAAACCGGGCTTTTCCATCCCAAATCTTTTTAGACATGTCCAAGTTTCTACGTATCACAGCAGTGCCCCCTAGAGTTGGTTAGGATAAGGAAAAAGCAGGTATTTTTTTTTTTTTCTCTTTCTACACAAGTTCTTGTTTGACCATCTGTGCTTCTCAGAATTAAATTTGCTTCTGACGGGCTGATGGTTAAGAAATAATAAAACTTCTAAACCCGTAAGTCTGTAAACCATCCCATAACACATTCAGATAGGCACTCGAGCCATCTCAGAATGACTATCGAATATGGCACAACAGCAGGAATTTCTTCAATTGGGAAGCAAGGGAGACATTTGGCAACTCCTCCCCACCAAGGTTTGTCAATTCCCCTCGTGGCAAGTTAAAAGGTCTGAAGATATTTTACAGGCCTGTCTGTCCTGCGCCATGACCCAAGGGCCCCTCTCAGTAGAATCAGCCAAACAGGGCTAATCCTGTCTTAACGTGAGTTTTTAGAGGACCTCGTCATTCTTCCCAGTCTCCAAGGAACCCTGCGCTGAGAGGCAAAAGGCCAGATCTTGGTTTCGCTTTATAAAGGGAAGATGGGAAATGGCTTGAAAGTTAGTCTAATGTACATAAATCAGATTCAAATCACTTTCCAAGTCTTTAGGGGAATTCAGAAAACCAGAATTCCTGCCCTGGCTCCCAAGAAACCCTAAGCATTCCAATTCCTAAATATTCCAATCATCAAGAATTTCGCCCCAAAGTCCCATTTCTGAAAACATTGTTTCAAAACAAAAGGAGAGGGGAAAAGGCCTGGACCACAGACAAATCCTAGAGACATGCAAATAGGAAGGAATGAAAGCCAGGGGCACTGGGGTGGTGGCGCCCCACTTGGCAGCTAAGAGCAGCGGTAACACCCCATTTGCATCCTGATGAAGAAGCACCCCCGCTAAGGTGAGTCTCAGCAAAGGATAAGAAGCTCCTTCATCCTTAGAACAACAGAAGGAGCAAGCCAAGAACCCCTCAGCTTCAATCGCAGGGTTGAAAGAAGAGCCCACTCTTAGAGTCATAATGTATATACATTATCACTTACATCCACTGCTTGGGTATAACTAATTCTGGCCTGGACCATCTCCGGAGTGTCTTTAATACTGGTAAACTTCAAAGCATCTGGATGCTGCCGGTACTTCTTCTGTTGAGCAGAAAAAGATCAAAGCTGTGAATTTTGTGCTGCTCTTTCATGCCATTTGAAAGAGAAAATCATAGGTTGCTTGAGATTAGAGTGAATTTGTGAACATAATTATTATTCGGCTTCCTCCATCTTTATATCCTAGGTGCCTTCAGGTTAATATTTGTTTCAATTTAAGAATAACCTCATGTCAATTAACATTAAAGTATTTCTACCTGGTGCAAAGAAAACATCTCAAAATTAGGTTATATGGGTAAAATACTGTAGGATACACACTTAGGAAAGGATTCTTTATATAGCCTTCAGATACTGTCTTGCAGTTGTTTACATACCTTAGTTTGGGTCTTCCAAGCAAGAAAGAACATTCATAGTTACATTTATCGTTGAAGCTTTCTAAATTCTTTCCACAAAAGAACTTGGAAGAGATATCACAGTCAAACCCTTACTTTAACAGTCAGTGATCCTACAAACTAGTTCAGTTAACATATGCAATAATTCTATAAATGTTATAATAACAAGAAAAAGAGTGCTATTATTGAAAGGAATCATCACACAATTTGAAAGAGACTGAAACAAACAATAAGGGTTACAAGAAATACAAATGCTAACAAAGTCTGAGATACCCAATTTTGAAATATTCTGAAAATCATGCTTAAATTAATTTTTTTTAATCAAAGTACAGTTCCAGGAGATTAAATGGTTGCTTTCTTAATGGAATTATGAAGTGTATCCTTTATCCAATCAAACAATTATGTTAGAAACACTTCCTTTGGGTTGAATATTTGTATACTGGATTATCTTAAGAAGACAGCTAAATGTCCAGCTGAATTTGGTCCATCATTTGTTTTGTAAATAAAGTTTTATTAGATGCTCATTCATTTACATGTTTATCTATGGCTGTATCTGGCTACAATGGTAGAGGTGAGTAGTTACAACAGAAGTGGGGTGGCCCACAAAACCAAAAATATCTACCATCAGGTCCTTTACAAAAAAAAAAAAAGGTTTGCTAACTCCTGGTTTAAATGACAAGTGTGTGTGCATCTGTGGCTCTTTCACAGAGCCTGGCATTCCATCTGAAAACTAAGAAATCAGTTTAACTTGACCCTAAACTGGAAACACGCCAAACTGGAATGAGATGGTTGGGAAAAGCTGCTAGAAGATGTCCTTCCTGAAGTCTGAAGACCTGTATAAAGCATGGAGTGTCCCCTGGAATAGGAAATGGCAACCTGCTCCTTTTCCTGCTCCATGGACAGAGGAGCTTGTGGGTTACATTCCACCGGGTTGCAAAGAGTCGGACACAACTGAGTGAGCACACATAAAGCACGGAAGATAAGCAAATTTGTTAAATAAGTTTGCAAAATGTGGTGGAAAATTAAGGCCCCTATAGGAAAGATGGTTCCAAAAAAGATCCCTTGTCTTCCAGACTTAAATACATGAAGGAATCATCTCAAAGTCGAAATGATGTGTACAACGGCCTTTATTTTTATGAGTGGGTCCACTATGGAGAGTTCGGGAGCATGAATCTTCAACTCTAAATGATTCCTCCTGTAAGTTTCTCATGTTCACCCTCCTAAGGGAGCTTCTCCTTAATAAGACTGAATTATTTAATACTTAGGGCAGTACAATCTCTACAGAACTCCCAGGGTCTTCTGAGCCTTGAATGTCCACTAACGTTTCTAAAAATGAGGTCAATCAGAGCAAGGCCGTTTTTGAAATCAGCTCTGTGACACATTGGGCTTCCCAGGTGGTGCTAGTGAAAGACCTTGCCTGCCAAGGTAGGAGACATAAGAGACGCTGGTTTGATCCCCGGGTGGGAAAGATCCCCTGGAGGAGGGCACAGCCACCCACTCTGGTCTCCTTGCCTGGAGAGTCCCATGGAGAGAGGAATCTGGCAGGCTACGGTCCATGGGCTTGCAAAGAGTTGGACACGATTGAAGCGACTGATCATGCACAAACTATGACGTGTCAGGTGACTGGAGTGCTCACCCATGGGAAAATATCAATGCCTGGCAGGTGTGCTTACACTAGAGGGAGGACCTGGGACCAAAACACTGTCCCAGGCTGCTCACTGTCTCAAGGTTGAAGTCTCCTGGGGCTATAGTCATTATGTCTCCTCCTCACCCAGGAACATCCAAAAAGACCAGGCTGCTGAGCAAGCGCCTCCCAAAGCAGACATTACAGAGTGGATTTGGCTTATTGAGGGTGTGCAGCTTCTCTGTGAGTGTGAGACAGAGATGACTCTGATGTGTCCAGCCCAGGAGCAGTCACTCCACCTTGCAACAGTGTCTGGAGGCATATTTGTTTGTCGCGACTGGGAAAGAGTGCCGTGAGCGTCTAATGCTTAGAGGCCAGCAATGCTGCCAAATGCCCTGCAAGGCCCAGGACAGCCCCACAACAAAGAGTCATCAAAATGTCCACAGGGCCAAGGTCGAGAAACGCTGACCTAAGTCTTTAAAAGATCTGCTCAAAGATCAGATCAAGGATACCGTCCTAAAAAGCAAGGAAACAGTTCCTTTCAGAAGCTGTGAGTCCAACCAGGGTGGCTGCAAGTAGACAGCGGTGAGATTCAAGCAGAAATGAGGCCCTCCAACAAAAAAAGAACCATGTCACATGTTCGACACCACGTGAATATTCAAGAACTGTTTACACTGCCTGCCTCGGAAAGAAAGAGGAAGAAAATGTGCGTGAAGTCACCAAAGGGCTTTCTGGGTGCGAAAAATGTGTCTTTTTATCATCTCTCCCGTGTTGCTTCATTAAAAAGGTAAGTTGGTGGGTAGCAATTGAGCTCTGTTTGATTGTCATTATTATTCATAATATCATTTGTCACCCACTTTGTTTTTGCCAGGGCTCTGTGGGCCCCTACTGGGGTGTGTTTGGTATGTGGTTTTCCTCTAATTACTGGCCCTAGTCTGGGTTTGGAGGCCTTTCATGTAGCTTTGCCTTTTTCCTTGCCTTTTGAGTGGAAATTATTTTAATTTTATACAGAAATGCTGCACACCTAATGCAGCCAGGCCCGCCGCACGCTGTCAGGGAATCTCACCTCGCTAATGAGTTCTCCTGCCTTCTTCGCCTGCTCCACATTTAATGACCCGGTGGCGACCCAGCCCGTCCCTTTCATCCACTTCACATCTGCCCTGTATTGGTTCTGACAAAGGAGAAAGGGGGGGGAAAAAAAAGGCAGGCCATTGTTGGTGTGCAGACATTTAAAGGGCTATTAATGGCTCCCCGATGCCACCTTGGTGCAAGCTGAGTCAAATTAGATGCCACTTTTGTCTTATCCATTTCTGCACAGTCACAGGTAGGGCTCCAAAATGTAAATTAATGTCTCCCTTAATTGGAGCCGACCCGCAGATGGTGGCTTTAGCCCCACCCGACACTGCTGGGGGTGAAGCTGGATGAAGGGGGGCCCCCATCAGTCGCATTCCTCATTACAGGTCCACGGCAACCTCGGGAAGAAGCGCGGCCTCATTGTCTGCTTTCCCCGGTTTCTTGTTTAAAATAACACGCAGGGGAGAAGAAAATGAGAATCCACAACGGAACCCGGGTGGGGAGCTATCTGAGGGAATTTCACAAGACGTGCGAGACTTCCCACAGTGCCAATTCCTTCTTAAGAACCTCAGTGCAGGGCAGCAGGGGAGGTATTTCTCATTTCTTTCTTTGCCATGGAAGGAGTAGTAGTTTTAATGGAAAACCATTTATATGGACACCTCTCTGAAACTAGCAGATCACCTCTCCAACCTAAAAGAGCTCTGCCTGGAAGGGTGTGTCCACACTGCCCCCACCCCACCTCCATGGGCGACAGTCTGACTGTCGCTGACCTGTCTTTTCAGCTCACCCACTTTCCTGTGTGAGAATCAACTGAAGATGAAAGAACATAATGGGGAAGGGGAGAGGGCTATGGAGGACTAGCAAGCTGCCCTTTCTAAACAGGACTACTGACCTTGGACTGAGTACCCGGAATGCTCTCTCCACGGGCAGGGCCACAGTTAAGAATGTCACATATACATCCCCCCGCCAACCCCGGAATAAGGAGAAACATAGATAACCTATGTACATCAGAATGCCAAGAAGAAAAAGGAAGCTGTATAATTTTGTTTGGTAGTACTGAATCTAAAATGGACATAGCTCTGAGTAAAATTAAAGCACTAGGAAGCTTAAACGTTTCCACTGAGGGATCCAGAAACAGATATCTCAAAGAATAGACTATGTCCTGAAGGGTTTGGGAAACACTAGCGTGCACACACACATACACACACACACACGAGGAGCTTACATCACTCTGTAAACCATAAGCCTTCTTGGCCCATTCCACCTTCATGTCTGTGGGCAAAGCTGTAAAGTGATGGGATGCCGTCTTGTAGCCTATGTCTGTGGCTAAGTGCTGAGCCTTGCGGGCATGCACGAGATGGATCATGTCCAGGGGGACGTGGCACTGGGATTTGGTGTCCTCGAAGCCCTTCTTGTATTCCAGTTCACTCTGCAGCTTGGACATGTGCAGCGAGTGGCTCATTTGCGAATCCCCCTGGGCACCCTGAGCTCCAATGAGCTTCCCTCTGGATTTTTCATAATCCTCTTTGTACTTCACCTAAACGAGAGAAATAGAGCAGGGGTACCTTAGCAGATATCTCCTAAAGGAATTAAGCATCAAGTCACACAAGAAAGTTAAAACAAAGTCATACAACAGGACCTATCAGAATTAATGTCATAATTAATGCCTCCTTTGAACAACTGACATATTTTTCATCAAATATTGAAAAAAAAATTACAACTTATTATTTCCCTTTACACCTGCACTGCCAGAACCTCAGAACTAAACTCAAAGTTCAGCTATCAAACAGTCTTCTCCCCATTTCCTGGTGAAATTCCACCTTGTCTCTATATTACTTGAGATTACTCTTTCTGGGTTTATTTTTAAGTGGCCTGTTGCTTTCATGAAAGCCACTTTGTAATCTTTTTTGATAACAGCGAGAATAGTATGGAAAGTCATCACGAAATGAAAAAGACACAGAATACCTAAAATACAACTGCTATTTCAGAAAGAACTTCAAATTAAAGACAACTGAGGTACATGTAAATATTTAGGAGTTACGGGGAGCAAAAGGGAGCACACCGGCCTGAAAAAGAAACACTAGGCCAAGATTTATGAGGATCTGAAGAGAGAATAAATATGGAAATGCTTTGAAAACTGTAGCAGGATGCTGGTGTGTGGCATCATTTCAACATCATCATTACTGGGGTCATCAGGAGACGTGGGTTCTACTCTCAAATCTGCCAACAAGAGCAACAGGATCACTATCCGCCATGATTTATTGAACACTTATAATGAGCCAGGGATGGTATAAATCTGTGCCACTCAAAAGTGCATCTACAGACAAGTGCTTGTTTGTGATGTGACAAAGGGTTTGTGTCATAATGCGTATCAGCCACATTGCCAAGCCATTGTTTAATTCAGCTGATAGCTATACACTTTTATGGGTATATTTTTGTGTATATATATATATTATTACATATACATACACAATAGATACAGAATGTGTATACACACATATATATCTGGGGCTTTTTTGGAAGCAAGACTTTCTCGATGAAGGAAGCAGTGAAAGTGAACGCTGCTCCCCAGGTCTCTTGCATTGCAAGCAGATTCTTTATTGTCTGAGCCACCAGACTTATAATCTAAGCTCCTTTTCTCACATCGGAGCTGTAATAGACAGCACTGGGCTACAGAACACTTAACACACATCAATGCATCTCATTTCCCCATAACCATTTTGCAATTATCAATTTACCCATGAGTTCACTGAGATTTTGAAAGGTGAGACAGCCTACCCTGAGTCACAGGCTACTTGGTGATGGAGCAGGGATTTTTACCCCAAGTCATTCCAACACCCGAGCCTGTACTCTTAACCTCAGCAGGCCTCCACATCCCTAGAAAGTCACGGAATGTCTCTGGGCATCAGTTTACCTGTAAAATGAGTGGTTTGCATTACTACTCACGCTACTACTAGTGATAATACCAGTGACCACTTACCAAAAACAAGTGTGTGGCAGGCAGTGTGCTAGACACTTACACGATTATCTCACTGCAAGATGGTCATATTTATCTCCGTTTTGCAGATTAGAATCCTGAGGCTCAGAGAGACTAAAAACCTGCCAGGACACTTTCGGACTCCCCCAGATATAGATGTCAGGATTCCTGGTGCCGAGTACAAACTGGGGACTGACTCACCTCACTGGCCAGGTCCCTCTTGGCTTTGGCTGCCAGGAAGGCCAAGGAGTCAAGACGCAGATCAAACGCTTTCGCCTTCTGGTTTTCCCAGCTGCTCTTGTACAGTTTCTAAGGGGATTTAGGAGAAAAGAGATCATCCTGAAGTGAGAGGACTTCCCTTAGACCCTATAACAACCTCTCCAGGGGGCAAACACCCATTACATCCTTCCATAAAAACCCTAAGACCTAGAGAAACCTAGAGCCTTATTGTTCCTACCTTAAGGCCTCTTGCCTTACAGGGCTTTGGATGAAAGAAGCAGACACTGAACTCCAGAGCCCTGGAAAATACTAAGAGTCTTCACGGAAGTCTAGTGACAGGTCATAGGTGGAATGACACCACACAACACACAGCAGAACTTCCAAAGAGTCTGCTCCCCGTCTCTGTCTGCACACCCCACCAGCCCAGCAGCTGCTGCCGGTGCACCCCTTTCTCTTTCTGAGCCCAGCCTCTACTGCATGTGAGTCTTTCCTTTGCTCCTCCCACTTCCTGTCCTGCCCCCACCTCCAGATTTCAAGTTCTTTCTTCTGGAAAGTGAAAGTTGCTCAGTGGTGTCCAACTCTTTGCGACCCCATGGACTGTAGCCCACTAGGTTCCTCTGTCCATGAGGTTCTCCAGGCAAGAATCCTGGAGTGGGTAGATATTTCCTTCTCCAGGACATCTTCCCAAACCAGGGATTGAACCGAGGTCTCCTGCATTGCAGGCAGATTCTTTACCATCTAAGGCTCCCTCCATTTCTCTGTGTCAATCAATTTAGCTTCTGTTTCTCCTTCCAGTTCTCCCCTCTCTCCCCAATATTTGCATCAGGACCCCAAAGACCTGGGAGCCCAGCAGAAGAGCCAAGAAAGGCCCTTCCTTAGAAGACAGAGAAGAAAAGTTGGAACTCCGCAAGCTTTCGTGCCTAAGGAATAATTTCCCTGAGCATGCTCTTCCCTGTGCTTTCCATATATCAGCTCACCGAGACTTCGGGGCAACTCAGTGTAGAGGGAACTAGGAGTGCCCTCGTTTGCCAGTGGGACCACTGAGAGCAAAGAAATTGCCCACAGTTGCATACCTAGTAAGTGCTAAAAACCCAGACAGTTTGGAGCCAATGTCTGAGCTCTTATTCACTCCCCTCTCTATCACTACTCTTATGCTGTTTCAACTCCAACCCTGGAATAACCACTGCCTCCTCCTCCATCGTATAGTCAGTGCTCATTCCTACCAAAGGTTGTCTGCATGCATGCATACGGGCATGTGTGCATGCGTGCCTGTGTGCGTGCTCCACTGCTCAGTGGCAACTCTTCTGTGACCTCAAACCAGGTCGCAGACCTGTAACCCACCAGGCTTCTCTGTCCCTGGGATTTTCCAGGCAAGAATGCTAGAGTGGGCTGCCATTTCTTCCTCCAGGTGATCTTCCTGACCCAAGGATTGAACTGGCATCTCCGGTTTGGCAGGCAGATTCTTTACCACTGAGCCACCAGGGAAGCCCCTCCTGCTCACTAATACTGGTAAGGAGTTGACAATGACCAGATGTACGCAGCCTCACCGGACACAGACACACTGATATAGCTGCTGGGTTTTTCAGATCAGGTGCCTACATACAGGAAAGTAGAGCCCCCGGCCACCCGCCCCCTTGACTGTACCTCGCTGAGGTTGGCAGCGTTGGCTCGGGCCTGAAGGAAGAGAGGCTCGTCTTTGCTAATGCTGTACTGATGGACGGACTGCTCGTGCTCTGCCTTGTAGGCCACCTGTTGGGAGGGAACACTGGGTCAGCAGCAGAAGGCAAAGGGGGAGGTAAGCGGGCTGCTCGGTTCTTCTGTGTCTTACAGGGAAACTCCATTACAAGATCAATCGGGCCAGATGCTGGCTGGCAGCACGCAGGAAATGAGGCAGAAGAGATGACTAGGGAATGAGCAGCAGCAGCGAGCAGCTGGGAGGAAGACGTGGCCAGAGGACCAATCTGAGAACCCTCTAAGGTTCTCATTTTCCGTTAAAGAAAGTGAAAATGTTAGTAGCTCAGTCATGTCTGACTCTTTGTGACCCCATGGACTACAGCCTGCCAGACTCCTCTGTCCATGGGCTTCTCCAGGCAAGCATACTGGATTGGGTTGTCATTCCCTTCTCCAGGGGATCTTTCTGACCCTCGAACCTGGGTTTCCTGTATTGCAGGGAGATTCTTCACCATCTGAGCCATCAGAGAAGCCCCATTTTCCCAGGAGGCATCAACTTCCCCAAGCTGTTCCCATCCACAGTATCCATGGCCACAAAAAGGACCCACTAGAGGGCTAAGATGAACATGGACTCGCCAAGTGGGAAAAATAAGAAGTATCTCCTGCCTCCTGCACCCCATGATCAAACCTAGCACATCCACAGGTAGTGACACCTGGAAAGTGAACAGTGACCAAAAAAGCAGCATGAGTGAACATCTTCTCCATGGAAACTGAATCACTCCTGCTCTTTTTCTCTTCCCTTCTCTCCCACTTCCCAGCTTGAGTTTCCATGCGGTGGCTTTCTGCTAACTCTGAATTATGTTAATTGCATCCGTTCTGGCAGATGTATCTGGACCTTTAGAAAGGAAAGCTAGGAACGTCCTGGCCAGATGGTAGCAACTACACTCGCTCAGCTGTTGATCCCTAACATGTAAATAACATATGTGGTGTTTCATTGTTCTACCTTCCACATTTGAGTGCAAGTGGGCATGAAGTGTACCCATCTCACAAGCAAATGCTATCCTCCTCTAAGATAATTCTTTACTGGCTCCAGAATTCTGGAGTCCTTGATAAGAGAGATAAGGAGAAAGAAAGAAAAAGGAACTAGGCAAGATTGAAAACTGAAAAGGAACAATGTCAGTTGACATCTGTCCTTAACAACCAGAGAATAAATATGGTGAGTGAGGTAGGGAGGCCTGGAAGCCCGTGGAAATAAGGGTCCAGCCTATTTAAAGGGAAGGCTCTTTGGCTCTTGGCTCATGCCTGGGCAGCACCTGCTGTGGTCCCGGAGGTTCCCAGGCCCATGACACAGCAGCTCACAGGAGAAAGGGCAGCCCGGGACTCACCCCGCTCTGCAGTTCCTGGCTCTTCTTGGCATGCTCCATCTGGGAGCTGTCGGCCACACTGGTGAACTTCAGCTCATCTACCCTCTGCCTGTAGTTTTTCTGTTTCCAAAGAAAAGAGACCCGGTAGCATTATATTGGGCTGTCCCCATCATCACATACATGCAATCACCCATATACTTTCTGTGACCCAATAATTTTCCCAAGGGGGATGGTCCAGCTATTCCTTTAGCTTAAAGAGGACCACTCAGACCTGAGACTTTCAGCCTGGTGAGCTTGTTTAAGTCCCTTCTACTGAATGGGGACTTGAATATTCCCTTCAGTGAACCCCGTGTCACCGTGAGCCCTGGGATGGATCTATTTTGTAAACCTAGATCTGACATAGGAGAGCTGAGTGGAGGGAACTTGGACCTGATAGCCATGAATCCCAAGGTCCAAATCTCCCCCGACCTCTTCCTGGCTTCACGGCCTTGGGCAGATCCCTGGATCCCCTGAGCTGCTCAGGCTTGGACGGTACAATGTGGAAAACAATAGAAGCTGCTTCACTGCGGGTGGTGCGGAGGCTTCAAAGCCTCCCTGCCCACGAGTGGAGTCCATGGGCAGAGTGAGTGCTCACTGTGCTTGCAGTCACTGTTATTCACAGTGCTGTCAGGATGTTCCAGGAAGCATTGTGAAAGGAAACGCCAGGAGACACAGCCAGAAGGCAGGTGGCCACGTGGGTTCTGCCCTCACAGCCCTCCGTGTTCCAGATTACTGAGGGCTTGTCTTCCTCATGTCCCCATCTCACAGCCGCAGGCCACGGGCAAAAACTACATGTGCTAATTCTGTTCCCCCACGGGGACTTCCTGTCCTTCCCGGAGATTTAGTTCCTCTGGCTTTTCCATTGGAGTTGCCAAAGTTGATGGGAAAGGAAGCTGCTGAGAATGGCTTATTGAAGCAGAAACTTGTGGGGAGATCACAGGTAAGCTGAGCCCCCAGCGCCGTCAGCAAGAAGGTTGTCAAGACCAACTGAAGCACAAATAGGGACTGGAATATTGAAATATTCCGAATTTCTCCCAGGAGGAAGAAAAGAAATTCTACAAAAAATATTCCGAAGAGACTTGTACTTTCCCTTTCTCATTGGAGCATGTTGAATGGGAAAACTCCTTCACCACACAATTGGAGGAAGTCACATTGCCTTTCCATGGTTGGAGATCCCTGGGTGTCCCAGCCTCTGCATTGGTCAAATCAGAAGTGCTGAGTGAGGAGCCAAGAACCCACCCTGCCCAGGGCAGAGCAGGGCTATGAGAAAGGTAAAAGATAGGTATCTTCCTGGCCCTGGAGGAGCTTAACAATGAGTGAGCACAGGAGTGAGATAGGATCAGGCATGCCTAAGGCAGAAGGTCCCCTTACCACACCCCTGTCCAAGACAAACGGGGCTCAGCTTGTTCCACTTGGATTTCAATTGGTCTCAAAGAAGTTAAGTGATGGGAACCTTCAAGGGTATTCTCTTCTCTCTACCTTCCTTATTCATACACCCTAACCTTGAATGTGTCTGTGTCTGAGAGAAGGATGAGTGCAGTGGATAAATAAGAATAAGTTAGAAAAGGTGCTTCGGGAATCCAATATTGCTTAATTGTCCAGAGCTGGTGCATTGGACCAAAACACTAAGTACAGATCCCAGCTCTGCCACTTCTGGAAATGTAACTCTGTCTTACCGTCCACCTATGTAAAATGGGGATGTAAATATAATAATACTAGGGTCTACTCACAGAGGAGTAATAAATGTGAGTGATAAACGAACCATGGGTGTGTAATACACCCACAGTCATCAATGAAAGACAGCACTGGTTGCATAATTATTATCAGCCTATAAACGGCAGCTGTTATCAGCACTATGATTACCATATGCAAGAAAAATGCCGACTCAGCCTTCCTGGCACCAAAATAAGAACCCCCTTTGAAGATCCCAAACAGGGTTCCCAAAATAGTCACATTTGCAAATGAAATGTCCTTCAAAAGTCCTCCTCTGCCTGCTGCCAACGCCAGCTGTACACCGAGTAAAGAGAAGCACAGGCTTGGGGCCACAGGGATTTGGGGAGGACCCTAACCAACCTTCGCATTTTCATAAGAGAGGAGGAGGACTGGAAAGGTTGAATGACTTGCCCAAAGTCTACAGTAAGTTTAAGGCACACACAGGGTGAGAATTGTTGTTCAGTCGCTTAGTCCGACTCTGCGACCCCATGGACTGCACGCAGCATGCCAGGCTTCCCTGTCCTGCACCATCTCCCAGAGTTTGCTCAAACTCATGTCCATCGAGTCAGTGATGCCATCCAACCATCTCATCCTCTGTTGTTCCCTTCTCCTCCTACCCTCAAATCTTTCCCAGCATCACGTGTTTTCTTTTTCCAAAAAGCATGATGAGAATGTGAAGTGAAGTGAAATGACGTCTCTTAGTCGTGTCTGACTCTTTGCGACCCCATGGGCTGTAGCCCACCAGGCTCCTCGGTCCACGGGATTTTCCAGGCATGAATACTGGAGTGGGTTGCCATTTCCTTCTCCAGGGGATCTTCCCGACCCAGGGATTGAACCCAGGTTTCCTGCATTGTAGGCAGACGCTTTAACGTCTGAGCTACCAGGGAAGCCCTGACCTCTAAATACCAGATCCTCTGATTCAGAAGCAATCACACACTCCTTACACGACAAACACATTTCCTATGTCCTAATTGTATATCACAACCGTTCTGACTCATGGATGTAAGTACTACTTAAATTGGTCGGCTTCTAACAAATACCTCCCAGGAAGCATACGGGTGTAGAAAGCTAGTTCAGGGTGAGCTACACGTGCAAAATGAAGAAGTACTCCCCCGAGTCTCACTCAAAAACTAAGCCTGGGGGTTGAGGAGAATTCAGAGGGAACGATGGCTCTCCGGGATGACTTGGTCTGAGAAAGATGAGAAGCCAGGGGCTTGGGCTCAGGTTACCTCGCTGACCAGCTGTCCGGCCTTCTTGGCCTGTTCCAAATTGAGACTGCCCTCGGTCAGCCACCCAACCCCTTTCATCCACGCCAGGTCAGCCTTGTACTGCAGCTGCAAGAGGAAGACCAAGCTTAATCAGACACATGGATGCGGACTGGGAGAAGTTAACAGAGACATAGGAAAGTGCTCACGCCTGCCTTTTCTCTGCCCTTCATCTTATAGTCAGGCAGAACTCTGCTCGGGGGTGAAGCCACTGCCCACCTTGTAATCAAATGAGGCTATTCTACCTTAGCTCTGCAACACCACCACCACCTTTACCAAAAGAGAGGGCTTTTCAGACTTTTTGCCTAAGAACCTTATCTGCCAACCTGCTATACTTCCTATATTTACTTTACAACATATATCAGCTTTACCACTTGCAGCACTTGCTTTCCTCTTTGCTCATCCCATTATCAACACACCTTGACTTTTCACAATAGCTCTGAGTCCCAACCCTCCACCCTCCAGTCTCCACTGTCTTGATTCTAATTCCATCTCTATCTCTACCTCCCCGTCCATCCTCCCTGGGCCTGGCACATCTCCGACAGTTCTTCCTGGTCCTGAGTCACCTCACAGACTCATGGACAAGTTCTAAATCCCTCTGAAAGTGTCGCCATATCCAGCTGCAAGAGCTGCATGGGGAGAGCGGGCAAAGAGTCAGAGCTCACCTCGCTCTGGAGCCCGTAGGCTTTCTTGGCCCAGCGAGTCTTCATATCTTCGGGCAGCACAGTGTATTCATGCAGTTTTTTCCTGTAGTCCAGGTCACTGGCCAGAGCCTGAGCCTTCTTAGCATGCCTGATGTTGACCATGTCCATGGGCAGGTGAAAGTGGGTCTTACTCTTTTCGAAGCCTTTCTTGTATTCAACCTTGAAGCCACCAAAACACACTGTATTACTGGAAGCCTGCCTTGGCAGGAGTGATGTGAAAACAAACACAGGAAAGAAGCCCAGGCTTCCATGAGGAACTGGCACTCTGGGCAATGCCACCCGTCTGTCCAAAGGGTGAGATCCAAGTCCTGGCTCTGTTAGGTGGTGGCACCTGGGAACTGAGGTTACACACTACTTTGTCTCCACGAGAAATGCCTCCTGACTCTTTTCACCCAGCTGCTCTAGGAAGAAAACACTTGATCCATGGTTTCCGTGGAAGCTTTGAGAGGCAAATATAGCAAAGTTTGGGCTCCAGGGTCAGCCAAGCTTGAGTTCAAATCTGATCTGAACTTTGCCAGCTAGATGGCCTCTGGGAAGCCACATCACCTCTCAAAAGGCTCATTTTCCTTGGAGGGCTATTGTGAAAAGTAAACAAAAGAGTAGCTGAAACCCACTTAGTGCAGGGATGGTATACAGCAAACACTCGATAAATGTTGGCAATGAGGGGGCCAATGAGGATGGATGGTGGTGATGATGGTGGTGATGGTGTGATGGTGGTGATAATGGTGTGATGGTGAGGAAGTGTGGTACAGCAGAAGAAACCTAGAGCCAGTAAGTTAAGAGTTCTATGGTCTAATTCTCTATTTCTCAGCCACTACCACTGACTACAATATGACTTTGGGCAAGGCCATCTTTTTTGGCCCCATTTTCTCCAATTACAAGTATGAAATACCAGTTTTGTTCTCTGTCTAAATTGAAGCCAAATACTCAGCTTCTCTGTATGCTTCATGACTGAGGACATCAGAGGGCTTGTTCCACAGGGCACATCCAAAAGGGTTACAAGATGCCAATTCTCTTATTCTATTCAAACCCTGGTTCCTCCATGACTCATCAGATAATCATAACCGAAGCAGCATAAGCCAGCCTCACCATCGTAAAGCACAATCAATGACCATGCTTCTTTTTTGCCTGTTCGGCATCGACAGGGAAGTCTTCATTGGGAACCAAATCTGACCCTTTTGGCAGACCACTCCTTCCCCACAGGTTTCTGCTAAGGGATACTTACCCAGGTTAACCCCCTGCCACCAGAGTTGTTTATAAGCACTGCCCTTTTGAGTGGCTGGAACCTAGATGCCCCAGTTGTTGGCTAAACATCTTGAATACCACATGTGTTTGGACGAGAGGATTCATCCAGGACACCACCTCAATAAACAGAAAGCTTCCTGTCTAACGCTCCCAACATAATTAAACTCCATTAGAGAGAAAGCAGTTATACGTTGTTTACTCTTGCGACTCCAGTGTCTGACACAATATCTCTCCAGAGTAGTTGTTCAGTAAACATTTCAGAGTGAACAGATGTGGCTGAACATCCTGCACCATGAACAGCAGATGCCGGTCACCCTCAGGGACCACACACTTCTCCTCTACTTTCAAAGAATAGTAGTCTTCGCCAAGATAAAGAAAGAAAACATTTCCCACATCAGCCAGGAAAGAAATGACAAGCAGCCTCAAGTGAAGCAGGCTGGGAAAAACTTTCACAGCAACACAGCCCTAAGTCAGGGGGTTGAGGAATAGAAAAGACTTCACCTCACTGCTCATCTTGGCAACCTGGAGCGAGTGCAGCAGCCTCGAGTCTGTAGTTCCCAGCACTTTGCCTTTTGCTTTTTCATACTCCTCTTTGTATTTAATCTGGAAAGAAATAGGAGAGTCAACTGTGAGAGATAAACTTTGCCATGTGAGGGACTGTGGTTAGCGCAAGGGGGACCATGTCCAGGTGACCAGTGCAAGGGGAACTATTCTGAAAAAAACACCTCCCAGTCTTTCTCAAACCCAGTTGAAGATTAAAGCGTAGCAGTGTTTACAATGTTAACAGTCATTATTCTTTTCTGCAGGACCACTGATGTTTTACTGGAACCGTCTTTTATGCATTTCTGAGTTAATGAGAGATACCTACATTGCTCGCAAGCTCTCCGGAAGCTTTGGCAGCCAGCAGAGACATGGCATCCAGCTTCATCTCAAATCCTTTCCCCTTTGTCTTCTCCCAGCCTTCTCTGTACTTGACCTGACAAACAGAATCACAGGTGAATGGGACTCACTGTCCAGTCTCGTCAAAAGTTGAACAGAAGTTTTTTAAATAACAAAGTTGGAGCCTTCATCTGCTTACAGAGCAGAATCTTGGCTGTTACAACCAAAGTGATAACAACAATTTTTTTTTCAATATTTTATTCATTCTTTTATTAATTCATATGAGTTATATGAAAAGGAGCAGCACGAAGAGGAATGGAAATACTATGGAGGTGAAAAACCACAATTATCAACACTATTGATTCCCTCACTGTAGGGCCATGTGGGGTAGTGATGGGATAGGACAATGAGAAGACCCATGGGTTCATCCTAGCACTGTTGCTGCCTGATCATGTGACCTTGGACCAATTACTTCACTTTTTTGGTCCTCAGTTTACCATTTGCAAAAATAATATTATATATCTGTCTAAGGGGCTTTCCACGTGGCGCTAGTGGTAAAGAATCCGCCTGCCATTGCAGGAGACATAAGAGACGTGGGTTCAATTCCTGGGTGGGAAAGATCCCCTGGAGAAGGACATGGTAACCTACTCCAATATTCTTGCTTGGAGAATTCCATGGACAGAAGAGCCTGGTGGGCTACAGTCCATAGGGTTGCAAAGAGTCAAACACAGCTGAAGTGACTTCACACAAGGGTGGCAGTAAGAACATATTGTGTACATGGGAACAGATATCCTCAGTTCATAAAGTGCAAACAGATACAGGGTATTGCTGTTGCCATGGGAATAACACCTGGCTCTCTGATACCAAAGCCCAGGCCACCAACTGTGTCTCTGCAATAAATAACTCCAAGGGGTCATATGAATATAACATATATGAAAAATTCCATGTATAATGCCTATCCCAGTGTCCAGCACAGAATAAGCATACAAAAAAGATTACTTTCTCCTTTTAAAATTTTTTATTAAAGTATAATTTATAATACTATGTCAGTTTCCAGTGTATAGCAAAGTGATTCAGATATATGTCTAGATAGATATATATACATATATATACATACACATTATACATATATATCCTTTTCAGTTCTTTTACATTATAGGTTATTACAAGATATTTGGCACAGTTCCCTGTGCTATATAGTTCAGTTCAGTACAGTCGCTCAGTCGTGTCCAACTCTCTGCGACCCCATGGACTGTATAGCACACCAGGCTTCCCTGCTATATAGTAGGTCCCTATTATTCACCTAACCCACAGATAGTAGTGTGCATATGTTAATCCCAAACTCTTAACTGGGCTTCCCTGGTGGCTCAGATGGTAAAGAATCTGCTTGCACTGCAGGAGACCTGGGTTCAATGCCTGGGTCGGGAAGATCCCCTGGAGAAGGACACGGCAACCCAGTCCAGTATTCTTGCCTGGAGAATTCCATGGGCAGAGGAGCCTGGTGGGGTCCCAAGAGTGGGACATGACTTAGTGACTAAACCACCACCTCCCAGGTTAGTTCCTCTTTCCTTTCTCCTGCCCTACAATTCCCATCTAGAATAAGAAGGCTAGTCATAGCCTCATAGTGACTGCTGGGAGAATCTGGTGATTAAGTTTGGTCTTCTTCAAACTTAAACTTTACCCACACAGCAAAGCACCAGCTAGGAATCATCAGGATGATGATGAGTATGTATGAGTGTGTGTGGGTGTATGCTCCAGCATACACCATACACATGTACATACAGTGAGAATGCAATTGCTGTGATCAATTTATTCTCATGAACTACCACATGCCATGAGGCAGCAACATTCAAAATTACAACCTGATGGGCACCTCCGATGAACCTCTCCATGAACAGAGGAGTCCCTGGGCCCTGCTTGCTGGACCGCTCTTGTCCCTTCATTTTCACATCTGTTTATAGCCCCCACCGTGTTCTCACTCACGCTCCTTGCTCACCTCACTAAAAAGTTCTGCATTGGTTCTGGCCTTCACCAGCTGAGGTACGTCCTGGGGCAACGTGTAATTCAACTTGTTTTTCTCGTAGTCAGCACGGTAATTCACCTGTTGGATTTAAAATAAACCCGCAGGGTAAGCACATGGTTTTGACATGGCAGAAGGAGAACTTTGGAGAGAATGCGCTCTTTTACACTCTCTTTTTGTAGGCCCATAGCCGAGAAGGAATTTCTGGAAAAGGCATTTCACAAGGAAGCCTGTAATTTTATGAACACTTTAAATTAACAGATGGAAGATGCCAAATGAAAAGTCAAACAACTCAAAGGCATGCTCACAGTTACAAGTTTGCAAAAGACTTCCCTGTGGCTACTTCACCCGCTGGCCTCTAAAGCACTTGAGGGTATGAAACTTGCTTTTTTAAACTTACTGCAATGCCAAGCCTCTTGCTATGTGCAGTTAGATACTTAAAGAGTAATTATCAAATGTCTGCCCACATTGGAAACAGACCATCTTAAACCACACACAAAAACAGCCAACCAGACATTTTATGATTCCCAACGGAAGAACACGGCATCATACGAGAAGCAGTCTTGCCCCCAAATTAAACCTGAGTCTGACCAAACCTAGAGATCCAACTATTATTTTATAGGCACTGGAGGCCAGAGGAACACATATGCAATCCACAGTGGGATACAGTCAGCAAAGCTCAGATGTGGGAAACTTTATAGGATAAACAGTTCAGTGTCTTCAACAAACAACTTGCAAGAAAAGAGATAAAGAGGAAAACTTAAAGATGAAAAGAGTCTTGAAGACATATCAACCAATCACAAAGTGTGGACCTTATCTGGAGCTTGATTCAGACAAACTGTAAAAAAAAATAAATAATCTTATGAGACAACTGGAATGCTGAATGCCACCTGGACACCGGTGATGTTAAAAATTTTTATTCATTTTTTGGTGTGATATATCAAAATTGTATAAATATGTTTAAAATTATTTTTATATTTTAGGGTTTCATAGTAAAATATCTGTAGATTAAATTACACAATACCTAGGATTTCCTTCAAAATAATATGGAGGGGGGCAGTGGATGTGCATACAGAAGCAAGACTGGCTACGAGTTAATTCATTGAAGCTGAGTGACGGCTGCCTGGGGGTTCATTATGCTGTCATTATGCTGTCCTTGCTACTTTTGAATGTATTTGAAATTTTATAAAATAAAGTTTAAATCAAAGAGAGTAATTTCTGGACTCTCCTAGGGGTCCTAAGGATCCACTTGTCAAAGCAGCGGACATGGGTTTGATCCCTGGTCTGGGAGGATCCCACATGCTGCGGAGCAACTAAGCTGGCACACCACAACTACTCTAGGGTCCATGCTCCGAAACTAGAAAAGCTACCGCAGTGAGAAGCCCAAGCACCACAGCCAGACAGTAGCCCCTGATTGCCGCAGCTATATAAAGGCGGCATGCACAGCGCAAGGAAGACCCAGCGCAGCCAAACATAAATAAATATTAAAAATAACTTTTAAAAAGAGTCATTTCATGGTTGTAACAGGACATATGACACCATCAATGGAAGTCAGATCTTCGGGAACCAGATATCCAGAACCCTGCAAAGCAACTGCGAGTCCCCCACATCTAGCTGGGCATGACTCACATGACTCAGTTGCTGGGCATTGATTTTGGCTTGAACAATCTGAGGTGTGTTGGTCACAGAGCTGTACTTCAGCTTGTCGATGCTTTGCCTGTAGTTGACCTGGATGCAGAAAGGCACAAGGTGTCAGCTGTACTTTGCTCTAAGATTTCCTTAGCTCCCTCCCCCTCAGCCCTATAGAGCTGTGATTCTCAAGTGACCAAAGAAAAACCCGAAGATTCCAACTGGAGACCAACAGACACTCCAAGCCCACAGATGGAAAAACAGTTCATTGAAGAGTAAGTGACTGAACAGGCGGCTCATAAAAAGAGTTCAACTGAATGGCCAGGGAATGAAAGAAAGGGTGACCGTCCGCATCGCTAATCAGAGAAAGGAATTTTAATACCTACCATCACCATGCTAGGCCGTTTAGTCAATTAGGTTCTGGACCTGTTAGTAGCAGTCAGATCACCATCAAACATCCCACACATGATCTTCAGGCCTCTGTTTAACTGCCCAAAGCCCAGTGCCCCACCCAGTATCCTGCACAGTATTGCAGCTTCTTTAGGCCCCAAACTCCAGTTTCCTGCATCCCACTAGCTCTTACCTCTCTGTCATACTCCACCTACTGCCTCTGACCATGATCCCATAGCAGGGGGCTCTGCCCTCACAGGGGGCAGCCTTGCACTTTCCTACTATGTCCTGTCTGTCTAAACCAGAGTCTGAGGTCTTTGCCATCCTACCCACCTGCTATCACCTCCTGTTGCCACCTCCCTGGGTGACAGCTCACCCCTGTGAGTCACAGACCAGTAGCTGGATGGCATTTGTCTTGGCTCGGTGTTTGGCCTCATTGTGGGGGAGTAATGAGGAGTGGTCAAAGGTCCGTCTGGTCAAGGCTATGGTTTTTCCAGTGGTCATGTATGGATGTGAGAGTTGGACTGTGAAGAAAGCTGAGCACCAAAAAATTGATGCTTTTGAACTGTGGTGCTGGAGAAGACTCTTGAGAGTCTCCTGGACTTCAAGGATATCCAACCAGTCCATCCTGAAGGAGATCAGTCCTGGGTGTTCATTGGAAGGACTGATGCTGAAGCTGAAACTCCAATACTTTGGCCACCTCATGCAAAGAGTTGACTCGTTGAAAAAGACCCTGATGCTGGGAGGGATTGGGGGCAGGAGGAGAAGGGGATGACAGAGGATGAGATGGCTGGATAGCATCACCAACTCGATGGGTATGAGTTTGAGTAAACTCCAGGAGTTTGTGATGAACAGGGAGGCCTGGCGTGCTGTGATTCATGGGGTCGCAAAGAGTCGGACACGACTGAGCGACTGAACTGAACTGAATGAGGAGTGGTGGGGACTGTGGCAAAGGGCAAAGCTACCACTCAGCTCTGGGGGATGGGGATCTTGATCAAAGTGGGACTTGGAGTGGCCAGACAGTCCAGTTATCACAAAGAAACCAGAAATCCATATTATTATATAAATTCTTACAATTTTAAATGCTGAGAAACAGTTCAATATTTTAAAACCCATTGACCCAAAGGAAACAGACCCAGTGAAAAGCTTGAGACTACATCTCTTCCTTGAACTCACTCCATTCTTGCCTGTCCCAACAGGAGGTAAACAATAATTACAGCTAAAAAAAATAGCACTTACTATGTGCCTGGCTCTACTGCAAGTGCTATACATTTATTTACACATTGAATCTTCCCAACCACCCTGTGGGGAGCACTGTTATCCCCACCTCACAACATGTAAACTGAGGCATGGAGCCCTGAAGTGACTTGCTCAAGGTCACCAGCTGGTGTCAGAAAGGGAGTGTTAATCACTCAGTCATGTCCGACTCTTTGAGATGCCATGGACTGTAGCCCACCAGACTCCTCTGTTCATGGAATTCTCCAGGCAAAAATACTAGAGCGGATAGCCATTCCCTTCTCCAGGGGGATCTTCCCCACCCAGGGGTCGAATCCCCGTCTCCAGCATTGCAGGAAGATTCTTTACTGTCTGAGCCACCAGAAAAGTCCCTGGTGTCAGAGCTAGGGTTCAAATCCCAGCAGTCGGCCTCCCAAAGTGGCTCCCAGACTGCATACTATAACTGTGGTTTTGCCAATGCTGCTGCGCTTGGAACTGTTACCTGTTATCTTATAGATGAGCCAGGGGTTCCCTATAACCAGAGCTATCTCTGCTTAGAGAAGGAAATGTATTATGACAAATTAGAAAACAAACAAAACAAAAAGACTTATAAATTAGCTTCTAGAACAAGATCGAAGAACAGAGTGTTCCAGATACTAGACCACAGAATCTTTTGTTGGGATTTGGAGAAAAGGGACAGCATTGCTTCATTCTATTTAGTTAACAATTCAAGGAAAAAAAGTTTTTGCACATTCTGAGCTTTGGACCTGGGGTATGTAGAAAAGCTAGGAAATATGAAGTCATTTCAATGTCAAATATTAATGAGATTACACTATAGTAGCTTCCTAACGCACTAAGTCAGAGGGAAAATTATCATCTCATAATAGAGTCTAATAGAATTCAGAATTATGCATGGTAAAATGTCACAAAACTGTGTTTTTTAAATGGCACATTCCTTCCTGATAATTCTACCTTAAGTATGTCGCAGAGCACAATTACTCTCCTCTGCAGGACATAATTAACACTCTCCATGATTAATGATATCTTTGCAACATCACAGATGTTTGGTCAATGCTCCAGTCTACTTTCTGAAAGCTCCCTCTGCTAAGGGTAGAGTCTCATTTTAATGCTATTAGTGTTTTTAAAATCCATCTGAAAGGAATGTTCTCTAATTAAGAGCCCATGCTTGTTTACTTAATTTCAGGGCTATCTGACCAACTCTAAGACTACCAGACAGAAAGACAGACCACAAATATAAATGGATATGCAAACTTTCTGAAAACTAAAGTCCTACATTAAGGGCGGTAAAAATTTTCACACAGGAGCCAGGAAAATAAAGTAAAGCAGGTTAAGGTGATAGAAGAAGCGGCCACTCAGGCCCCATCAACTGCTGCCATGCACGAACTAGGGCCACAGGTCCTATGTGAACTCACAATTTCTACATATCGTTTCAAAAACAATTTTTCTTAACACTGTGTGGCCACACCAAATACCTCTGCAACCTGGATCTGGCTCATGGGCTGCCAGTGCAGAATCTACCTCTGCTTCCAATTAATATTTCTAATCCAATATAGTTTAATTCATCTCTCAGACTTCTCCAGGTTGAGCTGGCTCTATTTCAGGTACCTGGTTTGATCCACTGTCTTATAGAGGCAAATGTCATAGCAAGTCATGTTATAACAGGATTGCTGTTATAGGACCCTATATAATAGTTGTAGGACCCTCTCTCATTTTGTTTGTTACTAAGCATTGTTTCTAGAATTCTACTGTGAAAGTGAAAAGTGTTAATTGCTCAGTCATATCCGACTCTATGCAACCCCATGGACTGCAGCCCACCAGGTTCCTCTGTCCATGGGATTTTCCAGGCAAGAATACTGGAGTGGGTTACCACTTCCTTCTCCAGGGGATCTTCCTGACCCAGGGATTGAACTCCGGCCTCCTGCATTGCAGGCGGATTCTTTACCAACTGAGCTACTATGGAAGCCCACTCAAAGAAAGAACTCACTCAGAAGCCCCCTATGAAAGAAAGAACTCAGATTTTTATGAGATGCTCTTGATTCCTCAAGTTTCTCAGGTCAAAAAAGAAAGCCAAAAAAAGAAACCTGGCTTTGGTAGTCAAGTTTAAACTTGAATTTCATTAAGGTGAAATGAGTAAGTCAATGCAACCAAGCTTTCTGGCAAAGGGAGAAGCAAAATGGGGCTCTTTATATTCTACTTCCCATACCCTGCTTATTCACACATTTGAAAAGTCCCTTTCATCCATCAAGCTGTCATTTGCCACTGACTGGCCTTCATTGCCCTGTGTCTATATTAGATGCTGGAGATGTCCAGCTGAACCTGCCACTGCTCCTACTCGGAGCAAAAGGGAAAGAGCTGCAAAGACCTATCTACCAACAGCACAGACCAAGTCAACTGCTGGAGCTGTGCTGACTCCAGAGGAATGTAAAGGAAAGTAGCCCTGACACTCAATGGGCACAAGTTGAATGATATACTAAATTATTTTTTTAAGATTTTTTTTTTTGATGTGGACCCTTTTTAAAGTCTTTATTGAATTTGTTACAATATAGCTTCTGTTTTATGTTCTGGTTTTTCTGCCATGAGGCATGTGGAATCTCAACTCCCTGACCAGGGATCTAACCCTCACCTCCTGCATTGGAAGGCAAAGTCTTAACCACTGAACCACCAGGGAAGTCCTTACATTAAATGATTGACTGAAGATAACTTTCACTGACAAACATGAACTGACAACTCAGTTCTAAACCACCTTATGTACTTTTTAAAACAATAGATAACTTCTACTGTTTTCCTTGTACATTTTTGTATTTCTAAATTTTCTGTAATAAACATAGTAAAATTCTTGTAATTAGAAAACAATGAAATTAATTAATTATACATATTTCATTGGAGACAAACCAAATATAAATAAATAAAATCACTGTTGTAATATTAAATAATTATTTTACTTAATCTTAAATTATTTTATTTAATATTATATAAAATTAAATTTTAAAATTATACACATATTTCTCCTGGGGAAAATAATTAAGTGCTCCTAGAGAAAATAATTAAGCCAATGTTACCATTTCCTCTCAACTTATAGCTATTTCAGTTTACTTCCTCTGGTCCTCAAACATAAAACTTAAAAAAAAAAAAACTCATCACTGCTAGCAAATAATTACTTTAAATGTGCCCAGCAGCAGATATAGTTCCCAAATTCTAAGAGGTGAAATGGGACTTTAGGATATTTCCAAGATGAAACCAGGGCTGTCTCTGCCTATGCTGGAAATCCAAGAGTTTCCAGACATATATATGAACGTCCTGTTAGAAAAGAATTACTTTTTCTCAGTTCTTTGTATCTCCTATGAACTGCTGTATCCTGTTTCTTTCCATCTCACTGCCTAAGAATCACTCCATTGGAGGGAAGTGATGAGGAATAAAGGTCTATTGGAGAAGGACTCACATCTTTCAAGGGAACCAGTTTCATTGTTGTTTGATAGGAAGGGGTAAGAGTGGCCGGGTAGTTGTAGTCGACAATATCATGTTTGTAATCAGCCTTGTAGGCGATCTGAAACACAAAGAAAAGAGCAAGAAAAGAGAAATTAGCCCCCACTTTCTTGTGACCTTGTTTGAATGTCATAAAAATATTCTTTAAGTAACCAGAAACAAAATTAATTCAGTTTCATCACCTCCAAGGAAAATTAAATTACATTCGTACTTTTGCCTTTAATTAATTTGAATTCTTCTTCTTAATTAACCCAAAATTAGCTAACTTCATCTGTAACACATTTGTTTTATCTTTCTTATTAATCATGGAGTCCCTTGTAGATTTTTTTGTAAAGAAGAAGCATTTGCATACAAGTATACAATAAAAGAGCTTCTTGGCTAATGCCCAGAAAATAAATGAAAATTCAGGAGTCTTCAGAGTACTTGAAATTTTTTTCTAAAGGTCAAATTTGACTTTCTCAGGCAGATTAAATTTGACATGTGTATGTTTTAATAATGAGATCAGCTTCTTCTTGGTGTCATTTACTTCCAAGATGTACAATTTGGCATTTGCCAATGTGTAAACTGAATGGACAAAGCCAGAGATTAATAGATCACATGCTTTAGCAAAAAGAGGGACCTGATCTATCTTGTTATCCCACTGTCTTGAGCAGTGCCTGGACACAGGAAATCTACAATGAACACTAAGGTGTAACTAATGAATAAATCAGTCAACCAACCAATCAGTTTCAAATAAATCACAAACGCTTTGGAAATCTGAAGCATTTCAAATGAGAATTATGCTCATCCACTTCTCTTTATCTCTCAGAAACTGAAAGTTTTTGTTACACTGGATCAATTACAATAGATCCAAGTACTCTTCAAAGCAGAGAAAGCTGAGATTAATACATGGAAGCTTTTGAAAATTTTCAAGGATTTTTTACCTAGCCTTGGTTGTATTGATTAACATTTAGAAACTCTTTGAGGTCAGTCTTTACACAACAAAACACTGACTTTTTAAAAGGGAGGTTGGAAAAGAATTGGCTGAATTCCTCGTGCCCTTTCTCCTTCCACCCCAGGAGACCCCGAGGGCACGCAGGCCCTTTACAACAGGACTCACATTGCTTGCCAGGCTTCCAACCTTCAGAGCATGGAGCATCCGTTTGTCCATCCCAACTCCTTCATAGTGGCCTCTCATGCGGTTCTGGTAGTTTTCTTTATATTTATTCTACATGGGAACACAAAACCTTCAACAAAAGCATTCCCCCCCCCAACTCATGGAAGACAAACGACTCATCTTAATGTGCTAAATCCAACACATAAATGATTAAATAGAGCCTATGTATGTATTCAGTGGGTCAGCGAATTAAAAATAAGACAAACCTAAAAAAAAAAAAATTAGAATTCAAGAAGTTGGGGTAAAACAAAGCATACAAGCAAACATAGGATCTGATGCATAGACAGCACAAAACAGACCTGATTTTTTTTTTAACATTTTCAGTTGTAAACATACCAGATTTTTCCAACGTGAAAACCTATCACGTGAATGTGGAGCTTTCCAAGGACAAGCACTGATGATATAGGGGCTGCATGCAACCCCATGCCCCAGGCCCTGGCACTGCATGCCATTACCACTCTTTCTAGATACATGAAGAATAAAACCTGAGCTTTGCCAAATTCTGCGCCTTTTACATGACACATTGGTTACTACCGCAACCACGTTAAGTAGCTATATTATATCCCAAATGCAGCTCACAAAGAACAAAACAAGAAGACAAGAAGTCATAAATAGAAAAATCTGAGTACTTTCTAGTAAAGCTACATTAAAATCACCTACCTTGGGAGGCCATTGAGCTTCCAAGCACTGAGAGTATTTTAACAGAATACTATTACTCTACCTCAGATACAGTTCTACTTATCTCAGTTAATCTTCACCAACACTCTATGAGGAGGAAGGATTTATTATCATCCCCATTTTACAGACAGGCAAAATGGCTCCATGAGCTTAAACAACTTGCCCAGAGTCAGCCACTTGGCCAATTATGGAACGAGGCCCGTCAGCTCCAAAGCTGGTGTGCTCAACTATGGCATGTAGGCAAAAAAAAAATTTCCTTACTGAGCCTTACAAAGTCCCATGTGATTTCAGATTTTACTACTATAAGCATACTTTATAGTATAAGTAGAAGTATAATCATATAAACCAGTCATTGATGTTCTCAAGGATACATCCCCAGACCTGGAGAATTTCCAAATTTGCAAATGCCATGCCAGCATACATCTGCTCAGCTGTAAGATGGGGAAGTAACACCTGGCCCCCCAGGTGACCGTGCAGGATAACTGAGATTGTGTACTAATTTAAGAAGCACAGAGTCAAGTTGAGAGGGAATGCTGCATGCTCAGCTAGGCTTCCTCACCAGCATTTGCCACTAGGATCCGGATACTGTTTTACATGAAGGAGGCAAGAGGGCAGATGCCACCCTGAGGACTCAGGGTCAAGTGCATGCTGGGGATTTAACACTCCATGGACCAGCCCAGCAGGCAATCTCTATCAACACTCATAGTATCTGTGCCTAAGAAGCCATGCTTCTCCAAGACACCCAGATGCATTCTCTTAAGAGACCAAGAAATTCAGGTCATTAAAAAAAAAAAAAAAAAAGGCCAAACAAAGGCTTAGGCATTAAAAACTCACATCACTGGTGAATTTTGAGATCTTGCACACGTTCCTGAATTGAGGCGTTTCACAGTAGTTGATACTATGACCTTTACTACTTTCCAGATCCTTCTTATACTCCACCTTGGAAACCAAAACACCAGATGCACAAGAGAACCAAACCCGAAGTCACTCTTGAAAATGTCACCAGAGCTCAAGGATATTTTTAGAAAACTTTCAACCGAAGATTTTAAAATATCAGGCATAGGCTACTGTAGGTCAACAATACATGTTTTCCTTTCAAATAGTGAATAAGTAAATAATCAGTTTGGTTCTGAATATTAAAAAATATATAGTCCCTTTTAAGAGTAAATACTTTAAGATTTTTATATAGTATAGCTCAAAAAATGGCAAAATAGTTTTAGAAATCAGGAAAGTGGTCACTTCTGGGGACAGGTGTCTGGGGGGATGTCAGGACTTCTGGTCATGTTCTGTTTTTTGATCTGATTGCTTGTTACAAAGATGAGCCCACTTGTGGAAATTCTTCCTATTGAACACTTATGATATATGCAATTCTCTGTATATATACTTCAGTAGAATTTAACCAAAAAAGTTACTTTACAAAAGAGTATAATAAATGAGACCACACATAAATGCAGAGTGCCTTCTAATTTTAAATGGCTAGTTGAGCTCCTCTGGGTAGTTGTATGTAAGATGTGAGGTCATTGTTATAATAGAGTCCAAGTCGTTCCAGGTAATTAGAGAAGGCAGCTGAAGGCTAGTTACCATTAATAGAGGCAGGGCTGGTTTGTCTTACTAAATAAACATAAGGGCAAAAAGAAATGGAAGGTTCCCTTGTGATGCTTACCAAAGGAAATACAATTTATTATCATACTTATAAAACATTTGGTGGGAATATGCCTCTTAAAGTTTGCAAGATGCATCACAATGCTTATAATATGATATAAAATGAAAAAAGCATATAAAACTTTACACACAGTTGAATTCTAATTCTATGAAAATATGTTTTTATATTCATATATTTATTTATAGTATATTCACATAGAAAAGGTTTCCCTTGTGGCTAAGATGGTAAAGAGTCTGCCTGTAATGCAAAAGATCTGGGTTCGATCCTTGGGTCAGAAAGATCCCTGGAGAAGGAAATGGCAACCTACTTCAATATTCTTGCCTGGAAAATCCCAGGAATGGGGGAGCCTGGCGAGCTACAGTCCATGGGGTCGCAAAGAGTTGGACAGGAAAGAGCAATTAACACTTTCATGTAGAAAAAGGCCAAAATGGTAACAGTGTTATTCCTGGGTCTGGTTCTAGTTCTGTCCCTAGAAGCCTATGGAAACCAGAACAAGACACTTGACTTTTCCAGGTCTATGACAAAGCCAGGGAAAAAAGACTGCAAATACCCCACCTAGATCTAATGTTCCATGAGTCAAAACGTAAGATTCAGCAAACTTTTTCTATAAATGAGCAGATAGTAAACATTTGAGTCTTGGCAGGACGTTGTGTGTGTGTGTGTGTGCTAAGTCACTTCAGTTGTGTCCAACTCTATGTGACCCGATGTGCAATTTTTTCTTTATCAATTTTGTCTTTATCTTTCAAAAGCAGATATATGATGTATTTCAATAAGACTTCATTTATAAAAACAGGCTGCAGGCCAGATTTGTTACTCAGGTCATAGTTTGCTGACCTCTGGCCTAGAGCCTAAGAATCATATGGATAATTTGTTTAAACAGCAGGTTCTGGACTTCCCTGGTGGTCCCATGGCTAAGCCTCCACGTTCCCAATGCAAGGGGCCTGGGTTCGATCCCTGGTCAGGGAACCAGATCCCATGTGCAGCAACTACGACCTGGCACAGCCAAATATACAATTTTATTTTTAAATGCAGGTTCCAAGGGCTAGGCACCTATCCACTATTTCTAAGTATCTGAAGTTTCTGATGATGCCCAGGAAATGTACACTCTTGTGATTCTGAGCAGCATCACAGGCTAAGGCACTTTTTGGAATAAAGGACTGACTCTCAGGAAAGAGAAGAAAAATCTTTTAGGATATTTGCGTATCTTTTTTTGAGTTTCAGACAACTTGTTAGATGAGTCCTATGCAGAGCCTGGCAAGAGGCTGACAACTCGAATGACTTCAGGGTCCTGATAGGTGATGCCAACAGAGAAGAAGCTGCTATAAGAAACTCAAGAACAATAAAAAGGATATGGGGAACTAGAGGGGATATTCCCTTGCAAACAGCCCTAGCAATTCTAAAAATCCTAACCCTTTGGCAGGCCAAACGAAACACAGTCTCTGGCAGCCAGGTCCGCCTCTAAGGCAAGGGGAATTCATATAGCACACAGAGCTTCTGGGAAACCTGGCTACAAAAACAAGACAATGAGGGAGGTTCCATGTTCAAAACACTCCTCATCTTTGATTTCCACTCTTTAAGAATGACATACGGTTATAAAGGTTGGCTCATCCAATATTCGGGCAACTAGAAATCTACTCCTGGGAACTTTGGAATATCCACAACCCTGTGAGAATTTCAGGAGGAAACTTCTGAACCATCAGAGGAAGATTTAATTAGTTTGGTTCTAGGCTCTGTTATGAATTGCTTTTGACTACCTGTTCGTTCTTTGGCAACTGGTAACGCGTATGTAGTTCACGTGGCGTTAACACAGAATTTTTCATTCTGGGGTCACCCCTTCACTGTCTGTCGGAATCAAAGGAGGTGACAGCACATAGATGGGGCCATCCCCCTACGTACCTCACTCACGAGCTTGTTCACACTCTGAGCCCGCTTCAGAACCAAGTTGTCCTGGGCTGGGAGGGAATGATAATGCGCAGCGCCCTTCATCTTATTGAAGTCCTGCCTGTATTTTATCTGAAAGAAGCACACAAAGAACAACCAGAGTTGTTTTCCTTCTCCAGGAGAGAAGTCACTCCACATCTACCCCGCATTTCATGTCAACATTTATTTCATACAAGTTTCTGGAGGAAAAACAAAATCACATGGGTTTTTCCTCCACTAAGTCCCTACACCACTCACTCCCTTTTAGATTAAAATATTACTGCCCCCTTTCACATTTTTTACACTTTACATTCTAGTTCTGCATGAAGAGAGGTCTCAAAATGATCATACCTAGACGTATCATCCAAAAACCCATTCTGCCTTTGGTTTTAACAACCATTTCTCATAAAGCCTCGAGTGATGAATGTGTCCTTTATTTTCCCTCTCAGGACAATGTGCACTTTTCTAGGGAAATGGGTAATAACTGAGAAGGAACAAAATAAAGAAGAAGGGCAAAGGGGGTATGAGACGAATGCTAGGCTTCTAATTGATCAAGATCAAGATGGTGAAAGATCTGCAGTGTGCATGTCACTTTACCAAGTGTAATGATAACTTATCTTTCAAGGATGGCCAATTGGCTAACATTCTACACATAAAAATTGTTTTATCAACTGGGTTATACCCAGTTTGATAATCATACTGTTTATTTTAAGCAGCTATTCCTCTTGAGTGCTCAATTTCTAAAGTGGGTTATTTTGCAAAGACTCTCCTAACTCCATCCTATTTGGCTGGACTGGTATCTGCACTTGCTTCGGCTGACCTCAAGTAAGTGATGTGGTTTGTCCATGTCAGTCTGCTTTAAAGCAGACAAATGTGACCTAACTGTATGAACCCAAAAAGCAGATGTTGGAAATTTGGTTAGGAATTGAAGGTTAACATTCTGCTTTGACTCAGCTCTGAAAAATTTAACTGGCTATAGGTTTCAGCAAGCACAGCCTCCAAAGTCTCATTTTTCCTCTGCTCCTGTGGCTCTGTGGGTTGTCGCAATGAGGTTACTTACATCACTAGCGAGTTCGTTGGCTTTCTTGGCGTTCTGATAAGCTGGGGTGATCATGGCCGGGAAGCTACCCTTTCCTCTGTGCTCACCATACTGTTCCGAGTAACTCTGCTGGGTCAATCGAAAATTTTAATCAGGGTACTTCCTTGGTGGTCCACCAGTTAAGAATCTGGGGTCATGGGTTCTATTCCTGGCCTGGGACCTAGGATCCCACATGCCGCAGGGGCAACTAAGTCTGTATGTCACAACTACTGAGGCTGGGTGCAGCAACTACTGAAGCTCAAGTGTCCTAGAGCCTGTGCTCTGCAACAAGAGAAGCCGCCACAACGAGAAGCTCTGAGAAGCTCATGCACAACAGTCAGAGAGTAGCCCCTGCTCACTGCAAACAGAGAAAGCAAAGCAACAAAGAAAGCAAAGCAACAAAGACTCAGTGAGCCAAATAAATAATTAGCTAATTTTAAAACACTTTCACAGCAATGCTCTATCACTGGAATGCGTAGGGGATTAGCAATGATCTCTCCTACATCTCTTGTCCTTACACCTCCTGTTCCCATGGAGTCCTGTCCACACTGAACCCTCCTGTGTTCACCCCTAAGAGCAGTACATGTGATTATTGATCTGGTGGACTCTGGAGGCAGACCCACCTACTATTGTCCAGCACACTTACTGGGGTCAGCACTAAGTAAATGGAAATGACTATCATTGGCATCATTGCTCCCATCAGATAAGTTAAGACACTGTATGAGTCTCCTAGGCACACAGGGTAATCATTTCTTAAAAGACACCAGGAAAGTCCCTCTGCCTTCCAAGGGTCTTGAATGCTACTGTTCGCAGACCTGCTGGCAGATCTATGCAGAGAGGCACTGATATCTCACAAACTGCCTCCCCCAACGATGGATTCATTTCATTTACCAATAAAGGAAGGTTATATAACAATTTGAATTTTTGATATTTGGAGGAAAAGATTTCAAATTTCCATAAGATGATCTCAACTGGGACCAAATGTATATTTCAAACTAAGTATTACAATCTGAGTCTCGATTTCTTCCTTCCTCCCCACCACATCACCCTGCCACTCCCATAAAGGAGAACCTTCCTTCTCATGGAAATGTCCTCACGTTTGTTCTAAGTTGCTTCAGTGACATCCAGTTCTTTGCAACCCTACAGACTTAGCCCACCTGGCTCCTCTGTCCATGGGATTCTCCAGGCAAGAGTATTGGAATGGGTTGTCATGCCTGCCTCTATGGGATCTTCCCGACCCAGGGATCAAATCCAAGGCTCTTATATCTCCTGCATTGGCAGGCAGGTTCTTTACCACTAGCACCACCTGGGAAGCCCCACGTCACTGGTGTACACTTTCCCCGGCAATCAGGAACTGGATGTACTTCAAAATCCCATCAGATGCTACCTTCTCTCAGGGGAACTCCTCCCTCACTCCCGGGCCTGCCCCAGGCAGAACCAGCTGCTTCCTCATCTGTGCTCCCACAGATCTGAAACAACCCTTCGTGTGTTCCCTCGGGCTCATGACTCCATCTCACTCTGGCCTCCACCGTGGTGGGGCTGCCCGGCTCCAGAAACACCATTCCAAGTCTGGCACACTACTCTCTTATATGAAACAGTTAGAATGCCCAGGGTTCCTTTCTACCCAGTAATGACAACTGCTTAGCCTAAGAGCTCCTTTTTGGTCGGTTGCCAGAAGGTTCTGGGCCACATGTAGTAAGTGAAAAAAGTTAAGCTAAAAAAATAATAATAACAAAGACTCAAATTCTTTGGTAGCCTCCTTTTCCCCTTCCTGCATTATGATTTGGAGTTGGTTTGTAGCTTTATTTTAACGTCTCTGTTTATATGAATGTATGTTGTGTATGTAAATCTTGTTTTTTTAGTATGTAAATCTTTTTGAGACACTTTATCCTATTGGGAAGATGACTGGTTACAAATAATAGATTACATGCTAAAGTCCATTAACCTAAAAAATATGCATTAAAAAGAATGAACTGTTTTGTCATTTAGGCATTACAGATATTTATAGTTCATCTGACTGCCTGTTTCTCTTTCACTTCCTGCTATTCTCACCCTGACGAGTCACGTAAATCATAATGAAACACCACAGGGGATGGAGTCCTCTTCACTGACAGCTGCTGGTGGTGCTATCAAACCAGACTCAGTTTGATTCTTGTATTTGTTATTATCACGATTCCATGTGCTGTGTGCTCAGTCGCTTAGTCATATCAGACTCTTTGCAGTCTCATGGACTATAGCCATCAGGCTCCTCTGCCCATGAAATTTTCCAGGCGAGTTCACTGGACTGAGGTGTCATTTCCTACTCCAAGGGATCTTCCCAACCCAGAGATCAAACCTATGTCTCTTATATCTCCTGCATTGGCAGATGAATTCTTTACCAGTAGCGCCACCTGGGAAGCCCATTATCACGATTGGAAACTTCAATCAAAATGCCCTAATAATCAAGGCTCCACTCTGGCACTAGGAAGTTAAATTTCATCACTGTGTATAGAAAGGCCTAGACACACATAAGAAATTATATGTGTGTAATAACAGTGGTAGATAGGATGGCCCAAATATAGAACAAAATATTTTCTGCTGAATATGGAAGCCAAGTATTTTTAAAACTGACTTTGAAAAGTTGTCCAGAGCATCTGAGCAACATATTTACAACATAAAACCAATAAAAACATATTTTGGGGTTTCCCTAGGGGCTCAGTGGTAAGGAATCTGCCTGTCAATGCAGGAGACATGAATTTGATCCCTGATTCAGGAAGATCCCACATGCCACAGAGCAAGTAAGCCCATGCATTACAACTATCGAGCCTTTGCTCTAGAGTCCACGTGTCACAACTGCTGAAGCCTGCGCATCCTAGAGCCTGTGCTCCGCAACAAAGGAGACTACTGCAATGAGAAGCCTGCACACTGCAACTAGAGAGTAGCTCCCGCTCACTGCAACCAGAGAAAAGCCCGCACAGCAACAAAGACCCAGCACCACCAAAAATAAATAAATACAAATACAAAAAATATTCTCATTGAGCTTTAAGCACTAAGAGACCATCTGACTAACAATTATTGTGGAATTTAATAAAATGGCCTTATAAATTCAAACATTTGTGTTCAGACAGACATTTGCAAAGGGGTCGAAACCTATATTTATTTAAAGTTTCACATGAAACATGTATATTATCATATGTGAAACGAATCGCCAGTCCAGGTTGGATGCATGAGACAGGGTGCTCAGGGCTGGTGCACTGGGATGACCCAGAGGGATGGGATGGGGAGGGAGGTGGGAGGGGGGATCAGGATGGGGAACATATGTACACCCATGGCTGATTCATGTCAATGTATGGCCAAACCAATACAATGTTAGAAAGTAAAATTAATTAGTTAACTAATTAAAAATTTAAAAAAATTAAAGTTTCACATGAATATATCCCTCAATATAAGCAACTCAGTTTTCTGAAGAAGAGAAATCAGTTATTTGTTTCCTTTTATAAATTATATATATCGAATAAGTCACATGTGTTGTAAAGTCTACTCGGTGCCAAAAAATTTAAACAACTGTCGAATTAAGAGAAAAATATCAACTAAGCCCAACTGAACATACTCTTTCAGTATACACATTTGATCTTCCAACATTCTTTAGTTACAATCACGAAAAAATAATGTTCCATTTTCCCCTTATAACAGCTGTCTAGTACCAGAAAATGCAGAGGAATATGCAAATAAAATTAGCTTGTAATTGTCACTCAATCTTTTTACATCCTGCCAAGATGTAGTTCATTGAAGAAATGAAATTGATAAAAAAAGGCATAAGCAATATGCTTTTTTTCCCCCCTCTGGCATATTGCTTTATCTGGCAACCTAGATAAGAAATTCACTTTCTAAGAAAAAGAATCCTGCTACTCAGCGAAATATTTTTCAATACATGCATTGACCCCCTTGGTACTACTATGTAGTGACAGGCTAAACACAGCCAGTCTGAGTCCTCAGGATTTTTCTTCAATGAATAGATGAGGATGCTTTATTCCTAGCAAATGCACCATTCTGATATAGGTCCTTTAGTTTTTTTTTTAAAAAAGGAAAGATAAAGTACCTAGAATTTGTTTTCCTAAGTGAGTCAAGTTGAAACCTGTGTAATTGTTTGCCTGCTACTTTCCGGCTTTGAAATCCACTTTCCATAAATAGGACAAATATAAATGATATCCCAATCCCTGAGTAGACTGTCACAGGTTGTGTCACAGGCTAGAGGGTTGCCAAACTGAGACCTGACCTTCCAAAAGGGTAGTCTTCGAGGAAGTCACTTCATCACATACCTGGCCATACTGGTCCATGTATTCCTTTGGCAACGGGCCCTCCGCTCCAGCAGCAGGGCCAGCCACTCCCTTCATTTCTCTTTGATATTGTTGATGGTATCTCACCTATTTGAAGGGGAGAGAAGGATACACCTGGTAAATTGAGCCTCTCACGCACACGGGTCAGAAGAGTCAAAATGAATGTCTACGGAAAGTTCTTTTTCTGCTGGAGTCTAGGGAGCATGTCTTAGACATAAAAGTGCCAGATCATTGTTCTAGTAAAACTGACTGAAAACTCTGAAGGAACGTTCCTTCTTGGATCCACAGTATGCACAAAAGAAGGCAGGAAATTGGACTCGCCAGGTCTGGGTAACTTCCTGACCCCTCCCCTCACGTGACAACACTGCCCGGGACACTTACATCACTTGCCAGCTCGTTGGCTCTTTTGGCTATCTGATAAGCAGGTGTGATCATAGCAGGAAAACTGCCTTTCCCTCTCTGCTGTTCATAGGCCTCTGTGTATCTCACCTGGGAAAAGAAATATTTTGAATCACATACCACAGTCCCACCATCTACCAGGCAATCGGAGTGAGAAGTCCCGCTAAGGGCTCCCATAACACCTGTACATCTCCCATCAGATCTCTTAGGCAATGTAGTAAGTTTAGTGCTTGATGGACCCTTATTTACCATTTTATTCCCAGCACTCAGTGTCTGATACATGGAGATGCTCAAGGCAGAATTCAACACATACTTGTGAGCACCTGGTGCAGGCCAACCAAGGCAAGTGGAAGCCACTTGTTAAGCTGAACCTGGATTCGTGCTTAAACTTCCCAATCAGAACAACACTAAGTTTTCCATCTTATTATGCTGTGGAGCAACTGGAATCGAAAAGGCAAATGGTACAAACTCTTTGGAAGTTCTATTCTGTAATTTGCAGTAACAAGGAGAGAATTCTTTCAGGTTAATCAGAAATATCTAGTTTGTTACTAATACCATGTAAACTTTTCTAAGGAGGAGTTTTCACGTGGTCTGTGCTAGCTGCTGAATCTGACCTGACCACCCTTCTCCATGATAGGAAAGAGTGGGGAACCTTAAAGAAGAGTCACAGTGTCTGGCCACCATGGTCATTGCTTTCTTTTCTTTTTGGCCACTGCACATGGCATGGGATTCCACAGACTTCCCTGGTAGCTCAGACAGTAAAGGATCTGCCTGCAATGTGGGAGACCCAGGTTCAATCCCTGGGTCGGGAAGATCCTCTGGCAAAGGGAATGGCAACCCACCCCAGTATTCTTGCCTGGGGACATTCCATGGAAGAGGAGCCTGGCAGGCGGCAATCTGTGGGGTCGCAAAGAGTCAGACATGACTGAGCGACTAACACACAAATGGTATGGGAGATCCTAATTCCCAGACCAGGGATTGAACCCAGGCCCCCCTGCAGTGGAAGCATGGAGTCCCAACCACTAGACTGCCAGAGAAGTCCCTAGCTTCTATCATTTCTTACATCACTTTGAAGCTGTCCACCAGCCTTGGCCCGGAGCAGCTCGGGGGTATCCGCCACCGTGCTGAACCTGGAGATGCGCTCATCATGCCCTCTCTTGTACTCCACCTGGCGAAGAGACAGCATGGAGTCAAGGTCACACCCACCACTGGGCAACACTGAAGGCAATCTACGGCAAGTCTTTCTGGCTTGCTTTAGGGGCTCCTCTCCAAAAACATGCACATGTGTTCAGTCCAAGAGAGCACCAGGAACTGCTAAACGTGAACAAATATTCTTTTGTCTCCATAACAATCACATGAGGCAGGACTATGATTTTCCCCATTTTACAGATGAGCAGCTGGGGAACAGAGAGGTTAAGTAATTTGTGCAGGGTCCCATCGCTACGAAGCAAGAGAGCCAGGATTCAAATCCCAATATAGCTGGCTCCAGAATCTGAGCTCTAAATCAACCAGCTATACTGTTCTTCAGTAGGATCTGCCATCCTCTTAATAAAAATCAGTGTCCTTGATGCTTAACCTCGAAAAACTATTTGGTTCGGTTTTGGGGTGAACAACATGGCCTTCTCTCCATTGATAGAGGAGGCATGGGCATAGATAATGACTGATACAGAAAAGGTAAGAACACAGTCTTCTTTGTAATATCATACTCAGGGTACCTACTGCCCCCCAAAGAGCTCTCCTGTTGGATTTTACCTGAATCCCAGGGATTCACTAACGACAAAAATTAGTGTAATCAACGGCAAGTAAGCACTAAGATACTCACTTGGCTGGCCAGCTGGTTGGCGATCTTGGCCCTTTGATAAGCAGGTGTGATCATGGCTGGAAAACTCCCTTTGCCTCTCTGTTGCTCATAGTCTTCTGGATACTCCTGTTGGTCAGACCAATGTCAGCATGAGAACCAAGAGGATCTCCAATGAGAACGAATAAAACTGCAATAGCAAGCATCATCAGAACCAATGCAACTGGACGTATACGGTACTAGGAAAATATTTTGGTCTTCTGGAATAAATTTGAAAATTATTCATTTGGTGATTTAAATTAACACCTTCAAGGCTGAAGAAATCATATTTCCCAGGTCAAAGAGTTTCCCCTTCAATGTTTATATTAAACTCTGTGGAACCTGGCACAACCCAAGGGAGGCCCCTTTACTGAAAGGCTTGTAATATAATGCAGCAATTATTATGCAGGAGACCCTTCAGCAACTCACCCACTAGACACAGTTCTGGACTTCCCTGGTAGCTCAGTTGGTATAAAGAATCTGCCTCCAGTGCAGGGGACCTACGTTAGATCCCTGGGTCAGGAAGATCCCCTGAAGACGAAAATGGCAACACACTCCACTATTCTTGCCTGGAAAGTCCTTACGGACAGAGAAGCCTGCCAGGCTCCTCAGTCCACAGGCCCACAGTCCATGGCGGGTTCTACAGTCCATAGGGTCGCAGATTTGCACACGACTTAATGACTAAACCACCAGCAGACACACTTCTACAGTGCTGGGAGTGAAATATCTGTTCTTTTCTCCTCCTTACTTTTGAATATCTCTGCTAGTCTGCTTTCCTAACGAAACACAGCACCTTAGCAACTGTGATTCAGTTGTTTTCTTTCCATGTGCTAAAGCAAAGTTACTCAAGACTAACAATATTTTCCAAAGTGGCTTCTTCAAAGGACAGGTGCCCTGGGTTTAGGGAGAGAACTAGAGGATATAGCATGCAGATCATTAAGGAATTCCATAACCTCGGGTAAAATTGTCTTTCCTAGGATGAAAACCTACTAAGATCTCTCTTATGGTGCGACAGGTCCAAAATCTAAAATAGGGCATCAGGGCTGGTTCTGAAAGCTCTGGTAGGAAATCCATTTCTTTGCCTTTTTCCAGCTTCAAGAGGCTGTCCACAGTTCTTGGTTTACAGCCCCAGACAGCTTTGACCTCTGCTTCTGTTGCCACATCATCTTTTCTCTGACTCTGACTCTCTTGCCTCCCTCCTTATAAGCACCCTTGTGATCACATTTGGTCCCCGTTAATAATCCAGGATAATCTTCCTATCTCAAGATCCTTACCTTAATTAGGAACTTGAGTTTAGCAGATACAAACTACTATGTATAAAATAAAAAACAAGGTCCCATTGGATAGCACAGGGAACTATATTCATTATCTTGTAATTAATTATAATGGAAAAGAACATGAAAAAGAATATATGTGCATATATATGTATACATATAACTGAATCACTCTGCTGTACATCAGAAACTAACACAACACTGTAAATCAATTTATGTATGTTTGTTCCATCGTTCAGTCATGTCCAACTCTTTGCAACCCGATGGACTATAGCCCACCAGGTTCCTCTGTCCATGGGATTTTCCAGGCCAGAATACTGCAGTGGGTTACCACTTCCTCCTCCAGGGGATCTTCCCAACCCAAGGATCAAATCCATGTCTCCCGTGTCTCCAGCCTCTCCTGTATTGACAGGCAGATTCTTTACCACTGAGCTACCTGGGAAGCAAATCAGTTATACTTCAGTTAAAAAAATCCCTACCTTCATCATTATCTTTGGCCATGCATAGTAGCATATTCATAGGTTCCAGGGACTAGGACATGGGAATGTTTGGGAGAGGGCCAGTATTCTATCACAATCTTAATGAACATTCAAGCTAACTGCTAAAGTAATTTTCTAGGGCCCTTACCTCACCCAGTGACTTTCGTGCCTCCACCATCCTTACGATTTCAGGGTCTGGCAGAGATCCTGGGCACCAGGCATTCCCTTCCCTGTATCCACTCCAATAGGCTCTCTGGAGAGGAAAAACACAAATGCATACAAACACACAGCCCGCACACTTGCTTGGTAAGATCACCCTACCTACCCCACCCTCCCGGCAATGCTCACCTATATCGTCAACATAAGATAGAAAAGACAGAAATTCTCTAAAAATGATAAACTCCTCCTGATACATGGCAGGTCTCAGCTAACCAGAATGTTCATTTTTTTCAAACTAGAAAATAACCTAATCTCCTAAATAACCAAAACTTTCGGAGATTGACTCTTAACGTTTTTTTGGCTCATTATTGCACCAAAATGGGGCAGCAGGGAGTTGCTGTGGACAGGCCATCTGAGATTAATCAGCATTATTCAGCCAAGCTTCAAAATCCTGCTACCTGTTGTGTGCCAAGCGCTAGATTAAGCAATTAACACTAGGATAAGAAAATCAAAAAAGAAAAAAAGGAAGACAAAGTTCCTCTTTTAAGATATGTGTGGTTTATCTAGGGAGATAAAACTAACACATGAAACAATTAGCGATTAGAAAATGCTTGGTGCTTAAATGTACTGTATTGAAGATAAACACAGTGAGAGTTTTGAAAAAGCAATCTCCATGTGAGGGCCCCTGATTTGGACAGGGATTTGAGCTGGACCTCCAGGGATGAGGTCAGTTACCAGATGATGCAATGGGACAAGAAAAAGCATCTGCTCAAGGAGGTCTGTTCCATGAAGGCAGAGATTTTTGTCTGTTTTGTGCATTGAAGAATTCCAGCAGCCTGGAATAGTGCCTGGCATACAATACTCAATAAATACATGCTGACTTTAAAAAAGGGTAAAAAAAAAACACATGTTGGATAAATTCTAAGAGTGGGGACTGCCATGAATAAAAGCATGAAGGCAATGATAGACTTTGTGTGAAAGACCATGAGGAAATGGATTTTGCTGGAATCGGGGGGAAGAGATAGGGAGCCAAGTGGGCTGGAGTTACAGCAAATTGGACAGTTTGGGTAGAACCATCCTTTGGCGATCTGAAAAGTCAGATCATTCATGTGTGAAAATACGCTCAACTAGACTTGCAATCAGGAAAGTTTAAATAGAAAAAACCAAGCTACAGGTTGTCAAAACTTTTGTCTGGTAATAGCAAGTATTGTGAGAATGTGGGAAACAGACCATGGAGGTCTTCTGTAGACCACCGGAATGACAAGATGGATAAAAGAAAGCTTAACCAATTCCCTCTAGAAGTAATGCTGACTACACATGTCATCTGCACAATGTGTCATTCTTCTCTCTGCTTCCAAACCTGTTTATAACTCTCGCCTCACCTCATCCACCAGTGGTTGCCTGTTAGGTGCAGCAGCCTCATCCTTGGATTTCATGTCCCAGTGAAAAACTGACTTAAACCGTTCACCATCCTCTTGGCCATCGATCTGCACAATGAAGATGTTGTCAGTAATGCTTCCATCAGACACGAGAAAGGTAACAAATAATACTGAACTAAATTGGGAGGGGGAGCGGATCCTAAGTCTCAACTGCAGAGCATCTTAACTGTACTACAAGCCACACTGTGCTGACAAGTGTCACCACCGGCTTCATCTTTACCACCAGCCAAGTGGCACGTGGCTAGCACCTACTGTGTGAAAAGCTCTATTTTGCAGTGCAAATAAAAAGACAGTGTCTCTACAAGCTTATCGCCCAGCACCAAGTATTCAGCTTAAAACACTAGACATGAGAGCAGTGGTTCCTAACTAGCCTGTGCAACACTCAGGGAACTTGTTAAATGCTGGCTCCTCAAATTCATGTAGGTGTTCTGCTATGCTTTATGATTCCACCTTTCACATCTTGATCCATAACACACCTTGTATTAATGTTTATGTACAGATATGAGGTAGGTATCAAGGTTCGTTTCTTCTATGTAAGTGTCCAGTCACTCGGGTACCATTTATTTAAAGATGATTCTTGCTACACTGAATTGCAGTGGTGCCTTTGCTGTAACTCAGGTGACCACATATGTGCAGCTCTATTTCTGAACCTTGTATTGTTTTCCACTGACCTGTTAATTCTTATGCCAGTATTATTACACTGAGTTAACAGCTACAAAAGGCACCCTGGTGGCTCAGATGGTAAAGAATCCACCTGCAATGTAGGAGACCTGGGTTCGATCCATGGGTGGGAAAGATCCTCTGGAGAAGGGAATGGCAACCCACTTCAGTATTCTTGCCTGGAGAATTTCATGGACAGAGGAGCCTAGAAACCTGGTAACCTAAGTCCTTTGATTTTGTTCTTCAAGATTTCTTGGCCATTCTAGAATCGCTGTATATTCACATCAATTTTAGAATCAGTTTGTCAATTTTTATGAAAAACACCAGAGTTTTGGCTGGGACTGCATTGAATGCGTTGATCAATTTGAAGAGAACTGACGTCTAACCACATCTTCATGACTTTGGAAGAGGCAAAGATTTCTTAAGGAGAACATAAGAAGAACTAACCACAAAAGAAAATAACGGGGCTTAGGTTCAAACCCAGATATCATAATGTTTGAGATCCAAGATGGAGCCCAGAAATCTGCAACTTAAACAAGCTGAAATTTCAATCATTAATTTTACAGATGAGGAAAGAAGCTCAGAGAAGAGAAGTAAACTTATTGAAATCATTCAGCAGGTTAGCAAAGCCAGGTTCAGAACCCGGGAATTCCAGTTCCCTGTCAAGGCCACTTTGTCTGGGCTTGTTTAATGCAGCACTAACATGTATATTTTTAAGTACATAAGTTGAGAAATCTTTACATGCCTTTTCTCTTGGCTATTGAGAAATTACCTTGAACACTACATAAACTCACGGCAAAGTTTCTTGTAAGCAGCTCCACTGACATTTGGGGCCAGTTCATTTCTTGTTGGGGGCAGCCTGTCTAGCTCATGGCAGGATGCTGAGCAAGATGGGTGGTCTCTATCCACCAGATGCCACCGGTATTCTTACCTTCCCAGTTTTGACCAGAAAAAGTCCCTCAGACATCACCAAATATCCCCTAGGGGGCAAAACCGCCCTCCTTTAGAGCTACTGACTAAAGGAATCAGAATCACATGACCAAAGTACACAGGAATCTGTATTTTCTGTCCTTCTCCCACAGTATAGGCAGCAAGGGGGGTGCCTGCCTCCGTAGAGACCTCTCACAGGGCTCATGACTATTCGGAGGAAATAGGAAGAGGAAAAAAGCCATAAATGTTATTTGTGGAGTAAGGAAGCATTAAGGGCTAAAGTTCATTCTCTGAATAGAAGAGAATCTAGATGTTCTATTCTGCTAAAAGTTCCATTCACACCTACCAAACAGGAAATTCTGTCTTAGTAAATATTTATTTATGCATTTATTTTTCGAAGAGTGACATTTTAAAAAAACAGAAAAATGTTGACAGCTTCAAATGCCATTTCACCTTCATCGCCGTAACTGAAGAATCCCTTTCTTTCCTTTTTTAATTTTAGCACATGCACTATGAATCTGTTTTTTATTCAATTGGCAAAGTCTCCCAGAGAAGAAAAGGAAGTAAGAATGCAATCCACAACATTCCCCAGAGGGGTTGTAAGATCTGGGGTCTAGAAGGGACACGAGTGTCCACTTGATTTTTCCCCTGGTGGGAAAGGAGGAGAAAGGGGTCTCAGCAGTCAGCTGTTCTGTACACACGCACACACACACATGCACATGTATACACATATATGCACGCATACACAGACACACATGTGTGTGTGCACGCACGCATGCATATGCATGTACACACACGCACAAGTATATACACATGCATGTAAACACACATCCACCATATACACACAGAGATAACACACATATACACATATACACATACAATACACATACACAAATGTGCACACAGGCATGTATATACACATTTATATATATTCGCACATGTATATACACTGTGTATACACACATGTATACACATGCACACACATTTACACCTACATACACACATACATACACTCCCCATATGCAAACACACATATTTACACACATACACACATATTCACATAGATCCGAACTAACACACACACTCAGGCTTCCTGGGAAGCTCACGTCATTGCCTGTGGCTGGAAACAGAATGAGCGATAATCTCGCTACAGGTCCGGCCTGTCATACAAGTTACAAAAAACTGATTTCACCACCACTTCAAAGGAAGGTAAGTATTGCCTGATCTGTTGTAAGATTTTGTAAGGGGGGCATGCCAGTTGATACCTCACTGAGGGTGGAAGATAGAGATATTATGGATCTTTTTGTGACAAATACAAATAATATTCTGATATATAAGTACACCTTGTATTCAATCTGTGGGCAAACTCTGGCCCCAGAGCTGCTGAAATATCTGGATGTTTGTAAACATAAACAAGTGCTTTTTTTTCCTTCTGGATAGTTTGCCACACCTAAGTACATGGGAATAGGCTGACTGAGCAGCTTAGGATATGAGTCCTAGAGCAATAGAGGTCTGGATTTGTACCCATACAACAGGCCTGGTAAAACTGGGTAACTTACTTAACTTCTGTGAGCTTCAGCCTCCCCAACTGTAATATAATACTGCAGAGGGTTTTTGTGAAGAATAAGTGAGATTATACAGATAAAGGGCATTGCAAAGTGTCTGGCACTCTGTCGAACTGAGAGTTAAATTCAGTACTGTCAATTTTGTGTGAGATGTTAAGAGACAAAAACAAACAACAACAAAACCCACACAAAGAAGCAAAAACAAAAAGGATTTTTGAAAGCAAAATCCTAAAAGAATCAGCCTTCTCTGTAATCAATGGCTCATGAATTCTTCAGGCTTCTCAACTGTTAGAAGTCAACGATAGATATATGAACAACTCTCCAAGCCTCAGTTGCCTCATCAGTAGAATGGGATAATAATAGTATTTACTTTATTGGATTGTAATGTGTTAGTTAAGCAATTACACTGTAAATGTTACCTAAGCTTGTTAAAAAAAATAATAAACTCACAATTGGAGCAAAGCACTTAGTGAAATAAGCTAGTTGGCAGTTATGTATGGAAAGCCATGGTAAGGATAAGCTCAACCTAAACCATCTTCTTGAGGAGGACGTGGCCTGGGCAGGCAGGAGAGTCAGGATAGGGTGAGGTAACATGAGGAAGGCAGATTACTAGACAGCCTTCCACTTCTTGTGTCATTCTCTAATTTTAGAAAGCTGCTAGTTCCACCCCATAAAACAACTTGCTATGAAGCCTGGGGGAGGCAAGTGAAATGATTCATCATTTTAATAAATGCAAGTGTTCAATCAATAGTTATCTGACAAAACTCTACTGTTAGTTTTTCAAAACAGGTTGGTTAATCAGTATGGCCTCCTGGTCTACCGAAACATCAGTTACAGATCAGAATATCTCTGACCTACCCCTACCCATGGGGAAAGAGATCTTAAACACTACTGAATGCAGAGAGATTTAATAGTGTGGAACTAGAGGTTTCCATGTTTGTACCCAAATATAATGGGGAAAGAAAGGGCTTTGTAATATTTTCCAACTATATAAACTTTGTTTTATGTATTAAGCACCTGGTGTATGCATGGCCTGCTGTATCAATGTGTACAGAGCTGACAGGCACAAGGAGATTAAAATGGATACAAGATCCTCAGATATTCAAGCTGGATTATCCAGTATGGGCCTCTATGTTGTGGCAGGACAAACAGCAATATTTGTTACTCAAAGATGCCTAGGTATAAACCTGCCCATTTTCTGCCTAGATGTGAACTTGCCCATTTTCTCCATATTTACAAAGACACTTAAAAACCTAAGAAGTGCCTGAGCTAAGAAAATTTCTTTAAACACTATTTTGAAATTCAAAATTAAGTAACTTACCCCACAAATGGCCTCTGGAGGTTTCCTCACATTTAGATTTAATGGAGTGTAATAGACACTTGTAAAAGTGTTGTTCTTGGGGTTATGGCTACAAAAAGTAGATACAAATCAGAATTAGAAATGTACTTTATCCAAGATGACTGAGTGACTATTCTTAAAGGAAGAGTCACTTTTTACATCAAAAAAATATGACATAATAATTAAATTCAAGAGTTTCCAGGCAATGAGGCATAAAGAAAGAAAATCAAATCAAATAAATTCAACCTATTTAACATAAACACCAAATTTAACCGGAAATTATTTACCTGAAATTATTTAAAAGAAAACATTTTAAAGCTTTCTGTATATCCACAGCAATTACACTATTCTGCACAATCTTTAATAATTTGACATGGGGTTATAGAGGATAGATTTTGTGTTTCACTTGTAAGAAATTTGAAATTTTCCACTTTCTGTCCATTGCATAAAATCCTGTGTCAGATCTCTTTAATGACTGTATGTAAGTAAAAATTTTTGAGAAGACATTTCTTGGGTTCTTGGATATAACCCTGGAGTGTGCGATTTGAACCTCTGATTGGTTACTTACTTAAAAAAAAAAAACAAATATAATTCAAGAGGTGGTGGGGAGGGGCATCAAACACTTACGCGTGACAGTATGGCTTTTTCTGGTGACTCACAAAGTTATTCACCGATAGCATCATCTTGCAAACTTCACAGTGAAAACAAGCTTTGTGCCATATCTAGAAACCAAATAGAAAAGATTGAGCAAAATTACCTTTTCTTTCGTTCTCAGGAATCTTATATATTTCTGGGCAAAAAAAAAAAAAAATGAGCTTTAGGGATAAAATGGTGATAAAACTCACAATTTTTTTTTTTTGAGACAATACAGGAGATGTAACTAGAAATGGGTAGAACTAAAGAAAAGTGGGGGAAAACATCATATCTTGGTGGCTCAAAAAAACCCACATGTCCATATGTGATAAGATATATTTCCCAAGTTTGTGACAATCTGCAAAGGCAAAGAAATGTCTACTGACCTGGTCAAGACAGTTGATCTTCTCAGCAGGGTACACTCCGTACCCACACCTAGAGCAAGCCTGCACATTCATCGTGAAATCTGAAGAGAAAAGACCAAGGACAGGCAAGAAATCCAAGGAGAAGCCGCTGTCTGGCTGTTCAAGTCTCCAAAATCCTGACTCCTACTAAACTCCTGTGGGCACCTTGACCGTTCAGAATCCAACCTCCACTCTCCTCTGCTGACCTTCTGGTTTGAAGTCGGCGGCTGGATGGTTTTTAAAGCTGCCACTTACTCAAAGGGCTATTTTGGAGACTTGCTCGGCACGCATGCGTCTGGGTAATAAGGTGGAGGTATTTCTAGCTGACATGTTTCTCTAAATAGAAAAGTGAACTCACAACAGCATCATGTTTATGTGGATGACCAAATCCTTGTGTATGATCAGGCAGCATGCAGTAGTTTAACACTAGCTGTGATCATAACCCAAGAAAAGAAGCCAAAGGCATACCCCACACCCTCATACAACGACTAAATGAGCAAAGCTCATTCTGTGAGGCCTGTGACTAAAGCAGAAAGTCCAACTCACCCCTCCAAAGAAAATGAAAAAGGATTTATTCACTCCATGGAGGGTAAATACCATATTTGAAATTTAGCCTTATCTCTTAAAAATGTTTAATATCACCCAACCATAAAAAGAATGAAATAAGGCTATTTGTAGCAACATGCATGGACCTAGAGATGATTGAAAGTAAGTCAGACAGAGAAAGACAAATACTATATGATATCACTTATATGTGGAATCTAAACCATGATACAAATGAATGTATCTGAAACAAAAAAGACTCACAGACATAGAGAAAAGACTTGTGGTTGTCAAGAGCTGGATGGGGGTGGGAAGGCTTGGGAGTTTGGGATTAGCAGAGCCAAACTGTTACAGATAGGATGGATAAACAACAGGATCCTACAGTATGGCACAGAAACTACATTCAATATCCAGTGACAAACCATAATAGAAAAGAATACAAAAAGGAATATATGTATGTATAACTGAGTCACTTTGCTATACAGCAGAAATTAACACAATACTATAAACCAACTGTACTTCAATGAAGCTTTTTTAAATATAAGAGTAGGATGGAAAATTTATTAAGATATCAATTCATCTTTAGCTTCTGCAAGGATGCAAAAATAAGGACAGGTGAGAACTCTTTGAGGGTTGACCTCTGTTATCTTCAGTTCAGTTCAGTTCAGTCGCTCAGTCATGTCCGACTCTTTGCGACCCCATGAATCGCAGCACGCCAGGCCTCCCTGTTCATCACCAATTCCCGGAGTTGGAACTCATGTCCATCAAGTCGGTGATGCCATCCAGCCATCTCATCCTCTGTCGTCCCCTTCTCCTCCTGCCCCCAATCCCTCCCAGCATCAGGGTCTTTTCCAATGAGTCAATTTGCCTGAAGTGGCCAAAGTATTGGAGTTTCAGCTTCAGCATCAGTCCTTCCAATGAACACCCAGGACTGATCTCCTTTAGGATGGACTGGTTGGATCTCCTTGCAGTCCAAGGGACTCTCAAGAGTCTTCTCCAGCACCACAGTTCAAAAGCATCAATTTTTCGGCGCTCAGCTTTCTCCACAGCCCAACTCTCACATCCATATGTGACCACTGGAAAAAACACAGCCTTGACTAGACGGACCTTTGTTGGCAAAGTAATGTCTCTGCTTTTTAATATGCTGTATAGGTTGGTCATAACTTCCCTTCCAAGGAGCAAGCGTCTTTTAATTTCATGGCTGCAATCACCATCTGCAGTGATTTTGGTTCCAAAAATTCCTTGCCTTCCAGGTCTTCCTTAGTCCCTTGCCTCCTCCTTGCTTGAAAGGAGCAGCGTGAAGACAAACTTTCTCTTCTTGGCTTTGTGAAGCCCCTCATTGCCTAAATGTCACTGAAAACAGACCTTCCAGGAACAGCTTACAAAAAATGGCAACACACTTGTCCCCACCCTTCGGCTCACTATCTTCTACAACCCTCTTCCTGCTTTATGTTCTTCACAGCAGCTACCACCACCTGACACCTTAAATATTAGTGTATCTGCTTTTAAAAATTATGTCTCTTCCATCAAGATATGCGTTTCATCAAAATAGGGTTCTTGGTCCATGTTGTCCTTTCTGTATCCCCAATGCCGAGAACAAGGTCTGATACAGAAAATGTACTCAACAAATATTTATCAAATCAAAGAAATTAACACTGATACCAAAATGCCTGCAAAGACTGAGATGAAGTCATAGGTCACATGCCCCATCTGAACCACCCCAGCCAACTTGTGATGAGGGAATCAGCAGCCAGCAGGGACAAATATTCTGACTTTTCCAGAAAAGCCAGATACCCGCATCTGCACCTGCAATTCCCTCTTTTGCAAAACACTGGGAATAAAACAATAAAACAGAGTCATGAGCAGGACTTAGTTGGCAGACTACCAATTAGTGACTTTCCACCTCAAGAAAAGGCTCTGAGGAAACTCTGCTGGGGAGACCTCAGGTAAGACAGAGAACTCAGTAGTACTTCTGTGTTGTGACAGAAGAACCACAGGGAGGAGGAGGCCACAGAACAGATGAAGAATAGCGTCGTCATGACGCTAAGGAGAGGATGCTGTGAGGTTCCCCAGAGAGAAAGAGGGGGCGCAGAGCTGCCGTCTCAGCACCAGAGGAGACTCTGAGTAGGGGCCCCAGATTCAGGAAGACTCAGGATGAAATGTGATACAACACAGCCTGAACAAATGGGAACAGTAAAGGCAAAGAACTAAGGCCTACAGGTTAGGGACTTCCCTGGTGGTCCAGTGGCTAAGACTCTGTGCTCCCAATGCAGGGGGTCTGGGTTCGATCTCTGGTCGGGGAACTAGATCCCACATCCCACAACTAAGTGTCCTCATGCCTCGACTAAAGATGCTGCAACAAATATTTCGTGTGCCATAACTAAGACCGGACAGCCAAATAAATACCTTTTACAAAAAGACCTACAGTTTCCCCACATATTTTGCTCTGTGTGGGATTTCTCCAGCTATACCTGGACATGGGCTGGAAGTCTCAGTAATCACTGAGAAAGAACTCTGCCCCAATCCAGAGGGATGCAGAATCGCAGCCAAATTTCCTTTAAAGAAAAATGACCTAACGCTTCTCTAAGGCTGTGACTGCATCACTGCTATAAGTTGTGAAAACAAGGATGAACCAAACGCAAGATGCTAAATCTGACTTGTACCATCACTTCTGCTTTTGAAAGGCACTTATTATGTATCAGAAATTGTGAGAAGAAGCAACCCCGCAGAACTGGAAGTGGGAGAGTTTAAAGACCTAAAATGAACATGCATTGCTGGGGCCAGAGACACACAGCCCTCATCTGCTTTGCAGACCTTATGGATGGTCTTCCTTGGGTGCATCCTAATCGTCTCACATCAGGCAGAGCCCCTTACGCTTCTGATGGTGATTACATCAGACCCTCCACATCTTAGCCAATGAACAAGCGTGCTCCTCTGGCCCCTGGGATCGGTTCAGACAACACGTGTTAGTCTAGATTCCCCACAAAATAGAACCTGGGGCAAAGGCTTCCATGTGAGAACTTTATTCAGAAGTGTGATCTAGGGGGCAAGAAGTGGAGGGAGAGAGTCAACATCCTTTCCCACAGAAGCTTTGGACATTGGATTTCTTGGTCTCTACCTTCCAAGAGGCCACATAAACCACTGATACTCAGGAACGTCTACTGGAGGAAGGAAGCAGGAAGGAAGTACCTGCTGGCCCTGCCCACCACTGACTAATGTCTGGCCCCACTGGGTGTTAACTTCCTTATATGTCCATGCTGTGCATATGCCCAGGCAATCCCACAGCATCCTGTGCTTCAATAGCAACAGGGAAAAAAGCAAGGGCAACAGCAGATCAAAGACACTGTTGGCTAAACTGACATAGAGCTAGCTGCCACTGTCAAGGCTGGACTGGCATAAGTCTTAAGACAGGTGAGGCTAAGTGGATGGAAAAAGGCTCCTGAGAGGTGTGTGATATGTTGGCTAATCAGCAGAAAGTCCAGGACTTGGGCTTGGTGGTGGTGAGCCAGAGTCAGCTGAAGTAGAGGCTTGTTAACCTCTGATCGAGATGCTTCTGTCAACAGTGTCCCATATTGCTTCTTTTTTTTTTTTTTTTTTAAGTATTGACTCACAGGGAGATTGTGATCAATGAAAAACCCCATATTTCATTTCACATTAGTGACTATCATGTTCAGTACATGAACAATCAATTTTTTTTTTCAACTTTACCATAGCACTTGTTTCTTTTAAATTGCATCCTATTGATGGCAGCCCCATTGCTTCAGCCAGTCAAGATCTTTTTGAACCCTGGTTCTGTCATCGAGAATATGAGGTAATTTCTCTAGCTCTGAACCATTTCCAATGCCCTGCAGGGCCATGGATGTAAAATGGTTTTGAGATTATGAAGAGATGACCAAAGAGAAGTAAAAAGAAAGCTATCAAGCCTCTAGTCTGTTATTGCCACTCTGGTTAGACCAGGCTTTTCCCTCCCATGGTGGGGGTGTGTGCATGCCTACCTTCGTTTAGCTTCTCCCAAAAGCAGAGCTTGAGGTAAGGACTTGGCTGCAGGTGGTATATTTGGGAGATGATCTCACAAGGTAAGAATGAGGGTCTGAGGTGAGTGAGCAGACAAAGAAAAGTCAATAAAGGGTGCATCCTGAGCTAATTACCACTGTGGGCAACCGAGGTCCAATCTTGTTAGGGATCCTCTGAGGCACTGTGTAGAATATTTCCCCAAACCATCCCACTGCAGGACAGAGGCTGGGATACTTATCCACCCAACTCTCATCTCCCAGTGGCTGCATCTCAGGGGCATTAACTCCCTCCACCTCTAGAGTACATCTGTCTGCACAAGCTGAACAGACTTCTACAGCTTCAGAGAAAGCCCAGAGGCAGAGAAGCAGGGGATGATGCTGCAGGAACTTAAGGGGGTCATGGTGCCACACATGGAGCTATTGATGAGCCGAGGGGATGCAAATAGGGTACTGCAAGGTCAGTCACTCAAGGAAACTAACTGTGAGAAGGGGCAAGGA